CAATGGCTAATGCTGGAGAGAGGGAGAGGCAGAAGCTAGCGAACAAAGTCGGGCGTGTATTCGTGGAAAGGCGATGCGGCGGAGGTGCGGCAGAGGCAGCTTTGTCTGTGACGGGAATTAGGACATGCCAATGCCAGCTGGGAAGAATAAGGTCGGCAGGTAAGGCGAGTGCAGACATAGCACAAAGCACACAAAGGCGGTGTTTGATAATTGATCAGCGGTCTTTGTGATTTGGATAAGGTATGAAAGAAAAATGGAAAGCACAATGCGAATCCGCCGCAACGGATATCGAATACGCATTTAGCAGTAAGGTAGGTAGTGTAGCTGCTGGGTCTGGTCCCCGCTAGGCGACGTTTTTTTTTCTTCTTCTTCTTTCCTTCGTTGCTTCGGTGTTCTCTCCCTGCGGAAGGCACGAATGAGCCTGGGGAGCCTCAATCACACGCCCTCCCGGTCCCTTCCTTGCCTTAAGATGCTAGGTCAGGTAAGGTACGGAGGTGAGGTGAGGTCCACGTCCCCAGGTCTGGAGTCTGGACGACCGAACCCCTTACACTGAGCAACCCGTGTTCCTTTTCCATTTCCAAATTTTTCCACCTCGCAACTGAAGAGCAACAGGCGGGGATGTGGAAGGAAAAAGTTCGCTTCTACAGGCACAGAGGGCCGCAATGAGGCCCGGGTACGGACAGAAGTTCGGCATGGGCTCCACCTCCGCCCGCTCTTCGGGGCACACATTTGACACTGTACCCGACTTTTAGGGGACCCGTGGACCGCAAAAGGAGAGCTGCCACAGCGACGGCTCGGCGCTCCAGCGACCACGGACCACAGACCTGGAGCTCTCACCTCACAGACCACTGCGGGCTGCGGGCATGTACTTGAGGTGCATGCAGATAACGCCAGTCAGGGTGAAGGGAAGGCCGGTCGGGTGGGCGACGTGAGGGTCGAGGATGATTTTTTCTTCTTTTCTTCTTCTTAGTACGGAGTTCAGAACAGAAGACCAGACCGGACGAGCGGGACTACTGAGGTAGACGGGACCACGAGGCGAGATACGGCGCAGTACGTGCACCTGGAGTTTCCTAGTGCACTGGTCGGAGAAATACGTACAAGACCAGCCGTAAGTAAAGTCAGCTTACTACCTGCCTTAGAGCCAAAGTGCCTCCCGTTTGAACTGGACGCCATAAGGTACGGTAGGCAGCTGTCTTGCATCCCAGAAGACAGCCCCTGAACGCCTCATCCGGAGCCGTCAGCACCGTCACCTGCAAGCCAGCGGGGGTGGAAATCCAAATGGTAAGGTCACGGTAACGGAATCGTTAATCGTTGCGGCAACCGCCTGTGAGGGAAAAGCCTTCCAGGGGACCGGTGTCAACGTCTGCCCCTGTAACGCCCTGGCGACGGACGAGGGACGTAAGGCGAAAGTACTCTCTAGGGGGCCAATTACGGCGTTGGCATCGTACGCGGTACCTAGAAGCAATCCAGAGTCAGACGGGACGGATTGGATCCAAGTGGAAGGGCAGGGCAGGGCAGGGCTCATGTGGGCGGTTCAGCATTACCGACATGAACAGTGGGCGATGAGAGTCAGTTCCTGCCTTAGGGGCGATTGCCCACCTCAGGGCCTCGTCCATTCGGCTTGTGCTGTGCCTGACTTGCTTGCTTGCTGTGCTGTGCTTTGCATAGGGAGCTGGAGCTGGATCCGAGGGCGCATTGGCACTGGGCTGCGCAATTGTACGATTGGCACGATGTTGTTCGATGTCGGGTTTGATGCACAGCACACCTCGCTCTCTCTCGAGATGCAGCTAAAGCAAGATAAGGCCGTGGGTACGTATCCTTTCCCGACACGTGCTCCTGTCTGGTCGCTGCACTTGGACAGCGCTGTGCCTTGCCTTGCCTTGGAACTTGTAGAAGCGCCGACCATTGTGATGCGTGTTATTGTTGTTGTTGGCGACGATGCGATGGTAAGAAACAAGATAAGATGAAAAGACACAAGATGGCACTAGCAGTGTGTCATTGACAATTCCTTGGCCGGGCATAGAGAAGAGGAAGATGCAGACCGGGTCGGCCCTGTGAGAACTGTGTGAAGGCCAGAAACACACCCGACCTGGGAAAGGTATTCCTGTCATGCCATTGGCGGGACTCGACGAGAGTACGTACTCGATCTCTGTTAGGTAAGGCATAGGGTACGTACCTCTCCCAATGCAGGAAACATGGCATCGCGCTAACGTTATGCGCAAGGCAAGTGCATCCATCCCACTTGCACTTGCATCTATCTGCGTCTGCGTCTGCGTCTGCTTCTTGCATCTGCAGGTGCTTGGTGCATTATCGCCATATCTTGGTACATGTACTCTGTATCTTCGCACAGCGTCAACCCGAGAAAGGCAAGCAGGAAGCAACCACCAAACAGGGCCTTCGCATTCGATCCATCCTGTATCCCAGTCCTCACCCTCGCCCTCGCCCTCGCCCTCGTCGCCCTCGTCCACAAGGGCCAGAAGCTGCATCATATGGCCGCAGAAAGGCCCCGTAGCTGCAGCAGCAACCAAAGTCGCCCTGACAACCTTCCATCTTTGAGGCTATTGGGTGCCCCTCCTGTCGTCAGAGGGGAAGGAAAAGGGAAGATCACCAGGCCAGGGCCTGCTGATGCTGAGCCTGCACCTGCACCTGCACCGTACTGCTGGGTACTTCTTTTCATGTATCACTGGATTCTTCTTTCCTTTCCTTGCTCGTCGTTTCTCCTTGAAGCGCCCACCGCCCACTTTGGCTACCTTATCCGCACTTTTAACACACTACTACGTAAGGTCTACGTACCGGTTTTAGTGCTGCGCTGGACAGTCCACGACCGAGACAAGAAACACCACCCAGAAAGTCGGACATTCACATAGCAGCAGTACTCAAGTAGGGCGTGAAGTGAGAAGTCTGGTCTGGTGGACAACGGGACGACGCCGTCACACCTCACACCCCCCTGTTTGGCGCTTCCCTGCTCACTGGAGCGACTGGCGCTGGTTTTGAATCTGGTTGATGTGCCATTCGACCTAGAAACTGGATCTGGACCTGGACTCTGATGATCGAGAGTCGAATTGTCTCTTTGCGCGCCTAGTACTGACCAAGGTACCGTGCTTGTGTGTGGTCTCACGTCTTCTCCTGCCAACGGGCGACGACGGCGACGGCGACGGCAACGGCAACGGCAACGGCCCAGCCATCAGAACTGATCCCATCTCAATCCATCCATCCATCCATCCACGTCTACGGAGTATCCCAAGGTTCCCTTCCCTTTACCGGCTTGCCAGCCCCAGGCTAAACACTGACAGTGACATGCCCCCATCCCGGCAAGTCTCAACCCACCAGGACCTGGACCTGGTTCATCTTCTCATCCACACACCCTCTTCCCCAAGGGACGCCCATGCCTGTTCCTGTTCCTGTTCCTGTTCGCGCTACTACGATACTATGTACCATACTGTGAAGTCTTGTCTGGTGTGAGCTGGTTACCATCCATCTCGAGCCTGGTCTTTCCATGTTTCTGCTTCCCGTCCCAGTCGTCGCTCACCATCATTCAAAAACCTCTAGTCTCCTCTTCTTCCCGAACACTTCCCTCCCTCTCTCTCTCTCTACCCCCTCATCCCCGACCAAACCACCAACGGTCCGACGGTACGGTAGGTTTTTTTTGCTTTACGGATATACGGTTGATTGCCTTTTTGTCGTTGTTCGGTCTCTTGGTCCAGGAACAGATTTGAAGGTCCAGCCTCTCCCATACCGGAAGAAAAAAAAACCCAACCTTGCCGCCAGTACCCCAGTACCATATCAATCCACGAAATATCAAGAACTGCTTTTTTACGTGTGCTGGCGAGTCCACCACCACACCTTCGTTTTTAGCGTGACGTTTTTCCCAGCGGGCACGGAACGGAAAGAAAGAGAAAAAAAAGGACGAGAAGGAAACCCGTAGCAAAAAGGTAGAGAAGGAATCAAAGGCTTAGACGCACTTTTGCTCTGTCTTTTTTTTCTGCCGCACCTGCACCTGCACCTACTCTCGGTCTCGGATCCCCTCACCATCTTACCCATCATCTTCAACTCTCTGCTCGGCCACCGAAGCGTAGCTCGAGCGAGACTAAAAGGAACACACAAAAAAAGCGAGGAAGTAGCATTGGGCCTCCGAACCGCACCATCGACCACGGCACCGACTCTGCACTGCTGCACCGCACCGCCTCGCACCGCACACCCGCACCGTTTTGCGCCTGCTCCTGGTTCCTGGCTCCCGACTAGCTACCAGCTTCCCCCAAACCTCCGGAAAGACCGTCATTGTCACCTCGCAGTCTTCGATTGTTCGTCGTGACCTTCCATGCAACAAAAGCGGCACCGCTCCCGCCTCGACAATTCTACCTGCCCTTTTACACCAAGGGCATCGTGGAACGGCCTTTCTCGCCTCCCCTCGACTCGCCGCTCTCTTCCCTAACGAGACGACGACTTCGATCTTGGACGACGAGACAGCCACACTCCCGAGACGCACATCAACGAAGTCACCGATTTGAAGGAAAACGGACACCACCAATTTTCGAGTTCCCGGCCTCCCATGTTGCTTGCAACTGTCCAATAACGAACGGCCCCTCGTCCCAGATCTTCGATACAGCGAGCCTACCGCCCGAACCATCCCCGCCACGATTTCGCATCTCGCCAAGCAAATTTCAGTCCTCGACTCGAGATCGAAGTCTTGCTCGCAGCAACCCACCCCCGCGATACTCGACATTTCTCCCCTCCGTCCCGACGTCGTCTTGTTCCCCCATTGAGTGGCAAGGATCAGAAGAAAAATCTTTAGAAAAGAGTCGCAGCATTCGTTTACTCGCGGCCCGCCAACGATCGAACTCTCATTTTACACCACAACGTCACGACATATCGAGTATCGTCTTGGACGCAGCGCTCACTACCGCGAAACAATACTACCACTAACACCACAAACATAACCCTCCAACCAGTAATACTCTCGCTACTGCACTCTTCGGAACACCCACCCCGAGCTTGCAATCATGGAGACTTCACCCTTGGCGGCGATGCACCGCCCTATGGCCGTCCCTTCGTGGGGCAACAAGGATCTCTTCCGTCCTCGTCCTCACTACACCGGCGGAAGCAGCCTGCGCGAACAGATTCACCGGTCCAACGACTACTTCAGCATTAAGGATGTGCACGGCTCGTCTCCGGCTGCCAGCCTGGCTGCCGACCTCTCCCAGAACTTCCGTCTGGATTGTGAAGCGAGGTGGGATGGCATCTCCCATGAATATCTTGGGACCAATCCGCTGACCTCATCTCCTGCAGTCCCAAGTTCCCCACGCCTCGTCGTGCCCTGTTCACTTCCAACATGATGGGTGACGGAGAGACCCGCGGTTAGCATTGACCTGGCGTTCAGTGGAAGAGTGGTGGTGCTGATGAAAGTGACTAGAATATGTCCTCACGACTCCTCCTCTGCCCGAGTCTTCGCCCGCTCCTCTCAACGAGATGATGGATGTCTCGCCTCTTCCGCACAAGATGCCGTTCATGGCCCAGATCGAGATAACGTCACCGACGCCGGGATCGACTCCTACCGGAGAGGACGACGAGATGATGTTGGATTCGCCGGCCCCCATTCCTCGGCAGGCGTCGTTGGAGCCACCCAAGCCACTGGGAGTTGAGTAAGTTTGATTGCCACATTCCTTCTAGCTCAAGGGGTCGTGGCTAACTCAGGGGTAGACGAAGAAAGCCGGGCCTGCGCCGTCCCTCCTTGACTCGAACCAAAGGATATTCCACTAGTGGCGTCCCCGGTCGATCCAACACAGACAACCAGCTACCCACTTTCCGATTTGGTGAGAACCGATTGACACATATGAGCAGTGCTCTGTCCCTCGACGAATGTTTCGAGACCACTTCTCCGCCTCAAGAACGTCGACCTCAGACAGCCAACAGCCCTACTCCCGCCGTGCCTGGTGCCATTCGTTCTCGTCCTCAGTTCTCCAGCCTCTCCGGTAACCGCAGCAGTCCCTTTGGCAGCCAGCACAACCGCCGGCCCAACAATCCCTTCATGCGTCCCCGCAAGCAGTTCCGCCGCTCTCTGAGCATGTTCGAACACCCCGGCGATGTCGTCAAGTCCAAGTCAGAGGGCGGTGACTCGTCTCCCACGACTCCCGAATCCCACCACGGCATGGACGACGAGATCCAAGAGCCTCTCCTGCCTCACTTCCTGGCCGACGACCCCACCGACACCATCCCCCGGATCACGAGAGAAACCATGGTTGACCTCTTGGACGGAAAGTACAGTGACAAGTTCGACCAGAAGATGGTCATTGACTGCCGATTCGAGTACGAGTATGAGGGTGGCCACATCGATGGCGCCGTCAACTACAACAGCAAGGACCTCCTCGCCTCCCAACTGTTCCAGCATCCCATGCAGGGACGAACCATTCTCATCTTCCACTGCGAGTACTCAGCCCACCGCGCCCCGATGATGGCTCGCCACGTTCGCTCCGAGGACCGAACCGTGAACGCCGAGCACTACCCGCATCTTACCTACCCTGACGTGTATATTCTCGAAGGAGGCTACAGCGCCTTCTTCAACGAGCACCGCTGCCGGTGCTACCCCCAAAACTACGTTGAGATGTCCGACGAAGCCCACCAGCGCACCTGCGAACGCGAACTCGGCCGCCTCAAGAACCCCCGCAAGGGCTTCGGCAGGGCTCAGACGTTTGCCTTTGGCGAGCGCGAACCTTGCGTGGACCAGTCGCCCACCGCGCCCTCGAGACCTAGCCTTCTCAGACCCAGCATCAGCTTCCGACAAGATCCCAGCACCATGATCGGCAACTCTCCGATCCTGGGCGAACGCTGCCATGCAAGACGCATGGCCTCTTACTAGAACCCCTCACATGCTCCTCCAACTGTCTGCTGCACACTGGAGGAGCATTCCTCGTCTGGAGGAATGAAGCAGTCCCCCTCGACCACTTCCTGGCATCCTTAATAGGGCGATCCACAGCAACCTGATTGTCGATTTTACGCGCCTCTTCTCTGCACATGTCTACCCTATTCTTCGACCGTCAAAATTCCGCCTTACGAATCCGACCCCAAAAGCAGCTTGACGCTTACGGCCGCGATGAATTCACTATTACGCTAATAGAACTCGTTATGAGCTTTGTTCTACAACCTGAACATACAACAACACAACAACCGGCACTAGACGCATTGGCATATTGTCCCGCATCGCCACAACATGGTTGTTCGGAGTCCATCTTGGATCTGGCATCTCGCGGTGGCTCCTGTCGGCATTTACAGCATTGTCCTTGGTTTCCTTTGTCAGAATTTCTGCATCATCCGACACGACATGGTCGGATGACGTCCACCGAGGGAGTTGGTCTCGACGCACACGACACAGCGCGGTCTATCGCGACGGTCGTGTCTCCGCAGCTCCGGGCTCGGGAGCATTTCGCTATGTCATCTCGGTCCGGTCTGTTGGTCTCCCACCTATATCCGGGAGTATTTCGGACCATGCTCGGTGGACTGTTCTTTTTGTTTTCTCGATTCCCTTTGTCTGGTCACTTGACCCTTCACCTGATACCAAAACTTTCTATCCAAACGCCGAATACCCGACATCCTTGTCATCGGATGGCACAACACACTCACAGACCTCACCATTCCCTTTACATTTTTTATCAAAACAACGCCTCACGGACCGTCAGTGGCCGAGCTTGTTGGAGGACCTTCACCTCCCGTGTACATTGTAGGAGTAGCTGGGACAGAACAGCGCGAGAGAGAAGTGGAAAAGCTACGGCGGAAGAAAAGCAGTTGCTCGGGAATGCCTTGTAGCATTGGCGTATTTTTTGGGGAGAGCTCTGCAAGCTTGGAAGCTGCATCGTGCGATTGCGGCGTGGGTGAATCCACGCTTTCTCTGTACAGTACTGGCATCAAAAAGAAATTGCCAAAACAAGATGATCCATAGAAGGATCATTCTGGGCTAGCTCATACACAATTGAATGAAAATACACACAAACAAACAAGACACGCGCGCACATTCATTTCGTACATGCGGGACACGTGCAGGCGGCTCAAGCTACGCGCGCGAGAGACAGAGAGCGCGTCTGTCCGAGCCTCTGGGGTCAGGCTGTTGTCTGTGCAGTCCGGAGGCACGATGGTCCTTGGGGGCTTCTAGCGTGTTGTTCATCCGGTTCGGCCACGTTTTGAAACATCCACACGGGCCCCCGGCTTGATCGTTGTTGTTATCTCGGGCCTTGTTCCTTGCGGCGGTTTGCTCAAGGCTCTCGCGACTCACGTCATAGTCGCGGGATATCGAAACATGATGGGGAAACCTGGGGGATCCCTACTATTGTCGAAGGTGCGTTGTTCGATGTCCATTGAATACAACAGACATCCTGGAGGGTTACACTTGGTTCTTGATAACACAACGAGGCAGTCTTCCTATCTACATTGTAAAGGATGTTATCGTTGCAGTATTTGCTTGATGGAATAATGCTTATCATCATTCAGGCGTTTTGCTGGGAGAGATTCGAAATAAGACACACGGACGATGGGGCTAGGGGATCTTACCACGATGGTGTTGTTCTGTTTTTGGGGGGCACGCGCGGGTTAGTATTAGTGTTAGTGTTAGTGTTGTTTGGCATTGTGTTCCCTGACGTTCTAACGGTCTCTTCCCGTCTCGGGCTCGGGGGTGGTGGGTTTCGTCGTTTTCTTTTGTTCTTCTGGATTGCTTCTAGCGTCTTTCTCCCTCGGGTGCCGGGACGGAAGGGAGGGACACGAAAGGCACGGATGTGATTGTTTTACGGACATTTGAATCCTTCAAACCAAAGGAGATGTTGTTTCGTTTACGTTTATGGGTTGTGACGTTTTGTCATTGTTCATCCGAGGGGCAGTCCACGTGTTTGGTATCGAGGGTTGCGCTGCGGCTTGATTTAAATTGGTGGTTTACACGGATGCGACTGTGACGGTTGACTGCCACCACCTCAGAGTAAGGTATACAGGTTCCGTTGTTTGTGGGATGGTATCTGGAGCCTTACTCGGGCAGGTGAGCTTCATAAGGGAGACATTACTCGAGAAGAAGAATTACGCGGGTGATAATTAGGCCTTGTTTCACGAGTACTGTGGTAGCATTGTCAAGCATTCAAGCGCTTATCTTTGTTCTTTCAACTCGAGGGCGTCTGTCTACTGGTTTCCCCGTTTTTCCGTTTCTTCCTTCTTCTTTGTGTGAATGAGACCACCCACGCGGGAACTAGGTAGCCAAGTGTTCCCGTCGTAAGGCAAGGGGGGTTTCCAAGAAACGGCGCCGTTTGTTTGGAAGTTTCATGACTTTTGGGCTCCAAGCCGTCGACTGTTTCTTCGGGGTTTCTTTTCCTTTTTCTCTGTCATTTTCTTTGTGTAAGCCCACGTGGAGGGAATTCAATGACCAGCTCATATAAGGCCAAGGGCGGTTTCGAGGAAACGGCGCCGTTGGTTTGACGTTTTTTCGTGCGAGTTTCGACTCGCCCTTTCTTTTTGGACACGCTCAAGAAAGGGAGAAAGATGGTTTTAGGCTGAAGCGTTCTTTCAAAGTTTGTCTGCCGGGCAAGAAGAAAGGTAGAGACAAGAAGGCCGGGTTTTCTTGATACGCTGGAGACGTAAGGGAGGAGGAAGTAGTGTGCTATGCTACCTAATCTCAGTTGAGTTGAGAATTGTCTGTCACTTGTAGCGGTTTCTTTGCTTTTAAGCGTTGTCGCTGTGTGGGGATATGTCTCGTGTGCTTGCGGTTGAGGAAGTAAGGGAGAGAATGGTGGAGTATGTGTGTATCCGGAGATGTGTGTGATTGGGGAAATAAAGTTGTTTGTTGAATTCATTCTATTCTTGAATATCTTTATGTCTTTTCTGCTTTATGCCGTAGATCTCGGGAAGCGGAATACGCTCAGTTCACAAGTCCTTGTTAGGCCGCTCCCCTCGCGCGCCCGAATCGCGGCGAGATCTCGAGATGAGGATGTCTCATCAGACTTCATGCCATTCCCCGGAGCGTCTCGCCACATACCCCGGAACAGGCTTATAATTTTAGAGGGAATGTCTTCTTTTTGTGACAGGTCTTGGGATGGGGGGCTTTAGGGGTCCATGGGCGGGGTCCAGAAGCGGAGAGTCTTTCCTGAATAACCCCAAAAGGGGTCTAGTTGTAATGCGGGCTCGCAGACGCGAAAATTTCTTGGACGACGGGCGAGACGTGATGGGGGGCTCCTCATGCATGCCATCGAGTCCGAGGTAGTAATATGTGTACCGGGAGTCCCCTCCCTCCTTACCCTCCTGAGGTGAACTTGTAGGGTGGCGTGCTTGCTGTCTCTCGCTCTCGGTTTTTTTTTCAAGTGTATGTATGACGTCTGTTGGTGGCTGAGGAGAGAGTGACGAGCGGGCTTTGAATCATGACTGAGGTTTGTTTCTCAATGACGAGGGGTTCTGGTTCTTCCGTGGTCCGGATCGACGTCCGAACATTCTTGACGGGAGAAATGTGGGACCCGGGACCGGGCGGTGGCTCCGGAGACGAGATCACGGAAAGACGGGGGCATTTCTCGGCGAGGTGGTCTTGACAAAAAACTTTTTGAATGCTATATGTGATGAATATCTGAGGAATACGCCCGCATCCGGTTGACATGTGGACCGAGTCAAATCAGATGCAAAAACCCCCTTTTTGGTTCCCCTCCGTATAGCAAGTAGATGCAGATAACTTGGGTATTCCGCCCGAAAACGCCGCTTATGCCCGTGCCATGCAAGAAATGAGTATAAAATGTGCAGATGCTGCTCCTCGACGGTAGATGTCCTCCATGCGTGAACATCTTTCCATATCTCTGTCCTATCCTTGGAGGGTAAAGTCCCACTCCTTAAACGCCTCCCGGAACGCCTCGACATCCTTGGTCTCCTCCTCCGGCGCCTGGACGCAGTCCTGCCAGAAGAAGCGGTCCTCGAGCTTGAGGAGTTTGGCGACGACCTTGCGGGGGTACTGCAGGTCGAATCGCATCTCGGGATCGAGCTTCATGACGAGACAGGTACCCTTAATCCTGTCCTCGCCGTTGTCCGCCCAGATCCAGACGCGGAAGTAATCGCCGATGGAACCCTGGTCCTCGTATGACAGGTCGCGGGTCTCGAACTCGGGGTACTTGAGGTTCTCGGCCTCGACCTTGAAGCCGGCCTCGACGATGTTCTTGTAGATCGAGTCGGCCGGGATGGGGTGGAATTGCCAGTGGGCGTGGATATTGCGCTGGCGGCTGATCTCCCAGGTGATGGCGCCCAGCTTGTGGTTCGACTTGGTCGAGACCATGGACTGCAGATTGTCTCGGAATCGTGTCATTTCCTTGAATGTCCGCTCAGCGTCCTCGGGCGAGTAGCTCTCGACGCCGGAGTGGTAGATGGTCGGGGTATGGGCGTGAGGAGTGATGATGACGTGGCCTGGGAAGTTGAGGCCCTGCTTCTTGAAGGTCTCCGACGTCGCGAGAGGGCCCTTGGCAGTAGCAAGGTAGCTGTCGTCGCCGACGGTGGCGATCATATGGGTGTCGAGGTTCGGGTTCGAGAGACAGAAGAAGCAGCGGTCGGGGCCGGGAGGAGGCGATCGGCGACGGCGCTTGTTTCCGCGGCGGTGGTGGCGGCCGTCATCGTCTCCGTTGGCGAAACGATTGTAAGAGCCCTCATCCTGCGCCCGTCTCTTGGGCTTTCTCGGGCTGAACGGGGTGTAGGTAGCTCCGGCAGGCCGCTCGACGGTGGTCTCGTTGAGCTGAAGGGTGAAGGCATACAGCGCCTTTGCCTTGGATGCGTTGCCGTAGGGCGCCATCGAGATGAAGCGCGTGACCGCGACATCTTCAGAGCCCTCCTCGGTAGGATGGAAGAAAGGCTCGCGCTCGTAAAAGAACTCGGCGGAGGAAGGGGCGAAGTGGTAGCGGGGCTTGAGGGTTGCGCAAAGCTCGGCGATTTCCGCCGTGCTCTCGGTAGTCGCCTGTTTCTCGGGGGAGATTTCGACCTTGGAGTTGGTCCAGACACCAGCGGGCCAGACCGTCGTCAAAAGAATGTCGGCCTTGTTCGCGCCCTTCAGCGACTTGGCGTCGTCCGCAGTGTGAAACGGCAGGTGCTGTTCCTTCGACTGTCCACCCACGACTTCCTTATCGAGCTTTCCTCCCAGGGCGACGATCCTGATGCCCTCCGATGTTTTGGTGATGCTGCGCTTGCCGAGATAGTGAAGGTTCTCGGCGATTTCCTCGTCGGCCTCGATCTTTGCGACGATCTTCGGGGGAAGGGGCGTGGTTCCGACTGTGAAGTAAACAGGCAGGGGCACTTCGATCTCGCCATTGAGAAGAGCCTCGACGGCGGCGTCGTCCTCTGCGCCGAAGAGGTTGCCAGTGACGATTGCGAAACTGAAGCTATTCTTCGCGTGGAGGGTCGCGACCTTTGAGAAGGCGGGCTGCAGGGCGCCATTGAGGCTACCCAGAACGATCCTATGGGATGTCAGTAATCGAAATCTCGATCAAACTGCCAGTAAAATCTGCCGAGATACTTACACCTTGGGTGCAGCCATTGCGCCTTGCTGTATGGGGTTGTGGTAGGTTGTTGATGGGAAGCTTGACGAAGCTGGAAAGATGCGACCGGACGCTGACTTGAAGATGCGCGATGAAGTAATGTGGGTCTTTATCTAACGCGCCGTTGATTGGTCAATATCCACTTTTTAATGTCTTATCGCGTTATCGAAGTGGACCGAGCTTCAGCCGGCAGAAAAAAAGTTCAAAATTTCTGGGCAGCTTCGAGAGTTGGCGGGGAACATTTTTCGCGATCAAGCAGTGAAGTTGGGAGGCGAACACGACGGGCTTTTGCGAACTCTGCCTGTCACCGCGCCCAAGATGCCTTCCACTTCATCTGGTCGAATCACAAAGACCCGAAAGGGCAAATACTCGACCCCTCATCAAAAGAATCACCGATGGGAGTCCTTCGCGACCAAGGTCTCGAAACTACACTCTCTCGATCCCCTACGGAAAGTTCGCCGACACGACCTCGAAGCCGAAGACCTCGAAGCCACCACATCCTACTTCCGTAATGGTTTGACGAGATGGAGCGAGTTGAATGTCTACATAGGCTTCAGCCACTTCAAGAGGGAGGTCTTGCCGCTCTGCGAGAGTCTGCCCCAGATTCTGCATTTCGAGGCCAAGATCTTTGAGTCGCTAGCAACAGCGATTGCGAAACAAGAGAAGGAGGCTTTGGAGCCGCTTCTGGACCTCCTAACAGCGTTTGCGCATGACATCGGTGTCAGGTTCGAGAAGTACTACGCCAAATCTCTCGAACTTATTACTGCCATCGCCGCAAAGCCCCAAGATGTGGAAGTAATCGAATGGACTTTTGCGGCGCTCGCCTTTCTGTTCAAGTACCTTTCAAGACTTTTAGTACCGAATCTGCGACCGACATACGATGTTATGACACCGCTCTTGGGAAAGGCTCGGCATCCTCCTCACATTGCCCGTTTCGCTGCCGAGGCCTTGAGCTTTCTGATCAAAAAGGCTGCAGCACCAGCGAACCGAGAGACGGCCCTCGTTGCCATCGTTGAACACGCCAGGGACGACCTCCGAGACACTGTGGGAGAGAAGCAGTTTCAACTATACCAAGATGGTCTCATGACCATGTTCGCCGAGGCCATTAAGGGCCCAGGCCAGACGATTCACTCGACCGGACCAGCCATCTTCACAGCGTTAGTGAAGGCTATTCCCGAAAGCGAAGCAGACCTCACCCCGACAGCGAGTTGGACCGATCTCGTTTGCGGTGTTCTTACCAGCATCATTCACCACTCCAACGATAAGGACCTTGCGCCGGTCCTCGAAGCGATCCAAGAACATGTGCAGGCGGCCTTGGCGGAGCCCAAACCGACCAAGGCATGGAAGTTTGTGCCGCTGATTAGGGTCCTCGGTACAGCCGCGGGAGTCCGGCACGGGTCTCGCATCAGCAACTGGCCTGTTCATGTCGAGGGTATGACGGCTATGCTGGATGCAATGGCGCAAAATTCTCCAGAGGTGACTGAGGACAAAATTGGTCTCCTCTGGAAGAACGTGATTGTCAATGCTGCCATCGTCTGGCACCAGGCTCCGATTGATGCTCTGATCCCCTGCATCAAGGACTTCATGACTGCCCTCCAGAGGGAGAAACTCATGAGATGTTACATTCCATTCTGTGCCTACTTTTCGGATCTCGATGCCCAGCGTTTTCGCAGTCTTTTCCAAACATATTTCCAAAGGTAAGCGATACTATTCATCTTTGTACCATGTAGGCGCTAACGACGATTAGATTTATTGTAAGCCATTGGTCTGACGGACGAAACGAGGATATGCTGTGCGTGCTCCTCCCGCGTATGGTCAAGAATGGCAGTCTGCCGTCTCCAGGAGGCAAGGAAACCTGCAACCTTCCGCGTAGCTGGCAGGACCAGATTGTGTCGAAGTTTGAGCGCCTCGAGGCATCACCATTCCCAGAACGCGGAGCCTACGACAAAGACCCCCAGACATGGCGGGATAAGTGCCTACCGAAATACTCAGCCCTCTTAGACCTCCTTTACTCCACGACTGTTCACCCATCAGCCAACGCCAAAATCGCAGAGCTCTTGCTTAGGAAGCTCAGGCTTGCGCTCAAGCCGTCGTCGACGCTGGCATCCGATGAGGTTCATTTCAGTGTTAGCCAAGGCTTCCATGCCTACCTCCGTATGAGCAAGGCCGCCGGCCCCGTGGACTCCGCCCTGAACCCTCTCCTCCGAGCGGCCTTGCCCCGCTTTAGCCGTTCTGTTGGCTTCCTTGAAGCTTACCTCGAGTACGCCGAAGCGACGAAGAGCCAGCCCCAGTCTGCCGATCGCCAGAGCAGTGACAGTAGCGAGGGTACTGGAGAGGAAGACCCTGTCGTTCAGGCGCTGATCGAGAACCTCTCAGCCCCTTCGCATGAGCTTCGCCTCGCATCTCTCAAGATTCTACAGCAACTCGAGTCTACGCCCGATGAGCATTCCTGCCATGTCCTCATGCTGGACATTGAGCAAACGCCAATGGAGCTTTCAAGCTTGAGAAACGTTGCCATGCATCTTCGCAAGCTTGGCCAGACCTACTCCTCACTGAGCGAGAACTCTTGGCTCGCCAAGGCTATTCCATCTTTCATGTTCGGCATGTTGACAGTCAAGCTGTCGCCCCTGTGGGACGACACAATCACCGCACTGAAGTTGGTTGGAGAATCAAAACATGGCGAGGAGGCTATTTCCACTATCGCTTTCAACTGGCTGGAAACCCCGTCCCCGAGATGGTCTGGACCTAACAGTCAGCCGTCGCTTCAAGGCAGGGAAGCAATCACCGACTTCGACTGTCTCCACATCAAGAAGCTCTGGAAGATCGCTGATGAGGTAGAACAAGTGGTCAACAACGCCACAGACCTCATGCTTGAAGCATTCGACGAGCAGCAGCAGGCGGTCGATCCTCACGGCGCCAACGCTCGCGCACAGGCGCTGAAGGTGTTCAACGGGATGCCGATCTTTGCCGAAAAGCGCTCGCGCAAGCTGGTGCCTTTCTTCTTGCCCTGGGCTGTCGACGAGGATGAGGACGAGCAGTCTGACAGTGCGGATGACGAAGAGGCCCAGTCCAAGGGAGAAGATTGGTCGCTCCAGGACCGAAAGGCAATGGTTGGCGTCTTTTCTCAGTTCGTCAATCCGAAGGTCTTGTACCAGCACGAGAAGGTGTACCGCGCGCTTCTGCATTTGTTAGAGAATGGTGATGGCGAGGTGCAGAAGCTAGCCTTGAAGGCCATCCTCGCATGGAAGCAGGAGGGAGTCCGACCTTACCAGGAAAACTTGGAGTACCTCCTCGACGAGGCCAGATTCAAGAACGAAGTCACGGTCTTCCTTCAGAACGATGAGGTCATTCGGCCGGAGCACCGGGCAGAGCTGATGCCTGTTCTGCTGAGACTCTTGTATGGACGCACCATCTCGAAGAAGGGTGTAGCCAGCGGCCGCCATGGTCTGCAAGCTACTCGTTTGACAGTTCTAAGAAACTTGAGCGTCGAGGATATGGGAAGCTTCCTGGATATCGCGATCGGCGGGCTCAAGGGTGCTCGTGTCATTGATGAATCTGGCTTCCGTTCCAACTTGTTCGACCGAGAGATTCTCCCTGCTCGCAAGCAAGTGGGTTTCATGAACATGATGCTGCCTCTGATCAACGAGCTGGGCGCTCACGTCGGTCCTTATGTTGAGAAGCTTCTCCACCCAGTTCTGTATTGCTTGATCTTTGCTTGCAGGCGCCTGAAGGAGACTGAGATCGAGTCAGACGAAGAGGCTGAAGAGACCAACGAGGCTTCCCAGGAGTCTCTTCTCAAGGCTATTCGTACCACTGGCCTGAAGTGCATCATCACCTTGTTCCGCAACGCACAGGACTTCAACTGGTCGCCCTACTCAGAACCCATCGTCAACGAGGTCGTCACCCCCAGAATCGAGAAGCTGCCTATCGAGACCGCTCAGTCAATCTCTGGTATCCTGCAACTTCTCTGGACCTGGTCTCAGCTCCCCAAGGCCGGATTATTCATTTCCATCAACGACCAGATCCTGCCTAAGGTCATTGAGTGCGTGGCTGTGCCGAAGGCGAAGGAAAATGTTAAGGTCTTTGCCCTTAGCATCGTCCGCAACCTCATCAAGCTGGCCCAGGCACCTGCCGGGGAGTCCGAGTTCAACGAGCTTATTCGGGCTGAGCTCCTTGACGCTAACATGGAGATGATGTTGAAGACCATCACCGAGACCTTGGAGAACCAGAGCATGGGTAATGAACTGCTCGAGGCTTCTATCGAGGCCATTGTCGAACTCTCCCCTCTGGTCGAAACTTCCGAGAACATCCAGCAGACGCTCAGAATCTCTACGTGGCTCCTCAACCAGCCCCCAAGGAGAGTCAACCCAAGAGCCAAGGGCAAGATTCTGCTCATTTTGGAGCGCTTCATTACCATTCTCGGATCTACAGAGGCCGAGGAGACGACTGCCGATATCGCTATCTACGAGACTCTGTCCTCACTCTTCAGCTATTTCAAGGATTCGGACAACAGACAGGCGCTGGCTCGCGTCCTCATTGCGCTTGCCGCCAAGGACAATACCCTTCAAGAGGTTTCCGATATCTGCAGCTCTCTCAACGCCTTCGCTTCCGATCGCATCGACGAGCCGGACTACGACCAGAGGCTCAAGGCTTTCAACCAGATCACGAAGAGAGAGTCGCCATTCACCGTTAGACAATGGCTGGCTTTGCTGCATAACCTGATCTTCTTCATTCGCTCCGACGAGGAGTACGGCATTCTGGCCTCCAACTCCGCAGACGGCATCCGCAAGTTCATCTCCCAAGTCGCGTCTTGCAAAGATGAAGCCTCCAAGGCCGGGTTCGACTCTCAGTTGAAGACCATCTTGCTTCCAGCTATCTACTCCGGTGCCCGTGAAGAGTCCGCGACCGTCAGGAGAGAGTATCTCAGAGTCTTCGGCTACCTGCTGTCTCAGATGCCAGCATGGGAGCCGGTGGCAGATATGAAGGGCCTCCTTGAGGGCGAGCTTGATGAGGAGACCACTGAGTTGCCTTTCTTCTTCAACATTCTTAGTCCCGCCACCTCCCGACAATTGGAGGCCATCCGTTTCCTCGAGTCTGCCAACGATGGTTCAGAGATGAGCAGTCAGAACCTCAGCATGTTCTTCATTCCCCTCCTCGAAAACTTCATTTTCAACCGCGCCGACGGAAGCGACGACCACGGCTTGGGCGCTCAGGCTACAACCACCATTGGAAAATTGGCACTCTCCCTCGACTGGAAGCACTACCGCGTGATCCTGCAGAGGTACATCAGCTACGTCGAATCCAAGCCCGATCTTCAGAAGCAAGTCAACCGACTGCTTGGCAAGTTCAGCGATGCCCTCGTTGTCTCTGTGGAGTCGAAATCCGCGGACCCAATGCAGTTGGATGATGCTGAAGCTGCGCCATCGGTCAAGAGGCTGGCTCTCACTGTCCCCGCCCAAGAGAAGCTCAGCACCGACATCAGCAACCTCTTCCTTCCCACCCTGATCAAGCATCTTCACGAGAAGGACGAGTCGGAGGTCAGTCACCGTGTACCGGTTGGTGTCATCGTCGTCAAGCTCCTCAAGATCCTCCCGTCGGAAGAAATGGGCCAGAAGCTGGCTGGTGTTCTGACCGACATCTGCCACATTCTACGCAGTAAGGACTTCACTGCGCGTGAGATGGCCAGAGATACTCTGGTGCAAATCGCCTCAGTACTGGGACCGACCTACTTTGGCTTCATCCTCAAGGAACTGCGTGGCGCTCTCAAGCGCGGCTACCAACTCCACGTTCTCTCGTACACTCTCCACTCCATGCTCCTGAGGGTTATTCCGGAATTCCAGCAGGGTGATCTCGACTACGCTCTCTGGTCCATTGTTGCCGTCATCGTCGACGACATCTTCGGCGCCACCGGCCAAGAGAAGGATGCCGAGGGCTACATCAGCCAGATGAAGGAAGTCAAGGCCGGCAAGTCTCAGGACTCGATGGAGCTCATTGCCAAGTCGGCTTCCATCAATAAGCTCGTCGCTCTTGTCCACCCTCTGCAAAACCTCCTCTTGCAAAAGGTCGACCTCAAGCTTGTCCGCAAGATCGAGGCCTTGTTGGCAAGAATCACGGCCGGTCTGCTGCAGAACCCTGCTGCAGAGAGCCGTGACACGCTGGTGTTCTGCTACGAGGTCATTCAGGAAGTCTACAAGAGCCAACAGCCGGAGGCGGCTCCCAAGGTCGACTTCCGCACGAAGCGATACCTCTACCAGAAGGGAGTGAAAAGGGATAACCACGGCACCGCCGGCAAGTACACCTTCAAGCTGGTCAAGTTTGCCTTTGACATCCTTCGGTCTGTCTGGAAGAAGCACGACAGCCTGCGTACCGCAGCCAACATTACCGGCTTCGTCCCCATCATCGGAGATGCTATTGTTGGCGGCGAAGACGACGTCAAGGTTGCAGCATTCAAAGTGCTCACCGTCCTGGTAAAGGTTCCGTTCAACAACAACGAGGACGTTGACCTGTTTAAGGTCGCTACCAAGGAGGCCACGAAGAGCATTTCCATGTCTACTTCCACCACGACCGACCTTTCACAGGCAGCTCTCAAATGGCTCTCCGTCGTTCTCCGCGAGCGGAAGGACATTCCTGTCAAGGATGCCGCAATCGACCTGCTCCTCGGCAAGCTCAAGGAGGACCTGACGGAGCCCCTCTACCGCCACGTCACCTTCAACTTCTTGCGCTCCGTTCTTGGGCGCCAGATCGAGACCGCGGTCGTCTACGACACTATGGACTACGTCGGTACCGTCATGATTACCAACGACGACCAGAACACGAGAGATCTCGCAAGAGGAGCGTTCTTCCAGTTCCTCAAGGATTACCCGCAGAGGAAGGCTCGCTGGGTCAAGCAGCTCAACTTTATCGTCGCCAACCTCACATACGAGCGCGAGGGAGGCCGCCTGTCTGTCATGGAGGTTGTTCATCTTCTGTTGATGAAGTCCGCCGACGACTTTGTCCAGGAAGCCATTTCCACCTGCTTCTTGCCCCTAGTCATGGTCCTTGCCAACGACGACAGCGAGAAGTGCTGCCTCGCCGCTGGAGAGGTACTCAAGGAGATGTTCCGCAAGGCCGACAAGGAGAGGATGCAGAACTTCATGACGCTGTTGCGATCGTGGCTTGAGCAGGAGGACAACGCAGCCGTGACCAAGCTGGCTCTGCAGGCCTTCGGTTTCTTCTTTGAGGCCAAGGAGCCTTCCACCAAGCACAAGAAGGAGCTGGAGTTGGTGATCAGCAAGATCAGCGAGGTCGTGGGAACCGGCGACATCCGCGTCGCAGACGAGGACCTCATGAAGACTGTCCTCCACGACCTGCAGGTGCTCACGGAGAAGTACCCAGCTCGACTCCTTTCGTCAGAATCTCGCGAGTTGTGGAGCGACGTCCGCACATGTCTCACGCACCCCGAGAATTCGGTCAAGCTGAGCACCACCAAGGTGCTTAGCGCCTTCCTGGCCGACTACGCCGGCAAGCCAGCCCAGGCCGGGGCGACACTCAAGGGATCTCATGGCCTCAATCTTGAGTGCGAGGACATCGAGGAGCTCGTCCGGCTGGCCATGTACGCCCTGAGGACGCCCGAGATCGACGACGCCCTCGCCGCGGAACTCACACAGATCTTGATCTTCCTGGGTCCCCGCCTGCCCGTCAAGGTACAGAACGTACCCGAGGCAGAGACGTTGGGAGACAGAGACGAGCAGGAGGCGGAGGAGGACAGAATCGAGGAGAAGCGCAAGGACCTTCAATACCTCTTCTGGAAGCTGTCCTCCCTGCTGCGTAAGGACGTGCGCCCCAAGTCGACCGCCATCACCCCGAAGGTCGTCGCCATGGAGGTGCTGGAGACCATCTGCCGCCGCGTGCCGCAGGAGCACCTGGAGCCGTCGCTCAAGACGATCCTCTACCCCCTGCAGAACTTGACGGACCCCAACATCCCCGTGCCCTTCTCGATGGACGACCAGTTCAAGACCAAGCTTGACGGTCTGAAGACGAGGGCGCAGATCCTGATGGACTCCCTGCAGAAGAAGTTCGGCACCGCCGAGTACACCAAGACGCTGCTCGAGATCAGGGAGGAGGTGCGGACGAGGAGACAGCAGAGGTCGAGCAAGCGCAAGATCGAGGCGCTCGCGCAGCCGGAGAAGTACGGCAGGGACAAGAGGAAGAAGACGGAGAAGAAGAAGGAAAAGAAGAAGGTCAGGAGCGCCGAGAACAAGGCGGCCAGACAGGCGTACAAGGGGTGGTAATTGTTGAAGTTTGCACCTAGATTGCATGGACTGGCGTTTTGAGGTTTGGGAAAATGGTGAGGATTTTACATGGTGTATCCTATAGTACAAGGGCTACGTCGCCCGTTCATATGTGAGCTTTTATCTATTCTACTGTTACAATTCGTCCTGAGCTTTTCGTCTCCCATGTGCAGTGGTGATGGGTATCCAGAACGCCGTCTTCTATGCAGTCATAACCCCGCGGACCGAGGCCGTCTTTTTTGTGACCCTTACCCTCCCCTCGCCAAATTTCACAGGTGTTGTACATTATTTCGTTCGATGTGTTTGGTCATTTCCTCTCAAGAAGAGTCCTTCTTCTCTCCATCCGCAGCCTGAGCGCCCTCGTCGGGGTAGAATTCGATGTCGCCATCCTCGCCGAGAGTACCCTTCTTCACAAGCCTGCCCTTCTCGCGCATGAGGTCCTCGACGGTGACCTTCTTGTCGCCGAAGATGCCGAGGTGGTCGCTGATGACGTGACGGTTGCGGCAGCCGGGACAGGTGATGAGGACGGAGCCGTGGTGGTAGCCCTGCTTAGAGACCTTGTGGCGGGAGCGGGTGTCGCAGGGGACGCAGGTGAAGTCGAGCTGGTAGTGCGGGTTCGACTCGAGGCGGATCTGCTGGTCCGACATGTCCTCCGCCTTGCGCGCGGCCTTGGGCTTCGGTATTGAGTGTGCCAGGCGCGCCGAGACGGCGGGTTGGAGGGGTGCTTGGGATGCGAAGACGCCTTGGGGGATCAGGCGCATGATGGGGGATGCGCTGGGGCGTGCTGTTTGGCGCAGTACGGGTGCGAGCCTGGTAAATGCTGAGCGGGAAGCCATTTTGATGCGTTGCGACGGCAGACTACCGTGGGGGTGATTTGGACGTTTGGTCGTGGTGAGGGTGGAAGCTCGTGAATTTCGAGGTCTGGCTTGAACTGCGGCGCAAACCTGGCCTGGGAATGCCGTCACTGCGGGCTCCGTCAATTTAAAAAAAAAAAAATGTACGCCACATGTGGCGCAAAGCTGTGGATTATTGGATTGAAAATCAGCCAATCAGAACTCTTCAGTCCTACCAGAACGGTCTGTGCGCTTCCCATCCAGGGCAAGGGTCGAAATCGATTGGGTCCGACAACCCGGTCGCGCCTTCCGCCTCGTGTGCACGCGCGGACCATCCCGGCGTCGGGCAAGCAGCGCAGCCTCGCTGTGTGTGAACTTCAGACAACAACATCTGCCTGTCTGCGATGCCTTTTTCAACACTTGATCCTGCCGCGAACCTGCAACTGCCTTGCGCGGTCAACACTACGACGGCTAGCTAGGCGAGCCCTTTCTTTTGCGTTGTTCTACCCCTCCGACTCCCTTCTTCAACCACTTTCCCCAGGCCATCGTCTGTCTGCAACCGCTACACTTTCTGGGAAAGCTACCCCGCCGCCACTTACTCGGGTTTCCGCGATAGCTCTCTCGATCTGAAACGGCAACCCAACACACAACTTTTTTGCTGCGATTATCGACTTGCAAGCGATATACCGATACCGAGAAGGCTGTCTACAAGATGATTTCTGGTAGAGGTGGAGGAGGTACGGCCATGCGGGCTGGTCGCATTCGGCCCCCGCGCCGTCCGAGCCGGGTAAGTTGTCATTTTTGTCTGGGACGAAGGCATTGGTGGTGGTGAGGGGTCTTCAGGCTGTGGGATGTCGTGGTGTGAGGAATCGACCGAAGTCATGGGTTTCTTGTTGCTCTTGCATCGTCCCTACTTCCATTCAATGTCGTTTGCGTGATTGAGCACTGCCTGTTACATACTTTCAACAATGGAGAGAGTCGAGATGAACTGGAGAGACGGCGACATCGGAAGAAGCCGAGCTAACATCCTGAGCAGCTTACCTCCGGAATCGACACGAGCGACTTCGAGCAGTGCTGGGAGACCCTCAAGCAGGCCCTCACCGACATCCACAACCAGAACTGCAGCACGCTGTCCTTCGAACAACTATACCGAGCTTCGTACAAAATTGTTCTTAAGAAGAAAGGAGAGATGCTGTACGACCGCGTCAAACAGTACGAAGAGCAGTACTTTGCCGAGCACGTTATCCCCGATATCGAGAAACTCGTCACTGCGAACCTCGTAAGTGCCGCTATGGGTGGCTCGGCCACGTCAGTCAACGAACGACGCAAGATGGGCGAGCACTTTCTACGGGGCGTGAGAGCCTCCTGGGACCACCACAACACTTCCATGAACATGACCGCCGATATCCTCATGTACCTCGATCGCGGCTACACGCAAGATGCCCGACGAGCATCCATCTACACTGCGACCATCGGCCTGTTCCGAGACCACATTCTTCGAGCCAACTTGAACTCTAGCGGCGAGCACACCGTCTTTGAGATCTTGAACTCGGTCATTTTGGACCAGATCAACATGGAGCGGGATGGAGACAACATCGATCGCCACTTGTTGCGCAACATCGTCCGCATGCTGGACTGTCTTTACGAAACAGACGACGAGAACGAGGCGGAGAAGCTGTATCTTACAACTTTCGAGCCAGCGTATCTGCGGTCAGAACGCGAGTACTACGCCCGGGAGTGTGAGCGGCTACTTCGTGACGCTGATGCAGGCGCCTGGCTGCGACACACTCAACGCCGCTTGATTGAGGAGAACGACCGATGCGACACTACCATTCACTATGAGACAAGAGAGAAATCCACCAAGGTGGTAGAGGAAGAGCTGATCTCTGCGCATTTGGACGACTTCCTGAATCTGGAAGGCAGCGGATTGAAGTCAATGGTCAACTACGACCGCGTGGAAGAGCTCTCCATTTTATATCAGCTTGTTTCGAGGGTCGACTCGAAGAAGACATCCCTCAAGGCGATTTTGTCTAGCAGAGTTGTTGAGCTTGGTCTGGAAATCGAGCAGATTTTGAAGGACACCAACTTTGCAACGGTTCCTGCGCCCGACGGTGAGGAAGCGGAGGGCGCGGAGAAGACCAAGACGTTGAGCTCCTCTGCTCAGCAGACCGCCGCTGCCATCAAGTGGGTCGACGACGTCCTTAAGCTGAAGGACAAATTCGACAATCTGTGGAAGAAGTGTTTCCAGGAAGACCTCATCATTCAGACTGCTCTCACGAAAAGCTTTTCTGACTTCATCAACATGTTCACGAAGAGCTCCGAATACGTCTCCCTGTTTATCGACGACAACCTGCGCCGTGGTATTCGAGGCAAGACGGAGACTGAGACCGAGGAAGTTCTGGAGAAGGCCATCACCATCATCCGCTACCTTTCCGACAAGGATCTTTTCGAAAGATACTACCAGAAGCACCTCGCCAAGCGTCTTCTTCACAACAAGTCGGAGAGTCACGACGTGGAGAAGTCGATGATCTCGCGCATGAAGCAGGAACTCGGCAACCAGTTTACCGCCAAATTCGAGGGCATGTTCAGAGACATGGAGTCTTCGTCCGAGCTGTCTGCGGGCTACAGAGACCATATTAGAGGCCTGGGCGATGTGGAACGCAAACAGATCGACCTTGCTGTGAGCATCCTGACGACCAACTCGTGGCCCCCCGATATCATGGGACGGACTTCGCAATTCGCCGACGGCACTGGCTGCATTTGGCCGGAGGATATCAAGCGCCTGCAGGAGAGCTTGCTCAAGTACTACCTTACCAACCGCAGTGGTCGCAAGCTGACCTGGCTGGGATCTACCGGCAGTGCCGACATCAAGATGGTTTTCCCCGCCATCCCCGGCGGCAAGGGCCCGTTGTCGCGTGAGCGAAGATACGAGCTTAATGTCCCGACGTACGGCATGGTTGTGCTTATGCTCTTCAATGATCTGGAGGACGGTCAGGAGCTGTCCCTGGAGGAGATCCAAGCCAAGACAAACATCCCCCTCCAAGACCTTGTCAGAGTCCTTACGTCAATCTCCGTCGTTCCCAAAGCCCGGGTTCTGCTCAAGGATCCCGCCAACAAGTCGGTCAAACCCGGAGACAAGTTCAAGTTCAACAGTGGCTTTGTCAGCAAGCAGATGCGCATCAAGGCACCCATCATCAACGCCACGTCCAAGGTCGAAGGCGACGATGAGAGGAAGCAGACCGAGGAGAAGAACAACCAGACCCGTGCCCATGTCATTGATGCCGCACTCGTCAGAATCATGAAGTTTGTTTCCCGTCTCGCGCTATTGCACTACGTAGACTAACCATTACCAGGCAACGCAAGGAGCTTACTCACTCGCACCTCATCACCGAGGTCATCGATCAGCTCAGCAGCCGCTTCAAGCCGGAGATCAGTCTCATCAAGAAGCGCATCGAGGACCTCATAGTGCGCGAGTACCTCGAGCGCGTGGAGGACGCGTCGACGCCCACGTACCGCTACCTCGCCTGAGCCGACGCCGGAGCGATGCGACAGTAAGAACGATGACGGAAATGATTACCATGATATTTGATTAGACGGCATCTCGGGCTGCATTAGGGAAGGCTGGGGGGTTTGATTAAGGGATTCGGCGTTCGAGCGGACGGACGGACGGGTTGGTCGATAAGCATGCGTGCGCATCACTTGCTGAGAAAAAGGGGACCCCGGTGGTAGCTGGAATTGAGCGTGACTATCCCCTTGCGAAGGTACAACTCAAAGCGTCGATATCGCCTTGGGCGATTCGTGATCTTTGATTGAAGACGATGGGCGCTCGCCAGGGTCGGGACCCGCAGCGAATGTAAATATTATCTTCGTGTGTACGAATTTTCAAGGAATCTTGCATGAGCAATCAATGTTGACGTGTGCGGTTCAGAGGATAAAGCCAATAGCAGTGCTGAGCTTCCTCGTCATGGATAATGTCAAGTCTGTGTTTGTTATAGAGAGGAAATCTCGATCCATATTCCTCCCACCAAGCTGCTTCGACGAGATATTTCGTCGTCGGCGTGGGATCGAAGGACAGGGTTTTACTGCTTATTTAAGGGCCGTTGGATATGGGTCTCCATGTCATCAGTTACTCTAGCGTATGGATAGTCGCGGCCATCGGCGGTTAGACGGCGGCAGGCTGACATGACATCAAGCAGAATGTACCAGCCATCATCGAAGTCTTTGCAAGGCATGGAGTTCAGCGTAGGTGGACTGTGAGTATTTGGTTGCGAATAGTAGTGAGATGGCAGAGATGATGGATGGTAGTCGCTGTCGGGCTCGAGCGGCGTCGATTTGGGCACTTGTTGTCTGTATCATACGAGAGGAGCTGCACACAAAGAGTGCCACTCTCAAGAAACGACCCCAAATGAGGTTTCCAATCCGGTCCGCAGAGTGAGAGGTCAGACCGGCAAAGCGTATGTTATATAGTGGTCAAGCTTCTGGCCGGGTGTGGGTTTTCGATGTAGAGGTCTGTTCTAGATAGCGGAAGCGCTTCCCGTGGTATGGATCGTGTTCGTCTGCAGAGGACTAGACGGGTTGTCGCAAGACTTCATATCCCTCTGGAAGCACCCGGTGTTTCTGAGATATGAGTATGAGTACATGTCCCCTGGGAAAAGCGGAAGAGGACGCGATAGTGAAAGCCTTCCACTTACATCTCAATCAGCATATTTGGACAAGTTGTGTTAGAGTATGATTAGATCTTTACCTCAAATACCTCATGCTCGACTGTTTAGTTGAGGGCTTCTGCAACGTGAGATGGGCGCACTCTGTGTCTCAGCTTCTTGAAAAGGACAAGATAGAGCCTTTGCTAGAAGACGATATGACAAAGTTGTGATGAAGTTCACGGGGAGTCTGCTTCTGGTACTCATTCGAGGAGGGATATTTGGGAAATGCGGAGGACGCCGGACGCTGGGATACGGAGGGTCAAACTCATGATCTTGGGGATGACTTCAGTCCTGAGGATGTAGTTTACTTTTTGGCTTGAACGATAGGGTAGATTCCACTATACGCTGGTCGCATCAGAGAATCAAATTTGCCTATTCTTCAATGCTGAAATCTTACTTGTATTATATAGTCGACGTCGCTGGAATCCAGACTTCGCACTATGGCGTTCCATGACGCCGTCTCTCAGATCCGTAGCCACATACGACGGAAAACAGTGGGGCTTTGTGAGTTTGGCCACGGTATAAAACTGCCAATATTGAGCAGTTCATTGGATTCTCGATGGACAGAATGTTTGATGAGAGTTCTGTTCGTGGATGAACTGCTATGGGCTTGGCTGTGATCTTGGTGTGTGTGATGCAACCATCGATGACGAACTCTTGCGCCTGAAAGCTTGTTTCTGTTATGATTCCATGAGAATAAACACCGGAAGATAACCAGAGACGTAGGCGAAAGACACTGAGGTTCGGATTGTTGGATCGGTTGGGAATGAGAGAGCTCATGGAAGGCCTCGAGTCGACTCAGGGGTACAATCTGTAGAAGCCCAGAAACTGTTATAAATGATGAGAAAGACGTCGAAAAAAAGCCTTCTGACGGTCCTTTGGTTGCAAATAAAGTGACATGTCAGTGACTGGGACTGCCTTTAAAAGTTCGACTGGGTCATTGACGTAGATATCGGGTTGACGGCAGCTATACTCCTGCACCCTGGCTGGCTTGACGGAGACCTCACGTCGAGCGTGCAGCTTACGATTCGGAGATTATAACCGAAATATACCGCGAGGTCAATCCCTGCTGTATATGCAGAAGGGCAACGAAGGACTCGCTGTCGTTAGTTCCGCTGTCCTTGGGGAAGTTAGACACAGTTTTTGTTTCCAACTACATGGTCTGAGAACTAGAAGCCAAGTTACATGATAGAGAGAAGGCTTTAGGTTGGATACCAGCCGTCAATGAGATTACCTCCCCACCATCGCTGCATCCAAGTTCAGGAGCACAATGATTCCCATCTTCCTCACATGCAGCCAAATCACAGAGCCATCCCGCAGCTATCACTGGTAAACGTCGCCGTACATACAAAACCTAGATACGGCTGTCTCACTCTGTATATAATCTCAAATTGTAAAAGAAAACGTCCCCCACCAAACATGAAAGATGGGAAACACAGAGGGTTTTCTTGGCAACGCAGCGTTTAGCGGTTACACCATGGAAGCCGTCACAACGACCAAAGAAGAACATCGAAGACCCAACAACAACATGTTAATTGAAAAGGGGTATTTGATTCCTTTTGTGGCTGAATACATAGAGAACAGAAGAGACGTCCGACGACATCCATACGTTATCATGCTTAATAAGAACACTCGCTCTGGGTGATCGGCCGGCAGCCGCAACTCCCTCGTCGTTTTCGAATCAAATTTATGGTTCTTGTTGATTAGTCTGCTCCTTGTCGGACAGATCATAGGACTCAAAACAGAGTTTCATGCTGGGGTTAGACTCTTTTCCCTCCACTGCTCCATCCGTCTTATACCTGATGCCTCGTGAGCCCAAGCCTGCTTTGGTTGTGATGAAGAGCGACTCAAGCACACAGGTGGCCCGCACGGGGTTGAGCATCTTCGTTCTTCTTTTAGGTGGTGACGGCCAACCAACGTCGACCAAACGACCTGTATCTTGACGCTTCGGTTTGGTCATGTTTCTTCGAACAAGCCGAACATTTCTATCCATCCCCCTTAAAAAGGGAAGATAGATTTCATTGTCGATTTTGAAGTCGCGGCTTGGACGTTGATTTTGTCTGGGTTGTTCAAGATCGGTTGATCATGGGTCGGATACAAACATATTTCTGACAAGCTAGCCTCTACAGGACGAGAGGCCTCGTCTGAAACCTGGCCATCTGTGTATTCATCTAAGAACACTTGGGAAACAACTAAGACGGGAGACAAAAGCGAAGCAGCGTCTTCTCTATGACTTCTTCTGGTATTACAAATTTTGACGAGTTTCCACCAAGAAAGCAATGTTAGGATGAAGATCTAACACTGTCGTAGAATGAACTCTGGGTCGATTTTGGGCGACAGACCTTTCGAGGGTTCAATACCACTTGTTCTATTATATACCTAGAATGACGTGGGGGACCCCGTCTCTGCCGAACATGTCTTCCGTACATGCCTATCGACTAATTGTGACCTCTCAGGGAAAGAGTTTTCAGACATAGCGCCGGCATGTAGGTCCCATCTATAAAAGAGAAGCGCAGCACCCGGGTTGAGTGATTCTCCACAACGAGACTTGAAATTCCATTAGCTGTTCTCGTCGTGGTCGATTCGGGCTATGCCATAGATGTAACCACGTGCGCACTGGGTCATCAAAACGACGAAAAAGTAGACACCTGCATCCGTCATCCTACTTAAGGATTATTCAGTTCTTTCGGAGGCCGATTAACCCCCCGACAGAAGCAACGCCAAAAGATATCCATCTACCCCTTGGTGCCCTTTAAAGCACAACAACGCCCAGGACACTTGCTGACTTGTCGGATCGAAACTTGCAAGTAACTCGAGGGGGGCTCCTCATACTGGACAAAAAGAAGCTGAGAAAGGTACACTGCTCTTACGGAGATCTGCCCTGAATTTCCCAACGAACGCGGGAGCCGGGCTTCTTATACCCCTCGACTTGTCCCGACGGAGTTGCCACTCCAAAAACGATGAACCCCAGAACGGAACTCATTGCGAACAACCACGAACGACAAACAATGTCCCGAGAATGTTGCTGCAACTTCTGATACATAACTCCACCAGCCGATACGATGAAGATGAGATGTCTTCTTGGCCTCATGGCTACCGACTGTGACATGGCGAATGTGACTTAAACACTGTTGCCTTGTTCACTGCTAGAAAGCGCGCCCCCTGTAGGGCGAGCACATACAACCTCACCAAGCACTACTCTCCGAACGGGGGGCATCACGAGAACTCACTTACCAGCGCGGATGCTCGCGAGCGTCAATATCGGAACTGAGCTCGGTCTCATTGGGATTGTCACTCTTTCTCGGCAGCTCGGGACAAAGCCCCCTCCACGCTGGCTATGCTTGGTGGAGGTGGGCTTCGGAGCAGAATTCGAACTACCCAAGCCCAATATCAACAGACAAAATCCTTAGTACTCATCTCTTCCCCGTTGCCGAGCAAGACAGCGGCAGCGACATGATATCCCAAAGCTACGAGAAGAAAAAACATCTTCCGCGGACATACGCTTACCCTGTGGTTGAAAGAGAAGTCCCTTGATCCGCCACGGGCAACAGACCGCATACCGATTTCGTCTTCTGCGATCTCCTCATACAATTCAACCCACACACAAGCCCACGCACTTTCGTTCCTCAGGACATGGAACACAGAAACCTCGACAAAACTTGATTACCCTTTGAAAACAAAACACGACTCGGTCATCGCGCGCTCGAGGCTCCGTCTGAAAGGGCCGTCACTTCCGCGGAGAACGTCCTTTCACGCGCACGCGCGCAAAGCTGCCGAGATGACGTTGGTTCGAGTTTCAACCGGCGGCTGGTCAATGATATCGTGGGCGAGGGAGGGCCCCTTTCGTCCAGGCAAAGCAGACGAGTTCCAAGAAACTCGTTGGAGTCGGGAGAGGAGGAGCTGAGTGTTTGCATCGCCGCTGTCGCAAACATTACAACAAAACCCTTCCTCGAAAGAAATGCTATTTCAACTGTTCAGAATGGGTATCAGTAAATGGGAATCATCTCTTTTAACACAATCCCCATCAATCGTCGCATCCCAAGGCCGTACCAGTTGACCTCTTTCTTCTTCTCCCTCGAATCACCTAATAAGTCACCAAACAAACAAAAAACCACAAACAAACCTCACTCTCCCTCGCGTCGAATACCAGAATCAATTGAAACCGACACCCCCGATCAAAAAAGACGATCGGTATCTCGGATCCCCCCTCTCACCAAACCCCCCCCGGGCGATTCGGCCGTGGTCCCCCCTCCCGCAATGGTTGCATGCCACGCGGGCGGAGGAGGGAAGGGGTGCTAAAAGGTTGCGGTGGTGGGTGGATATACCGCGGCCGTGATTACCCTGCCTTTCCTCGCCCCCCTTGCCCGGGGAGGACCCTTCCGGGATGTGCAAGTGTGCGTGAGAGGGTGGGTTGCAGCGAGCTCGCCAATCACGGGCTGCGTGGCATCTGCAAGAGGATGGATACCGCGCAGATTTGGAGGCTGAGCTGGGAGCACCAGCATCCAGCATCCAAGTGCACCACAACCACCACCACCACACCGCGTCGCCCGGTAAATCAGACCACCTGTTCTTAGAAGGATCTCTGATGGGGAGGGATATTTTGGCGTAGGTAGACAAAGAAAAAAACGCCGCGGAGGAGCGTCGAGGGTTGCAGGAATTCTTCGGCGGGAACGGTAATCGTGTCTTTTTGGCCGTCGCGACGAGTGTCGGACCTCGGACCGGTCGGTGAGCAATTTCGATGATTGATGGGCGCGGAATCCTCGGTCGGCTTCGCTTCGGTAGGCTCGGTGGGCCCGGTGAGATATTCGAGACGTCGAGGTGAGAACTGTCGAGGGGAACTCCCAGTCTTGGACGCACGTAAGACCCCTCGCGTTCGCATCATCAAGGAGAAACCACAAAAGTCCTAATCGTGTCATCATTTCTAAAAAGGCCGCCAAGGCCATAAGATATCGTCCACCCGAAAAGAAAAAAAAGAAGATCCAGAAAACAATAAATACCTTAGTAAAAACAAAACGTAGACGCAACGACGATGCCAACGAGCGTCCTTGCGGAAGGAGGAAGAGAAAGAAGATGAAGAGAATAAAACCCCCAAATGCCATTTCCCCAACCGTTGATAGCAGCCCCGAGCCAAATGAAATAGACTGATGACGATGAATCAAGTCGGACCTGTAGAGTCGGCCATGAAAAAAACACACGCGACGCCTCTCCGTCATCCCGCAGGAGACAACTTTTTATGCGATAAAAACTCCGATTTTGATATCCCAGACCTTCAGCCGACCGATGCGACCCCGCCGCTGCAAAGGGCGCATAAAGAGCCTCACATGTTCTGAAGCTTTTTGCGGAACTCGCGGCGCTTGTCCTCGCACTTGGTGCCGTCCTTGGGACACTCCCATCCGTTGTCCTCCACCTTTACTCTCGATAGGCACTTTGTGCAGCGCCACCAGGCCGGGTACGCCTTGCGCGTCTGCAGCCAGTCCTCCGTGATGTCGCCGCCCTTCTTGTTGACATCCTCCTTGTGCACATCGACGTAGTGGATTCGCAGCCGGTCTTTTCGACTGAAGGGCTCGTTTTTGCGGTTACAGGATAGATAGTCGCAGCTGAAAATGTCGTCATCCTTCTTGCCGCTGGCGCCGGCGACGCTGTTATTGCGGTTTCCTCCGCCCGCTGCTTTGGAATTTGCCTTGGCGGCGGGTTTGCCCTTGGTGGTCACCTTCGGACTCGGGTTGCTGACACTTGTTGCGGGTGTGCTGTCCTTCAATGACAGAGCTGGTGATGGTTGAGTCTGATTGTCGCCATGTACTTGCTTGTAATGCCGTTCAAGGTCGGCTTCGCGTTGAAAGGGCGGTGCTTGGCAAGGCCCTACGAGGCAAGGAAATGCGATGTCCTGCGTCTTGAGATTGGGTGACATGCTCGTAGCGATGCGAGGTATCGTCCGAGGTAGCTCCTCCGTAGCATAATCTGGTTGCAGCTGCCAAAAGCCGCCGCTCTCGTCTGGCATATAGTCGTACTTGGAACAGTCAAAAGCCTCGATGGACATGATAGGTTCGGTCCTTGGGCGACGTGTTAGCAGCGATTCTCGTGACGTCGCAGCAGGACTCGTCTCCGTGAAGTGGAAACCAAATCACGGAGAGAAGGGTTCCAATGGATGAACTCACCATTGTTGTGGCGATTCAATTTTGTTTTGGCCGCCTTTGCTGATGGCAGCATGCGATCGTTTTGCGGCCGTTGGAGGGGCCATGATGATTGGGCTTTCTTCTTTTGGGATTTAATCAGCGTCTGTCTCTCTTCCCCAGAGCGCGAATCTGTCCTTTCTCTCGGGCCTCGGGCTGCGAATCCACGCTCGTATCGCAGTACGCATGTGGGTGTCCAATAGGAATGAGAAAATTGCGGGAAAATAGTCGGCAAAATCAATAAAATCAATCGCTCCAGCCAGGAAAAAAAGATCGCAAGAACCAACCTTGACGTTTGGCCACTGGCATTGCGCAACGTATGTAAAATGACGGTCGGGCGTGAAATCAGTATATCGAATCGATCTGGGTCGTCTCCTCCCGTGTCGTCCTGTCTGTCAAGCAAGACCAAGGTTGTCTATCCAGAGGTCATGAGATTGAAGTTGATATTGAAGGCGCACACAGCCGTAGACAAGATGGATGGAGATGTAGAGAAGTGGGATGAAGGATCATTTCATAGCGGTCCCCAGCGGATAGGAAAGGAAAGAAATGGGATAGGACAGAAAAGTATGTTTGCGAAAAAAGCGGAAGACCCTTTTGGCTGTCGGTTGTTTGTCGTTCCTTTGGCACCAGGAGAGATAATTATTGCTTTTCTCCCACCCAGGGCAGCAAACCAACTGAGCCGAGCGACCAGTCAGGTCGAGTGAGTGTCCGTACCAACAACCTTGGCCGGGGATAGCAACCGCGCCGTGACGACGAACGAACGAAAGAACGAAGAGAGCAATCGGTCCAGGTCCAGGTTCCGGTTCAGGTTCAGGCTCAGGTCCTGCGCCCGTACGTACGGCACATGCAGGACTGTACTTTCGCTTGTTGCGAGTCGCGACCGACTCGAATATGCCTGGGTGCCGATGGATGTTGATGCCGTTGGTCGTTGAAGCGAATGGAGAGGTATGGATACGGATAGTGAGAAAGGTACTTTATGTACGGGAGACAGAACAGCCAGGTATCTCGGCCCCTAGTTGTCTTTCAAATAAGGGTTAAGGGTAAGGGTATCTGCGAGATGTATCCTTGCGTTAGCTCGTAGCAGCAGAAGCAGGAGAAGGAGCAGCAGCATGAACAGCAACACACACCAACAGCAGCTTTTACGCAGTGCTGCAGCTGTCGCAAAAAGACGCTCACCTCAACCACAAGAGGACATGGTACGTATTCCTGTTCGTAGCAACACATCTGGTGAGGGTGGCGGGGTTCGTGCTGTTTGTCCAATCCCGGGGAAGGACGGCAAGCCCAGTTCGGCCTTGAGCAGGACAGGAGGGGAGTGCTTTTCGGTCCCGGGGGTGAGAGTGGTAGGGGGGTGTCAGGATGTCTGGGTGTGGCTCCTCTCCGAATGACTTGGCGGAGTGAGGGATGAGATGTGATTGAGAGAGTAGAAGCTGCAGCGGCAGCGGCAGCAGCAGCAGCAGCAGTAGGCTGTAGCAGATCTACTATGCGTGCTAATAGAAGGCTGCTGAAGCGAAGCAGGTAGCAAGCAGCAAACACGGCATGTAAGGTGAGGTGAGATAGGTGGTAGGGTAGCGCGCCTGGTCCGGTTTGCTGGTTTTATGCGAGCGAGTGTCTCTCGAGATCGCTGGGTGGCTCGTTTGGACCGGACGGGACCCTGTCTCGGCTGTATGATGTGCTGTACGTGCTGAGATGAGAATAGAAAAGTTGCCCCGTTGCTGATGACCTAGCAGACGAATTCTGGAGCGGAGGGATTGAGATCGGAGGGAAGGGAGGGGGGAAGCGGCAAGGATTGGGGGACGGGCGTTGTCCATCCCGATATGTGTGCTGTGAGGCGTACATGACCGCTGGGTCTATTTGAACTTTGAGGGAACATTGGCTCGTATGTCGAATGTTGTGTTGAGCACGTTTGATAATGGTAAGGCAGGGTGTCAGTACGGATACCTCACGTTGGAACGAGCGCGAGAAGGGGAGAAAAAAAAATATGGTGATGGGCAGCAGCGGGAGATGACGTTGGTTGCAATATTGCACGGATACGGGATGGAAGTTTCATGGATGGATTGTTCGGTTGGTGTAAGGACAGGGAATATGGGAAAGGATCCCTATCCGTAAGGTAGCGTGCGAGTACTATGCAGTACGGGGACGTTGGGAAATATGCATTGTCAGCAATCCATCGAGAGAAAGAACCATGCAAGGCAATATTACTTGGGGAAACATCCATCGTCCATCATCGGACAGGGAAGCAGAAGCCGGAGCCCGAAGATTGTTTCTTGGTGCGAGGTGTGAGGTGGAAGCTGCGAACTGCTCAAGGGGATTCACGGCCAACACCAACAGCAGGCGTGGGTCGTCGGAATTCTGAGTCAAGGCCCAAGGAACACTTGTCCCTGGCGGCTTCAGGGCGAACCTAACCGACTGGACCAGGTATGATGGTAGCCGCGAGATCATCATTGATCATTGATCAGGGCTCCAGAGTCCAGCAATAATGTGTGGAGTGTGTGGGGCCGTGATGCCGTCCGTTGGTTCGAACCGGAACTTCATGGTGTGCTGTATCGTTGCAACTTGCAGCCGGAGGTGACGGTCAGTGGTATTCATGTAGTTGGTCTTCGTTTTGATGGAAATCGACCGCCGTGGAATGGTCGAAAAGCGGCAAGACGAAACAGCGTCTGACGGATTGGAAGCAAGAGAGACGGTAAGGGAAAAAGCAAGCAAGAGAGAGACGGGAAGGGCCCGATGGGTGAGAATCATCGTGGCTTGTTGTGTTTCGATGCGTGATTGGCGAGGAAAAGCGGGAGGAGTTACATTTTGCTTTTTACTTTATTTCACTTTTTATCTTATTGCATTTTGCATATTGTTTTCGGGCAGGACTTTTCCATCTTCCCACGAAAATGTCCGACGGGAAGGTAGCCGAGGGCAACCACTCTTGCATTGCTCCTGCACCGCGCACCGTTTGCAGCTTCCACAATGAGACGGGATAGATATGCCTGCCTTGAGAGGCAATGGAAGGCATTGGATGACAATAGCAAAAACAACAGATGGCAGGAGCAGGAGGCACGCGAGCCGGATACCAACTTGACCAGATGGCAGATGGCAGATGCTGCTTCCATTCTAGAAAGTGCAAAGTGCCCCGGACAGACGCGGTCTTGGCAGAAGCTGTTTCCTGAGGTTCCTCCTTCCCCACCTGGCATCTGCCAATTTGTCACCAACATCGGAAGTTTCGACTCGCGGCTTTTGGTCACCGATGCTGATGCTGTTGGTTCGACTCTTACAATTCCCAGAACAGAAGGCACATCATAAGCGACTGCATGTGAAATGATCAATCTTCACTCACATTCATCTGCGAGGCGATTCAAGTTGGGCCGAGATGGCACGCACTCATTTTTCCCATTCCACCATTTCCATTGGCGTCATGTCACGATCAGCTAGCTAGACTAGCTAACTAGCTTCCTCACTTTTTACCGAAAGCTGATGGCTGCTCATCCAGGACTTTCCCTGGAATACCGCTTGGGCTTTCACCCATTCATGTTAGGTACTGCTAGCCATTTATTGGCTCTCTTCTGCATCCAAGGATCTCACCATTCGCTTAGTTTGCTCTCACAGCTTAGGCGCCGTCCAACCTCTCCCACCGCCTCCGGACCCCATAAACCAAGAATCCATTGCTGCGTCGGGGTCCCGTACGGCTTCGTAAGTTTGTCCAGATATCCGCATACAACTCACATATGCGGTGTGGAAGCTGTCGGCAGCCTCGAGTCGACTTGGCCGGCTCTCACTTGCCAGCGTCATGCATGAAAGCCCCAGCCAAACTGACGTCTTATCCTATCGCCTCCATTCCAATCTAATACCTACGTTGCCCGCCCCGACTCCAGCTTCCGTCCAGCTATCCTCTCCGAATGCGTTCCGTGTCTGAGGCGGCAGTGGTGGTAGCAGCAGCAACAGCACCAGCACCGAAGATCAAATGAAAAATCAAGGAAGGGTGTGATCCGGAGTGAGACGCCAGGCAGTGATAGTGATGTAAGGTGAGGCAGATACGTTAGATAGAGCTAAGGTCGCAGAGAGAGCTCTAGCTATCTCACAACCAGTTTCCGTACACCACCACATAGACAGAAAAATCTGCATTCGTGCAAGAGGGGCGGTCAGAGCTCTCTCCGCTTCCTTGATAACCTACCGCATATCCCCTCCTTTGTCTCGTGGCCCTTCGTTCTGTGTCCATCTTCTTTCCCCTCTCGTATCGACCGCGAGTTTGGGGTATTGAGATGCCTGACCTGACCCGATGAATGTATTTTCCAAGGGAGGAAGATAACGTCGCGGGCCTGGAATAGGCGAACCAACAACCACTGGCCACAGGCCAAAAAACATATCGGCCTCTCTGAGGAACGAGGCAACATTTTACGACGACCTAGGGGAGGAAGGTGAAAGGCAGCTGGCAAGGACCTTTCTTACCTCCCACATTCGCCGCATCTACCGGGCTGGCTGTACCGATATCTTCCCTTCCATTCTCACCGTTCCCCTCCCCAATCGACCGCCGACGTGGACTCTCCACCTTCCATTCCGCGAACCGAAACCCATCCCGACTCGCATCTGCCGTCTCCGTTCTTCACCGAACGACAGGTCCATTTCTCACTTGCGCTGCGCTGTCACTTCACCGCCGCGCCGAAAATCAAGCGACAGGGGGTCCCCTTTCTCCAGCACCAGCACCAGCACCAACCAGACGTGTGGAAGCCGAGCCTTTTTAGCGCAAATCATCAGCACCCCTGAGCTCCTGGATTGACGAGATTACCACCGCCCGACATCCATCTTAAAAAAAAGAAAACGCGGAAGAAAGTTCCGTCTCGTATCACTCCCGAGCCTCGAAGCCTACGACGACACATCACGACCGACGACATCGTCACCGGCATCATCATCGGCATCAGTCACTGCCTCCACAAGGTAAGATTCTCTTACCCTGCTTTTCCACCCTCTGGTCACTGCCTGCACCGCAGCCTGCAGCCCAAGCCCCGGGTTACGTACGTGCTCTGGTGCTCGCGTCACAAAAAAATAAAAAAAGCTAATTCCAAGTGGAATGGAGCTGAAAAGACACATGGCCTGAACCAGTCAAATGTTTCATAACCATGACCTTTTCCCACATTAATCGACCCTGTGCATCCTCAACCAAGCTAACCCGCGCGTCCGTTTAAATAGACCACTGTCTTTTCTAGCGACCAAAGCACCCTTGCAACTCGACACCTCTTTTCTCTCCGACATCACTCCCTAGACCCTCTCGACGCGTACTCGTCGCCAAAAACCACCGACACAATGGCTCGCATCCAGATCCCCATCGACGCCCTGACGTCTCGCCTGAACCTCCAGGACCGCTTCAACTCGATGCGCTCCGGCGGCTTGAGTGCCCGCTTCGCCAACCTGCGTCCCGTCGGCGAGTTCTTCGACGTGAAGCGCATCTCCAAGCCCGCCAACTTTGGCGAGGTCCAGTCGCGATGGAACTACAACCTCTCCTACTTCTCCAGCAACTACACCGTCGTCTTCCTGATGCTGAGCATCTACGCCCTGCTCACCAACTGGCTGCTGCTGTTCGACATCATCTTCGTCGTCGCCGGCATGTTCCTCATCGGCAGGCTCGACGGCCGTGACCTCGAGATCGGTAACTTCCGCGCTACTACTTCGCAGCTGTGGACCGGTCTCCTCGTCATCTCTATTCCCTTGGGCCTGTTCGCGTCTCCCTTCTCGACGCTGCTCTGGCTCATCGGTGCTTCTGGCGTGGTCATCCTCGGCCACGCCGCTTTTATGGACAAGCCTATCGACGAGGCTTTTTCCGGGGAGGCGGTCTAGATGGTCGGCCGCGAGCTCCCAAATTTGCGCCCCAATGGGGAAGACCATCGAGGCGCGGGCGGAGGAATCAGGGAGCAGCGCAACAGGGGTACTGGGGGGATGGACAGAGAGTCGAGGAGCTAGAAACAGAAGAGGACGACTCGGATATACAAGGCGTTGGTTTGGTTTCGAGGGGAAAGCGGATTGCCAGCGACTCGCTTCGTTTCACGGGTACAGACTTGGGTGACAGGGCGGGTGCTTCACGCAGAGGCTACGAGTATCGATCGGAAGACGATGACGAAGACGACAGCAGCGAAGACGACAGCGAAGAGGAGGAGAACGACAACTCCTCAGGAGACGAACTTGATATTGACTGGGATAATTTGTCGCCCATGGAAAGAGAAGAAGCTCTGGTGCAGACAGCATTGGCTCGTATCCGCCGCGCCCAGGAAAACGGCAGAACGGATGTCAAGCTCAACAAGGAGGAGATGGCGGCTCTTGACCGACACAAGAAGCGCATGGAGAAGGAGGCACGCAAGCAAGAGCGCAGACGACGCAAGGAGAGGGACCAAAGAGTCTCCATCCCGCTGGCGCAGTTCGGGGCGCCCATGAGGAGACCGACCCTACCATCCGAGGACGACCTGCCACGCCACCCGTCTCCAGGCACATTCGCCGAGACCCAGGCCAGAGACACGATGCCCGCAGTGGGCTACTTCCCGCCACCGAGCGGTTCTCGCCCGCGCCAACGCTCGGGGACGTCTTCATCCCAACGACCGCCCTCCCAAGCGCTGCGCGAAAGAGGCTCTTCGCCTTTCCAGTACGCCTACGTCGGGGCGCGCCACACCTCGGATCCGAAACCATCGTCATCTCGGGGACCTACCGACGACGGATGGTCGCCGTCCTCCTCCACATCTTCCATGTCCAGATCAAGAGCCGGCGTCGACCCCTTCCAATTCCAGACGGAAGGTCCTCGCGCCCAGTCCGCCGCTGCGGCCCGACGTAAGGTGTCGGGCTCAACGGACGGGCGACGCACTCCTGTCGTTCCTCCGACGGCTCGGGTGACCAGGTCACGTGCGCCCCCGCCAGAAGAGGAGGAGGAGTCCAGCGAAGACAGCAGCAGCGAGGAGAGCACCGAGGAGAGCACTAGCGACGGCACCGGGAACGGCGCGCAGATTCAGCCGCAGCCGGCGCCGGCTCCGGCACGGCAAACCAGACGCGGCAGGAAAGAAGCCATCGTGGTCGAAGAGACCCGCGAGCCCGCGCGTGAAACGTCGCGGGGCAAGAAGTCATCTAATCCGTCGCCGTCCAAGAGGAAACCCGTCGGGGGCCGGAAAAAGAAGAAGTGATCGTCACCATGTCTGTCGTCGCCAAGGTCAACCCCTGTCCTGTATGCATAATAGAGCCTTATTTCTTAATCAATTCCTTCCAAAACCGCTCCGTCAAACCAAAAACGCTTGGAATGTCATCCCGTGATTAATGGTCATAAAGTCGTATCTCTTGATCTATCCTAAAAAAACGTATGCATCATGCACATCTAATTCTGAAGCCCGTCAGGGTCGATCCCGGAATTACCAGACGAACCGGGATCGTCTCTCCCTTCTCAAACCTTATTCCCAACGCCCAAAAATATCAAGTTATGGATATAGCCGTCCCAAGCAGCGAAATCAAAAACCTCCCTTCACCCTTCGTCATTCATCCTCAGACGAACATCTTGGCGATCCCGTTAACAAGCCCGTCGCCCCACCCGCCGCCCTCCCTCTCGACGGTCCTCCTCTCCCACCGCATGCCGTCGCCGTACCCGCGCTCGATGTTGACGGAGCCGGGCTTGCCGCCGAGGCCGTTGGTGGCCATACGCACGGCCTCGCCGACGAGGCCGACGCTGTCGCCCTGGGCGGCCTTCGCGCCGATGCCGATCATGCGCTCGACGGCGGGGGGCAGGCGCAGGCCGAAGCGGGCGAGGAGGGCCGTCAGGAAGCCGCCGGTGATGAGGGGCATGATGACGAGGGCGAGGACCTTGTAGGGGTGCTTCTTGGCGTAGTAGACGAGGTCGCGCCAGAGGCGCTTGACCTGCTTCAGCGTCTTCTGGACGAAGCCGCCGCGGGGGGAGCGTTTGTAGTAGGAGGGGGAGCGGCCTGGAACGTTGTAGCAGTGTGTCAGTCGGGGTCTCTTGTAATAACGTGTCACGACGGTTGTCTTGGTCACGACAGGAAGGTGAGCCCGAGACAGACATACCTCCGAGGCCGAAGAAGGAGCCGGACGAGCGCGAGGCGCTGGGGATGCCGAAGAAGGAAGAACGCGAGGCGCTGTGCTTCTTGTAGTCGTCGCCGCCGAAGAGGGAGGCGGCGATGCTGGGGGTGCCGCTGTGGCGCTTGGAGCGGGTGGAGGAGCGGGAGCGGGAGCGGTGCTTGCTGCTGCCGCCGTGCTTCTTGGAGGAGTGGCGGCGGGAGTGGGAGGACTTGTGGGAGAGGACGGACCCCGTGTCGAAGTCGAAGAAGCCCATTTTCGCTGGCGTGTATATCTTGCGTTTCTAGTCTTGGATTGTGTGTGTTCTATTCTATGATGCTGTTCGTTCCGCTACCTTGAGGTAACTCCAGGGAAGATGGCTGGAGGGGTTGACGGGACGGTGCGGTGCGTAGGGCTGTCTCGTGGAGCGTTCGCGGGGGGTTATTGGAGGCGAGATCTATTCCGTACACGCTTTTCCTGGGGTAACCTCTCGTGGAAGGGTTTGTGAGAGGGGGGCAGGAGGAGGAGGAGGAGTGTGGAAAGAAGAGAAGACAGGGAAGAAGAGACGGGGGGGAACGAGAGAAAGAGAGGGACGTTGTGGGTGGTGAGATGCGGGAATCCACCAAGCCGTTACGGACACACAAAAAAAGGGACCCTTGTACGAGGCTGGAGAATGCGACGTTGGGGTTTCGAGCACGTGTTTTTTGGTTCTTCCTCAGTCTTGTTTCGTGAAGCTATAGATAGGGCCTGGACGGTTCGAATTGATTGACGATATGGAGCTTTTCGTTCCAATCCAATACTATGCAGCGGGAAGCAGCAAGTCGGGACGATAGCGGGGACCCCTTGCTTGAAGATGATTGACTGCAAGCGAAAAAGCACGGGATGCGAGTGCTTGCAGGGCTTTCTTTAGTGCCGGGAATTATAATTTTCTCTGTCGATTCTCGTCTTGAGTGGACGGGGAATCCGGATGGAGGTTGGAATGTGGGCGGTGTGCTTTTGCGTTGTTCGATGCTGAGAGGTGAACTGGAGGGGAATTAACTGGAGGCCCGGCACGGGCAGGTCTGGACCTTCGCGAGGAAGCTTGGGTTTTTATCGGTAGCGAGGGTTGGGATGCGTGGTGGAGGGCCAATTGGATGTTGGGCGAACAGCGCACTGCAGCAAGAGCAATTGAGAATTCCTGATAGGTTTTTGATAATTCGGCGGTGTGGTTCACATTTGTGTGAGAGAGCTTTTGGTAGAGATTTAGCTAGAAATAAGATGGCTGGGAAGCTGTGCGAGAATCAGGGACCCGGCCGGAAACTTGTCTCTCATTCTCGGTCAGGACAGGGTCCCTCCATTCCCCTCTATCACGTTTTCGACCCGGGCAGTTCGCGCGCACGGAGCTTTTCTGAGAGGGAAGCTCGGGGGGTGAGTTTGCTTGCTTGCAGCTGACTTACCGCGCTAGGCGGGTTCGGGGTTGGCGTGTGGGTTGATCAGTTGCGGTCTGTGGAGAATTGCCGTGGGCTGGGGATCGTGAGGTCTTTTTTTGGTGTTGGTTGAGAGGGGCTTTCTGATGGCCCCTCCTGTTCTTTGCATGCTGTTTTGAGACCTCATGAAGTTGATTGAGTTCTTCAACCAGACTGAAAATTGATAGAGCTGGGGCCTCTTTGTCTAAATTTGTCTCCGCTGCTTAACTGCAAGTTCATGGACAAACAGCTTTCGAGTCTTAGCAAGCGCACAGGACGTAGTGTCCCTTATTTCCTTCTTTCTGCCAGAGGACTTGCTACAATTCTTCCGTATATTCTGATGTTTTCACGAAGGCAGCCTTTAAAAAGCAAAAAGCTTCACGGACTGACCTTACACAAACCAGCTAACGCCCCTGTAACCCGCCTACGTCGATATCCAGAATAGGGTAGCCAGCTGACGGTCTTTCGCCCTCCGTGTGTCGCAAGACACCCAGATGCTGCGCAGAAACATCACTCGCCAGCAACTCCTCGCTTTCATTTCCCGTCTTACTTGTTTCTCATGTATTCACACGCGATACCCAGCCGTATCAAGTTGGGCCAGATTTCAAACCCTCGCTTCTCCGTTGGAGAGGCTCCGAGGGCAAATCCAGAGCCTGCGTCACTGTAGGAACAGGTGACTGGGCATGACCACATCAAACTGAATGAGAGACCATTCTTCTCGAAACCTTCATGCGCATTCCCGCACCTGCCAGGCACCGCTAAATAGTAGCCAAATGATGGGCCCAACGTACTTGAAGCCTAGCCGCGAGCTGGGTCGATCAGACGCCGTGGAATAAATTGGTTCCTCGCTTTTCCCGTTGGACACCGTTGTTTTGAAAACAGGATTAGCTGATCGGAAAAGTCGTCACAGAGGCGTATAGTTCTGGCGGCGAACCCGACGATCATTGACTTCTCGCAGTCATGGCCTCAGGTAAATGTGATACAAGCATTCATTCCGCGTCCGTCGTCGTTGTCGTTGATTTATTTTGCAAACATGGTCATCGTGTGGTTTTTGCCGTGTTTCTTCAGCAGGGGACGTCCGTCAGAACAGAGATGGGAAATACCGCGTTTGAGCAGACTCCTCTAAATCCAGACTTGCGACACATACATCAGCCCGCGAGTTGGTTGATCTAAAGTCCAAGCGGCTGCGGCGGCTATGGTGCCATCTGAGCAGGAGAAAGTGGCATTGATATGTTTTTGAGGACATATCAAGCAACGGCAGGCGGGGATGCCAATGTACAGGTGCCGCTCGGTGTTTCTCCTGTTCCCCATGTATTCAGCCACCAGGGGAACAGAACATCCCATTCCGATAGATGAGATGTTTGGGGCCTTAGGTGCTACTCTTCCGTTATGATTGCTCCCGCGACACTGGTAACGTCGCGATGAACAGGCGAAATGAGTTCCTCTATTGAGCATACAGGATGACGAGGACAGATTGGGCTCTGTCTATATCATTCTTGTCGTGAGAAGACTTGAATACTTATACCTATGACTCCCGAGAAAGACTTTGTGTGCCCATTCGGAATGCGACCACACGATTGTTTCGCACCCAAGTAACTTGAACGACCAGACGGCTTACATGTCTGACTGCATTCTTCCACTTTCTGAAATGAGCAAGGAAGCAGCAGCGGTCCTGAACAAAGGCTTGTTCCCAGACTAGTATATATTGGAAGCGCGGTGCCGTGATATCCCCTTCCTCAACGCCAAATCTGGCGGGGCTCGCCTCGTCCTGCTGGTGACTTACTCCTCTTTCTTTGCTCGTGGACTCTGCTCATACCGCGTTTTCAGAGAAGATGTGTCGTGAGGGGGGGTAATAACGTCTGACGGAAAGGAACTCAGTCGTTTGCCATCTTGATCGTCTTTCGTGCATTCATGCTTAGACACGTTTCAATATGACAGGCTTAATCATCAGCTGCACGATATGGCTCTTCCTAACACCGCTTTCTCGATTCCTTACGTACCAAGCATGTTCTCGTGCTATCACGCGACTTCTGTCATCGAATCAACAACCCCTCGCACCGCCGGCGGAGCGAGCCTTGATCCTATGGCCATGACGGCGAGGTCCTATACGAGGATGGCTCTCCAAACGACGTCTGAAATATGCAATAGTCAGCGTGCTGGTGTGAAGGTTGAGCGAAGGATTGCGGCGTTCGCAGTTATGTGTCAGTTTTGGTTTGCTGTATCGTGGTTGTGCAAGTGATACTGAGGCATATGCGAGTCTCAAGATGGTGGGAAATGCAGAGAGAGTCTGAAATTCGTACTAAGTTTTCACGGCGAGTTGACATGACTATTCTAGGAGACTCAAGTACGCAGGAATAGTTCATTCTTACTGAGGACGTACTTGAATTTCCTACAATACCGCCACTATGGCTTTCGCGGCTTGGTGATGGACTTTTATGAGACATCTCGGCCGACTGGAAGTCACCTCTGTTCAGGCTCGACGCTTAAAACACTGGTATATAATCTTGACACATTGCTCTACTTCGATGATTTCGCCCACAGCGCAGAGCCAGGAATTGGACGTAGCCTGGTTGAGGAGTCATGAGTAGAAGAAGTAAACTCTGTGTCGTATTGATTCTCAAGTCCGGGACTACGTGATCGTCCACGAGATGATTCGACCCAAAAACATGATCCACGTCCACGTCCAGTATTTCTTCTATCCGAATCTTATTCAATTGATATAACCAAAGATATCCACCGGTACGACTGCCGTCTCCTTTGTGCCATCTCCGCAGAGTCAGGTAATAGGTTGGAGTCATTCTTCTTCTCCTCTTGGACTGCGAAGCACCAAGCTCCCAGACGATACTTTGGCCCTTTCTGCGTTCCTGACTTCGAGTTAGGTCTTTAAATACGTCTCTAGCCTGATTCCAAACGATGAAGACGCAGACTGGACCCTTCCGAAGTGTAGCCAAGGAATGAGTGAAACCATCAGTAACCTACGCGTTAGAAGCTTGTCCACTTAGAGCATTCAATAGGTAGTATGCCGAGTCGCCTGGCCTCTCACGAGTATCCATCGACAGCTTCCCCCAGGCCTTCCTAGTGGTGTCCAAATGTTTAATATCTCATTTAAAACGACATGTGGATTCAATGAGGAGACTAGAATGCAGAGGAGAATCAACTCAACAACGGTCGGCGTGACGTGATGGCTTCATCGTCCCTAGCCCATGAGTTCTCGAAAGGCTGAACACGCTGATGAGTCACGTCCCTAACACTTCCAGATCATGGGAACTACAGCTTTCGACCCCCGGAGTTTCTGTTGTCTTATAGGTATTCGCATACCTAATACCCATTGATGGAGCCTGGCAATGGTATTAATGATGGCAGATGCATAGGTACCGGAGACCAGCAGCGATGTCGCAAACGGCGACTGAGGCGTCTTCCATGTCCGGCCGTACCTCTCTCACGTACATGTGATCTTGGCCGCCGATTTCCAAAACGACACCAGTCAGCCCTATATGCATCGTAGGCTTCAGATATCCCCCGGTTTCCTGACGTTTCTCAATGTTGGTGGTTGGTTGTGTCTGGCTGCCAACGGAAAGGGTACCTCATCGCAAGAGCAAGGCGATGTTCTGTCACGGGAACACGTACGTCTGCATCGCTCGCGAAGATGTTCGTGAGGTAGGCGGGATTCTCGAACGAGATGCTGGCCTGGGAGAAGATCTCAAAGTAGTTATCGGACCAAAGTTGGAGATCGTCCTTCGCTAGGAACGAAGGCTCATCTGTTCCGACTCGGAAGCAGGCCGCCGTGGCTACATCGGGATAGTACATCAACCACGCCTCAATCGATACACAACGAGAACGCACAAAATGCGACTCATTTCTCACCTCAAGTCCCACCAACCCCTCGCTCAACACAACACCCACCTCCTAAACCGACACCATGAAGCTCTCCCCGACCCTCCTCCTCCTCCCCCCAGTCCTCGCCGCATGCCCCCGAATCCGCTGCCCTCTCGTCCTCGACGGCCGAATCCCCTCCAACGCCTCACCCACCGACTTCGACACCCCCCTCGGCGGCGGCTGGAACCCCTACAACCCGTCCTACGTCAAGGGCAACGACCTCCTCTGGTCCGACATCCTCCTCCTTCCCACTATCACGCCGCCCTCGCGCTTCGACAAGGCTTCAAACACGCGCGCGGTGGAAGTCACGATCGGGGACGCGAGCGTGTTCATGAGCCAGCGCGGGTTCCGACGGGCCGGGTTGCAGTTCAGCGCGGATGCGAACGAGGGGAGTGCCGCGGGGGAGGGGGTGAAGACGCTTCATTGGAGCGCGAGGCAGGATTTGTGGCGGGGGTTGAATTTGACGCATGAGTATTTGGTAGGTCTTTTCTGCCCGATGTGAATTTGTGTGTTGGGTGGTTGAGGCTGATGTGTTGTTGGTGGTAGAATGTCTGGCATGAGACTGCGGCGTATGATGCGAACCAGTTTAATTTCCAGGTCGGGACTCTCATCGGGCGGGAGGGCCTGCCGGAGGATACCTGGAAGTTGTTGGATCGGGATAATAAGCTCGTCTGGTCGACGCCCGTGGCAATGGACGGTTCGTGGCAGAACTTTGCGCTGACGTTGGACTTTGATTTGAAGTGAGTAGCTTGGTATTCTTGGAGAAGATGGTAATGCTGACGAGCACAGCACGATACAGGTGTGGTATTCTGCTGGCGATAAACCCCTCGAGATGTCCGGGGGCGTCATCTCGGCGAATCTCGCGGGGGATGGGCAGTATCAGATTGGCATCCTGAAGAAGCCGACGGGGACTGACGATGTGGTGAATTCGGGGTATCAGTCCAGCGATTTGGACGAGGGTCAGATCTACGGAGGCATCTTCATCGAGGATAGTGCTGATGGATGCGTTTCTACCTAAGCCCTTACTATCGGTCTTGGGTGATCTATGTCTATACTCTAAATCTATCGCGCGAATGAAAACCGCCTTACGTCTACGGAGCTCACTTTTGCAGGTCTACAGCAGTAAAACTCGCCTTTAAAGGAGCGATACTGATAACCCCATTGACCGAAGCCCACAAGTCCTCTCCCTCGGGGCTCTCCTCAGCCTGCTTCTTGATATCGGCAAGCTGCGGCGCCCACCGGAACTGGTACTCCCTCTTCAGAGCCGCCTTCTCAGGATCGGCAATCATAGGACTGAACAGCCCGCCCGTGACCCACCGGCCCTGCGCCGTGGTCGTCGTCCTCACCGGGCGCTCCGCGACGTCGGCAACCATCGGTACGTTGATGCTGTACACCTCAACCTCGGGATGCCATTCGGCCGCCAAGTCTCCGATCAGCGCCGTAGCCCGCGCGCAGGCGGCCCGGATGACGTGATCAGGCTGCGGCTCCTTGCTCCCGAAGCTGAGGGCGACGGCGCGCCTACCGCACTGCGCGGCCTCCATGGCGCCGCCGACGGTGCCGCTGCTGAGTGCGTAGACGGTGCTCGCGTTCCGGCCGTGGTTCGGCCCGGAGACGACGAGGTCGAAGTCCGAAGGCGTGAAGCCTGTGTGGAAGAGGCCCAGCTGGGTGCAGCTCGCCGGCGGACCGTCGACGACCAGCCAGCGGTGCAGACGGTCGTCGTTGTCGTCGCACCCGGGGACATCGCAGGAGTCATCGGGGGAGAAGGAGGCGGGGCACCTGCTTGCGGCGGTGAGGGTCTTTCCGACGGCGTGGGCCTTGCCGATCCAGGAGAGCGGACGGTCAGGGATCACGACGACGGTCTGGTGGCCCGCCTCGTGCAGGGCGGCGATGAATGGTGCGAAGTAGGGCGAGACGGACGAAGGGGGCCCATCGTCGTTGACTACCTACGGGCAGCGCGATGCATCAGTACTTCAGGCCGCGATTGTGCTTCATGAGCCGCTTGGGGGGAGACGAAGACGTGGCTGGAAGGGTATTACCAAGAGCCGCATCTTTTCGCAGGTCGCCGATGTCCTGGTGGAACAGAGATAGGTTGTCTCCGAGGGATTGCTACCGGGCTCGGATGTGAGGCAGGCTGAGGCGGAGCAGGACGCCAAAGACAAGAAGGCGAAAAGAAGGCAACCAAAAGCCAAGATTCAGGCTGCCGAGGACGATGCCGCGGCCGGAAGGTGGTGCTGGTCGGACTGGAATTGGGCGAAAGATATGACGCGCTTGGGCTCTCGGCCACTCTAAGAGGAATGGGAGCTGTCTTTTGAATAAGACGGAGAGACTCGAGGCGGTGACTGATGCTTCGTGATGCGGACTTGACTTTGTCCGCGATGGTATGAATCACATCTTCAATCGTCGCGATATCGACCCGCCGATGACGGCGTCTGCGAACCGAGGAGACCGTTCGACTGGATCCATCGAGCTGAGTCTTGGGTAGGGCCGGCCAGTAGAATGAGCGACAAAATAATAATGCCTCAAGCCGCCACGGATTCCAATCCACAGCAGCCAGCAGGTCGAAAATGCGAACTTGGTTCCGGACGAGGCATCCTGGTGTGCCTCGCAGTTTGCCCAGCGTTCGCCCTGTCTTAGTGCGGCTTACGGCTCCAGTTGTGTGCAGTTCCAGGTTGTGAGGACTTCGAGGTGGGTGTCTGGGGAAGAATTTGGAGGTGAACAGGGAGAGAAAAGTACCGCACGTTTCCTGGGCTGCCACTAAAAGAACCGCCCTGTGTCGGGAGCTCTTCCCCGGAACCTCAGCGCCTCTAGCGAGTGGGACACATCAAGGGCACTAATCCCGCTAGCGGAAAGAACCTCGCAGGAAAACAGGCGAACCGTTCAACGTTCCTCCGACACACATGTCATTACCATTTACAATCCAATCAACATACGCCCCGACTACCACGGCAAGGCTGCACGAAGGCAGACACGCACATATTAAGATGCCAGGCATTTCCCTTCGCGCCCGTCGCCGGCCTTCATGGCGGTTTCCTCTTGCCACCTCCAAAAAGAAGTCTACAAACACAGCCTCTTCTTGAAGTGGCTTCATCTCCGAGAATATCATTCAACATCAGTCGTTTCAGCGTGGGCATGGCACACCAATACGACAAAAACCGCAATGCCTCTCTCTGGGCTGGACAGTCTGGAGGGAGCAGCCAGCAATGGCCTGACGCCTATGTGAAGAAGAACCCTCAGACCTTGATCAGGTATGTATTCCTCATGATGAGATCCCAAGTTCACCGAATGCTGACCGTTTTAGGGAATTCAACGAAGACCTTCCTTCCCACCCCGAATCAGATTTCGGTCAGTCGCCCAGTCTGTACGTCAACGGGGCAAAAGCTGATTTTTCAGACCTCCCGTTCGATGCGCTATTCGGGACTTCGTTCGAGAAACATGATATCGGCATCGGCGCCGGGGGGCCGGGGTCCTGTGGTCCTTCACGAACCATCAGCCACGCGAGCTCCAACGGGCGAGACGACTTGGAATCCCTCACCTTCAGCCAGCCCGGTGACGACCTGTACAACGACAGTTTCGGCGATGGCATCTTCAATCATCTCAACAGCCCCGCGCCGACGACCTACTCCGAAACGATTGTGTCGAGGGACGCTTCTTTGGAAGGCAGCCCTGCCATGCCGAGACGCCCATTTCTTCATGTCCAGACAGACACTGGAAGCATGTCGGGAAATGCAATGGGATACTCGGCTGCTTCGTCCCCGGCCTCTGCTCATGGATTTCCCACAGGAAGCTTCAACTCCCAGAACACGCCGACGAGTGCACCCAGGCAGAGCGTAAGCGCTCTTTCAGCTGGTCTGTCGAGCTACAACCTCCTCAGCCCGAGTCCCACTACGGCCTACTTTAACAACTGGAGCACTCAATTGTCGGATGAGATCCCCGGAAGCCTTGATCAATTGCCATGGGGTTCTGGGATGCCGTCAGAAGACTTTGTCTTGTACGACCAAGACCAGCATCGGCCGTCTCTGGTTGTGCATCCTCCAGAGACGTCAGCAACATCTGGTCGAGGGAATGACTTCAACAACTTAGATGCTTACACAGCATCAGCTATTCATCCCATTGATCACCTCTTGGCATCCCAATCCTTAACGGCTGGGTCACAGAGCCTTTTGGACAGAGGATTGTCGATGCCAAACTTTCAAACCCCAGACCATTTGATAGTCCCTCTCACCAGACGACTACGCCGTCCCTCAGATCCGCCCCGGCCCAGACCGAACATTTCCGTTTCTCAACCCGGCATGAGGGGAGTACACAAGGCTCCTCGCCCGACTATCAACCGTCCAGGCCGCGCTCCCTCACCCATTAGCCGTCCCTTCCAGCGCGTAAGCCAAGATCACATCACAGTCTCGGAAACAACTGCTCCTGTCAACATCACGTCCGGCCCCAGCAGAAATGCTCCATCCACGAGCACCAGTCCACCCAGCGGTAAAGGACCAGCTCGCGGCCGGCGCAGTGGCCCAATGAACTCCGCCTCTCGCGCGCAAGCCAAAGATACCCGGAACAAAAAGATGGTGTGCATCCGCTGCAAGCATTCCAAACAAGCTTGCAAGAGGAACGGTCACTCTCCAGACAGTCCATGTGCTCAATGCGAAAGGCATGGTTCGTCAAACAAATGGCCTGGGCCATGTATCAAGGCACATTTCGAGGATATCGTCTTCGCTGGTACCTGTAATTACATTTCCCAGCGAGCCATCAATCACCTTTCCCTCGACGGCACCAGACGCATTAGGAGAGAGCTTCCAAGAGGCTTCCCTCTGGATGGTCTCATTACCACCCTCGCACGCGTTCGTTACGACTTCGATTTCCGCGTCTATCAAGATGACCGACCTGCTTACACTCTCGACCTCCCGAAATGCTACGATTACCTCCTCACTCTCAAGTCGCAAGTAAGCGGTACAGACCGCAGCCTTCGAAACTTCATCGACAAGGAGCTGCCCCGCATAGATTCCAAGAGCGACGAGTGGGAAGCCTGCATGTCAAACGTCACCATAGGCACCGACCCCTTAGCCCAACTCTGTACGCTGAACAATATGCCAAGTCGTGTGCGGTACGCCTACGTCCGCAAGAACGACTTCAGCATGCAAGAACGATACCTCGACCCGGAGTCCCCAGTAGAATCAGACAACTTGATGCTCGCCGCCCAGCTGTCCCGCATCATCTGCCGCAAGGTCGAAGTGAAAGGCTACGCCCACCTTCAACGGCTGTTGCACAAGTCCGACTCCTTGTCCGAAGCGGAGCTTCTCCCGTTCCTTCAAAGACTGGGTCGCATTCTGCTCACGCTACGATGGCGCTCTTCGTGGTGGTCTGTGATGCTGGGCAACACCTTCATCAACGGGGAAGACGAGATGATGACGGAGTGCCAGCACCGAGTCAAAACCCTGTGCAGAGTGCTGTACTTCTACTATTGCAGTGTCAGGAGGAAGCTCGCCACGTGGTCTACCGTCAAGTCTCTGCGGGGCGTGCTTTCGAAGTATCAGGATACGGACTGTGAGGTTTCTGACGATTTCCCGGGTGACGAGACGGTCGAGGCGTTTGAGGGGTGGATGGCGAGAGGCCAGCAGTTGGTTTTTGAGGCTGGCGTTCCGAGGGTGCTGGGGTCGATGGGGTTGCCTGCGTGAGTTACTTCGGAGATTGTTGCCTCTTTTTGAATGTTCTGCACCATGTTCCAATACGATATGAGAAGAAATATAGGGGGATCTTGAATCATTATTAGGATCAGTTACGTGTACGAGATACCATAGACGGGGCGTTTGAAATATTTAGATACCAGTATCGTTTCGTAGACTTCGCCAGAGCGATCAGATAAGATAGTATTTATAAAGCACCATGCTCTCCCTCTCAAGACGATCTCCAAGCAAATGGAGCGATCACAACGGCAATATCGTCTGAAGCACATGCGATTCCTGCCAATGTGTCCTCGCGTCTTCTGCCTGCCAATTCCAGAAAGCACCTCCTCACCGCAGTGAGCGGGAGGTTGATGCCATTCACTACCTCTCCCGAGTATTCGAGCGAACACACGGAGAACAACAGAGGTACCGAGAAGTCGTTGGATGAGTTCACGAGGTGGGAAAGGTTGGCATTGGGTCTTCACCCCGGTTTCACAGCTGACGGGCGCGCCCTCAAACGACGTGCGCGCTATCGCCATGTCGGATTCCCTACATCGGACGAAGCAAACAGACAAGTCTGTCTTGCCTTCCACTATGTCAACTTGTGGACTTACATACTCGGATTATGCGCACCGGAGGAAAGTTGTTTGAGTCTTGACTGGGTGCCTTGTATGTCAATGACGACAGCGCGGTTCTGTGCATATAAATGAGATAGGACTTTGGAAATCAAGACTCGGAAAAAGCAGACACGCCATTCCTTGGTTGTCAGGGCGTTCATTATCATGCAAGACTCACTCGTAGGATTGATGAAGTTATCGCAATGTTTTCCCGTCTTTTCGATCAGGTGGAAGGGATGCGAGGCGTGGTGGTGTCTGTGGTTGGTTCTTTGGGGATAAGGGTATGAGGATGAGGGATGACGCGGAAGGTTGGGTGACTTGGGATGATGGATATTGTAAGATTCCTGAGTATTGAGACTGGAGAATTCCTTGTGTAGAGCTTGAGTCTAGGAAGATGATGATCGCTGCGTACCATTCTCTCAGCCGCCTATACGTGTACAGAGATCGAGACTGCCTGTCTTGCCTGAGGTCTTTTATAGCTAAGGGTCAAATTGAGGCGAGTCTGGAGAGCATATAAGAAGGGAGCTGTTCGAGGTGGGCAACTAGGTGTTTGCAGATGCCGACGAGTCTGGTGGGACGCTTCCAGCTATGAGGTCCTGCAGACGAGTTGTATCTGCGAATTTTAGGGCTTGACTTCATTGCGAAGTTGGCGTGGTGAGCATGATACGATCAAAAAGCTCTGCTATCTTGGTAGAGAAAGGCATGAAGCCGGTAGATAGGGCGAGTTGATGGGATATATAAGGATATGCTGGGTTAGTTTGAGGAAAGGAAAGACCACAGCAATGCTTTCTTTCGCTGTCGTTGGCTGTCGGCCAAGATTTGCATCCTCATGGACATATTTCAATTTTGAGCGAACTGTTTTGGTTACATTCAACGCTGCGGAGAAGCGCTAGCGAAGAAAAATTATCCTGTGGTTTGGTCTCTTGTGAGATACATGGGAATACTACGAGAACGATAGTGAGGAGGAGAGATATAGGTTGTATATGACCCGGTTAGAAAAATGTGAAGTCATCTGCTCCAATGCGACAGCCGCAGGGTACCGTCTTTTGCCAGGCTAGGTCGCCTCAACGAAAAGAAGACTTTTCACAAGAAAAATTTCTTGTGCAATGGTAAGGGCATGATGTGGTATTTTCCGGAATGATCAGAAGTTGATCTATATATATATATTGTCGAAGAAACCACTCCCGGGAAGTTATGGCTTGTCGACGGCCCGTACTTAGACGAAGTCGTGGGTCGGAACTCTGTTCAATTGATCGTGTAAATCCCCGAGAGAATTACATTGTTTCTCGCTATGAATATCTTCAAGCCGGCATGTTCTCGCCGACAACCGGACGGCCTCGAATATTACACCCACCGAAGATTGAGGGAATAAATACCTCGCAAGGCTTAGACCTCTTAGTCGCCGATCAACCGTCTCGCAGGAGACATGCAGGATGATCCCGCCAAGGCACCGGACAGCAGGAGCTGGGGCGCGGGGACATGCGCAAGCCACTCGGGACAGTCGCGTGTCTCTCGTGGATGCAGATACGAAATACGGTCCGGTGGTGGGGCCAATTAGAGTCCGGGGATTGCGCCGGGTGGGGCCGGGCGGACTGGTTGGGGCCGGTGGTGATGCCCGGCTTACAGGCTTCTTGCTGGCCTCATTGCTTGTGAATGAGCTGGTGAGTGAGAAAACAAAAAAGATTAATGAGGCTTTTATTTGAATAGAGGCTAATTCTCTATATAATGCCCATGAGCCTCCGAGTTGAGAGGGTGGCATCGCTTTATGATCTATCACCACAGATACTAGATCTTCACTTGAAGCCTTATTTTCACATATCAAATCAACATGAACTTTACAAGCCGTAAAAGCGATGTCAAGCCCGACGATGTCGCCAACGTCCCTCCTGAGCTGTCGGACCTGCACTGCTTTACCGAGACCGGAGGCGTCATCACCACAAGTACGTCTCACTCACACTCACTCGCTTAGTCGCAGTAAAACTCATAACTTAACTTACAGCAATGTTCGACATCCCGGGGTACCGCGTAGTGCGCACCCTCGGCGCCGTGTACGGCCTCTCGGTGCGTTCGCGCAACATCGCGGCGAGCCTGGGGATGGTGATCAAGTCGCTGGCGGGCGGGGAGCTGCGGTGGTTCACGACGATGCTGTACAACTGCCGCAACGACGCGCTGGGGCGCGTGGTGACGGAGTGCAAGCAGCGGGGCGGCAACGCCATCATCTGTCTGCGCTTCGACGCCTCGGACCTGGGCGGGTTCGCGCAGACGTGCGCGTACGGGACGGCGTGCGTGGTGGAGAAGATTCACGAGGAGGTCGCCGTCGCGCCGCAGCTTGCGGGTGCTGTGTAGGATCGAACGAGAATAGGTGGGCTTGGCGGGTTGCGATGGTTTCATTTTTGGGGGGATTGGGATGGGGGTTGAGGCGGGTTTGATACCATGGCTGTTTGTTTCGATCTGTTTTTGTATTTGTTAGATGTTGATGATGGTTCATTCGTGGTGGTTCGTCTCATTGGGTGTAGTTGATGTCGGATGGTTCGACTTCATGAGAGTTAAATCAAGTAATGACCTCTCATGGTAGCCAATGTGAAGGTATGAGAATACTGAGGAAAGGTTGAGAGAACCTTGCATCAAGCCGAGATTCTTCTACCAGATTCATGCGCAGCGATAAGCAGATAAGAGGAGAGGACCGTGCAAACCCGACAATCCAATATTCGTACTCTGTAAGGTAAGGTACCTACCTAGTACAGCAAGTCCCAAGGGCCTGGCAAACACTGACAATTGAAACGGGCCAAGCCCACTCTGCCGCACTCCGCATCCGTGAATAGAGCTTCCAGCGGGCGGCGCAACCTTCCCTCATGGGCCCTGCAGCAGCTGCGACGCTGAGTCCAGGCCAGCTAAGCTGAACCACTAACATCACTAATCCCCAGACCAGGGTCCGCCACCGTCGCAAGCAACCCAAACCGTGTCAAACACCTCCAGCTTTCTCTTGTCCTTTGTCCATGAGTCCAGCAGTTTGTTTCTGAGCAGAACATTGACACGACTCGCCCCACGATCCTTCTGTCAAACACCATACGCTCTGTCGTCGTTCCCCCTCTTCTTCTCCTCACCCGTGACCGCGCTCCGATCCATGGGCCATCGTCGTCTCCCCCGATTTCCAAAAGAGGCCTGAAGCTACCTCGAGACAACATGCCGTTTCAAGTCACGACCGAATCCAAGTAGTTTCGATCCCATCTCCCTACGACCTTACTTTCTTGGCGCCATAAACATATCTCGCCGAGATATCAAGTCTCACCATGGCCGCTCCATCCGCAGCTACCGCCTCACGTCAACCGACTGACGCCGAGCACCCCAGGATGTCCCACGAATCATCCATCTCGACCGTTTCCACAACGAGCCTCGTCTTCGACCGACTCCACGAGCAGAATGAGAAGCAGACCTACTCTTCTTCCGCATCCGCCTCCCAGAGGCGACGCACCCCGTCCACCTCCCGCGCCGCGTACGCCGATAACCCCGACGACTACGACGAGGACGAGTTCAAGGAGGCCGATACCAATGACCTCGAGACGGGGCCGTTCTTGGCGCCCGGTGCCGCCGGCGTCATCCGGAGGGTCGGCATGGACCGCGGATTGAAGAAGGGCTTGTTAATACTCGGTGTCGCGTTTCTGTTCGCATGGGGAACTGCGTTGTTCGTCTTCCTGTCGAGCAAATCGTACAGGCACGGAAGCCAGGTCGACCACGACCCGGAGGCGACCTTTCGCGGGTCAGGAAAGCCGGTGACATTAGACCAGGTCATGTCAGGCTTCTGGCAGCCATATTCGCATTCCATCAGCTGGATCGAGGGGCCGAACGGGGAGGATGGATTGCTGCTGGAGCAAGGCGCCCGGGGCAAGGACTACCTCGTAGTGGAAGACATCAGGGCGGGCAACAAGGATGCTCGTCAAGTGTCTGCCGACGTCGTCCAAAGCCGCACGCTTATGAAGAACCCTTGGATCGAGTTCAACGGTCGCCAATTGACGCCGTTCGACGGGCGGCCGAGCAAGGACATGAAGAAGGTGCTCGTCTCGACCGACCGCGTGCACAACTGGCGCCATTCGTTCACTGCCCTGTACTGGATCTTCGACGTCGAGACCCAGACTGCCGAGCCCCTTGACTCTGAGAACCCCTCCGGACGTGTGCAACTTGCTACTTGGAGCCCGCAGAGCAATGCAATTGTCTTCACCAGGGACAACAACCTCTTCCTCAGGAACTTGGACAGCAAGAAGGTCACTCAGATCACTAAGGACGGTGGTCCGGAGTACTTCTACGGCATCCCCGACTGGGTGTACGAGGAGGAAGTCTTTGCCGGCAACAGCGCGACCTGGTTCTCGCAGGATGGCAAGTACATCGCCTTCCTGCGGACGAACGAGACTGGTGTTCCTGAGTACCCGCTGCAATACTTCCTATCAAGACCCAGCGGTCAGAAGAAGCCGCCCGGCGAGGAGACCTACCCGGACGAGAAGCGCATCAAGTACCCTCGCGCAGGCAGCCACAACCCCGTTGTGGATGTGCTGTTTTACGATGTTGCGCGTGGTGATGTCTTCTCCGTCGACATCTCCGACGCCTTTCCTGACGACGACAGGCTGATCAACATGGTTCTCTGGGCCAATTCCAAGGTTATTATCAAGGAGACCAACCGCGTGAGTGACATCATGCGTGTGGTACTCGTTGATGTTGTCGCCCGCACTGGAAAGACGGTCAACACGATCGATGTCGGCAAGATTGATGGAGGCTGGTTTGAGATTTCTCATGAGACTCAATTCATCCCAGCTGATCCTGCGAATGGTCGTCCTGATGATGGTTACATCGATGCGGTCGTTCACGACAACGGTGACCATATCGCATACTTCACTCCCTTGGATAATCCCGAGCCTATCTACGTCACCTCTGGCAACTGGGAAGTCGTCGGTGGTCCGTCTGCCGTGGACCTGAAGAACAACCTGGTGTACTTCGTCTCTACTAAGGAGTCCTCCATCCAGCGTCATGTCTACAGCGTTCACCTGAACGGAACAGATCTCAAGCCATTCACTGACACCAAGTTCGAGAGCTACTACGACATCTCTTTCTCCAGCGGCGCCGGATTCGGTCTCTTGTCGTACCTCGGTCCCAAGGTTCCCTGGCAGAAGGTCGTCAGCACGCCCAGTAACCCGCAGAAGTATGAGCACATCGTCGAGGAGAACAAGGAACTAGCCGAGAACGCCAAAAGATACGAGCTTCCCTTGCTCAAATACGGCACCATCAAGGTCGATGACGTCGAGCTCAACTATGTCGAGCGCCGCCCGCCGCACTTCAGCGAGAAGAAGAAGTACCCTGTCCTCTTCCAGCAATACTCCGGCCCCGGCTCTCAATCAGTCGACAAGAAGTTCTCCGTCAATTTCCAGTCCTATGTCGCCTCGGCCCTAGGCTACGTCGTTGTCACTGTCGATGGCCGTGGCACAGGCTTCATCGGCCGCAAGGCCCGCGTTCTAATTCGCGAGAAGCTCGGCCACTGGGAGGCGATTGACCAGATCGCCGCCGCGAAGAACTGGGCCGCCAGGAAGTACGTCGACAGCTCCCGCATCGCCATCTGGGGATGGAGCTACGGCGGTTTCCAGACGCTCAAGACGCTCGAGATGGACGCCGGCCAGACCTTCAGCTACGGCATGGCCGTCGCCCCCGTCACCGACTGGCGGTTCTACGACTCCATCTACACGGAGCGCTACATGCGCACGCCGCAGCTGAACCCGGACGGCTACGAGCAGACGGCCATCACCAACGTGTCTGCCCTGGCCGGCAACGTGCGCTGGCTGATGATGCACGGCGTCTCCGACGACAACGTCCATTACCAGAGCACTCTCACACTTCTCGACAAGCTTAACCTCGAGGGAGTTGAGAATTACGACGTGCACGTTTTCCCTGATAGCGACCACGGTATTTACTTCCACAATGCGAACAAGATCGTTTACGACAGTAAGTGACCCCTCTCCTTCCCCTATGACCCAGCATAGGCTAACAGACCTGCAGAACTTAGCAACTGGCTCATCAACGCCTTCAACGGCGAATGGCTCAAGATCACCGACGCAAAGCCCATGATCGAACCGAAAGAGAAGGAGCGCAGATCGAGCGTCGAGGCTTTGCCCGTGTATTAATACCGCCCTAATTGTAGACCTCCGGAGTTGGGATCTTTGATTTACGATTGCGTGGTTCACTAGCGTGTTGATATTTAGATGATGATAAAGGGCTCATTAGCCTGGAAAAGATGACGAACTTTGATAACGATTGAAAACTATGGGGTTTGCCGTGATGACTTCATCGTGTAGCTGGTCTGAAGTGTGAGTAATATGTCCTCGAAGAATGCATGCCGTAGGTGAAGAACCCTGGGCCCCTTTAAAACGCACGCTGTCGCCAACATATTGTGAGCCAAGAATAGACTTGCGTGTTGTATGGGAGCTGTGCAGCTAGGAAGCACTCTAAGTTTTCTCAGTATCTCCGTCGCAGGGCGCCGACGAAATCTCGAGGTGACGATACTTGTTGATTCCCGCGGCTGCGGCTCTGGAGTATTCGAGGACCAGGATACCACCTAGTCGACGACAAACGAGAGAGTTTTCAACTGAACAGGTGTCTGTTCTCCTGGGGGGCTTCTGCTCTCGGGCTTGGTTGTGGTAGTGGTTACATTGCATCTAGGTTGAAGCGGGAGTCACCTTAAGTTTCGAACAACACAAGATCATCCACGCTGCCGAGAACAGTTCATTTTACACGGAAGCTTTCTTTTATATCTGTCAGACATCTTGGGACTCGCTGTCAACTTGTCATCGCAGGAACTATACTGTTTAGACTAGACTGACACCCCCAGGATCGACTTGGGGGTAGTTTGAGTGCTATATAAGAAGCTGATCAGCGGAATGATCCGAACTGCTGAAGAACAACTTAGTGTTGGAACAGGGTATTCTAGCAACCGCGACGGGCCACGAGTTGTAGAGTCCATTCTCGTTCATTGGGTGATCGGGATCTCAGACATAGTCTCAGTCATGACGGCGCCAACTCTGTGGCGAGGTCGCGTGATGAAGTTTCTGGTGTATTCTGAGATGGGATACACCAGTGATAGAAATTAGGGCGGATGGCGAGATCGGATGAGGGTGATTGATTTGCTTTGCGATGTCTTGGGGTAGACTTGCGGTCTTGCTGAGTGATACCCGCCGAGGAATCTCGTGATGGATGGGACGGCTTAATTGCTGCTAAAAGCCTTGGCCCTGATAAGCTATGCCGCGGTTGTTGTTTAACGGAAAGGAAATCGGTCGGCGTTGTATTTATACTAGTTCGAAAAGTAGAAGCCTCGGGCTCCTGCGTAAGTCATCACCGGTTACTCAGTTGAAGCCGTTAGAACACCAGCTGGGGTGGCTAGCAACAGACTCCCAGAGGTTCTGAGATTGAGGCAGTTGTTTATATATAATCCTCCGTCTCAACGTAGATGGAAGGTATTGCGGATCCTCTCGTGGTCTTCAGCATGCTCAACGCGTAGGAGATCCTCGGTTGACGCCAGGTAGGACTCGTGGCTACCGGGATTGGACGTAGGACAAGCTGTGATGATGATCTCGGGGTCCTTAGGAAGGGAGTACTCATTGTTGTTATCCTCATGTCCGGCATCTCTGCCGCTTCTCGCGTATTCATGCGGAGAATAAACTGACAGATAGGGTGCGCGTCTGAGAGGAGCTCTTCATTACATAACTTACTGGGTTTAGTTCAGCATTTGCACCCCTTCTTAGACTCGAGCGTGATGTGCTTTGTAGGCAATCTGCTAATACTGGACGAAGCGCATTCGTTGTGGAAACCGACTTGCCAAAACAGCCACAGAAGCTCTTATACTCGAAGCACGCGCAAGTGACAGACTTTGGTAAACATCATCGATGTCTCTCGCGGCGGTGTAAACTCGGCTGACCCGTCCGGATGCACGATCTTGCCACTGCAGAAGCGCAGCTCGTCTTCTCAGTCGGAGTTATGATTAGGTTGGGCGGGTATTTAATGGATATAGAGCGTGTTGAGTTCTGAGATGTAGATGTAACCAACACTGAAAAAGTCCGAGGTTCTCCGATCAACTGATAAGTCTGAAGACACAACAGTGACATCAACATGAGGCTGTATTGGATGAGGAAGCAGGACGTTTAGAGAGACTTGAAGGAAAGTTCATTGCATACCGAGGTATTCATGCTGCTGATAACCTAGGAATACCTCGGAATAGAGTCAGCGACGGACGGCAGGAGTCGTCGATGAGAGCTATGGAAAGCTGAATAGGTAGAGTCTGAGTTCTCGAGATATCCAATCCAATTCTCACGGTTATAACGAGATGAGAAATGATTATCTGGCAAGAGAGCCTAGACATTGGCGGTACAGCTTTCCTTGAATCCCTGTGGCACCGTACTACCAAAGTAGTCAAGCGCTCTCTGAGAGTATGCGCTGCCCGCGCCTATGTTCTCGCTGCTTCTTGACGTGCGAAATAACATGAAGCGGTAGATCGAACCTGCACCTTTGTGGTAGTCTGCTGGCATGGAAAAGATAGAAGCCACGCTTTCCTACGGCGCGAAGTATCGCAGTGAAGGTCAGGGATGATGTAAGTTATAAGAGCGGCACAGCGTCAAGGTTACTATGATTACCAGCACTAAGAACGGAATAGTCGCGGCTCGCCTGGGATTGTAATGATGGCAATCTTATAAGTAGGCCTGGTCTTCCAATCATGTGTAAGTTTGACTATGTCATCGACTGAAATAACAGCATTGATTGGAAGTGGAAGCATTTTCCCGTGTTATTCATATCTTGCATACACCAAACTCAGGGACGAAGACGGACGCCAAGGCGGAAACCCGCCCTTGAGAGTAAAAAGACCTTGGCCAGTGCGATCTGTGGTCTTAGATGTAGTTCAGACTTGAGGAATTTCGAATCCCCTTCTCTCCGATGTCCTTTGCTGGGACATGTCGTCTGTGGGAAAGGAAAAGAAAGAGTTACACACGCTAGGAATCAACCCCAATATATAGCCCATCTACAACGACCTTCACTTTACCGTGAACTTAATGTCCCAACGGCAGCCACAACCTCGCCGCGCGCCCGGCGATAGAAGCTGGGATCTCGAATACGGTGAGTATAAAATATCCTACCAAAGCTATCCGAGATAGTTTCAGAGCCAAGGCCATAGCACCTGAGCTTTTGCGCGTTCTGTTCCGCCTTCTCGCCGCGTAAACGGTCATCCATCGTATGTACTCGGCACCTTGGAACTAGCTGCAGTCGGTCGATGTTGTGATGCGAGATGGGAAACCCACGAGCCTCACGGTGCAGGTTGATTCGGGGATGAATACACCCAAGACGGATACAGAGACAGACGCGGATGCTGGTTTCGAACTTGGAAGACATCCAATACATCGCCCAGATGTACCGAGAGTGCGAGACGATGTCTGAAGGCGGGCTCTCTTCGACGACGATGTTGAGATTCAACCGTTCCAAATCAAAGGGGCATCCCCCCATGTGCGTCCTGCTGCATCTCTACACGTAAAAAGAGGTACGGCCTCTCAATAAATAGGCCTTCCGCAGCTGTTAGCTGACACTATTGTTGAGTTTGAAGAATGAGGATAAGAGAAGAGATTCCCTCACAATCTTGGGCCCTGGTTCCGGTGGATCACCACTTGAAGTCGTAATATCATACTCACTCTTGACGTCTCATTGCCTATATATGGCCAGAGAGATAGGTCCACAGCGGAGCGAGGTTCATTTGGGCCAGGTCTCTGTTGAATACTACTCTCTTAACTAAGCTGCAGTGTAATACCCATACCACACGCAAAGTATCAAGATAGCAAGCGAGTGAGACCTCCCATCAAACATCTTCATCACCTCCGCAGTTCCAAATTTCACCGTCCGTCCCCGAGACTATCCCCAGATTATCAACACCCTGAATACTTCGCCAAAAAGACATCGTTAACACGCAGCCACACATCGCGGAGAATGCGATGAGCGATGCTAACACACCCGCCCAAGCAACGCTAGTCTCGTCGCGGCGTACTCCTCCCGACGAGATGTCGCCACACTCGAGGATGTGACCTGACAAGCAGATAGCTCCATGAACCTAAGTTGGCAGGCGGGACGACGCTCCTTAAATATACGCAGCGCACACCACTTGCAAAGTCAGACCCAGCCCTGAATGAACATCGAGACTGTACCGAGCGTATCAAAGAGCCCTTACCATTCTCATCTTCATCGTGTGCGGGCATAGCTTGGTAGCGGGAACCAAGGGAAGTTAAATCAGCCTTAATTATAGGCCAACAAAATCGCACTCGAACCCCAATTCTAATGTCGATTGCAATATTTAAGCTTGTTCTGATCGTAGGACAATATTGCCGTCTCCCACATGGCTGACATGGCCTTCGTTCCGCTGCGGCGGTGGTTCCTTCCAGACGGTCCCGTCTCATCATTGATCGATATCTGGAGCGGACGGTCGAGATGTTGGTCGGGCGCCGGTTTGATCGCCATACCCTCTGGAAAGGGTGGTTGGGTCGAATAAATGCTGGACGACGGCGACGAACGACAGCAATATGCACTGCCAGCAGAGAAATAACGCAATAACAAATGAGAGAAGACGTTACTCCCTGAAGATGGACGGGACTTTGTACGCTCTGGTGTTCCGACCTTGCAGTTCCTGCATCAATGTGGAGTTTGAAACCCGGCGGGAACGTGTCATTCGCTTAATAGGATACAGAAAGTCCTGGTGGTTTTGTTGTTTCTGTTGGGAATTGTCACTGAAGAAGGTACTGGAAGCGGTTCACATTTGCGGAGGACAGTGACGTACCACCCCATCACAATCCGACAACGAAATGTTTTCATAAGAAAAAAAAATCAACATCAATAGACTATCATACAGTATCGGGCGCGAGCTCTTCAGGCCCGCAGTATCCCTGAATCGGTAATGGCGAGTCTAGCTTCTTCGTGCTGTGCAAATAATGAAATCCGCACCGTCCATTCCCTCGCGTAACAGTTTCCCGCCTGCCGAAAAAAACGCTCCTCTTGAGAGCAAAGAAGATACGATTACAGGGAACCCTCGGATAACACAACGCCTCCGACCGCCTTCATAGAACTTTTGGCAACTGGTACATTGGTCCCAGTGCTTGATATCTCATATCGCCCCTGGGAAAAGTAGGCTGTGGCTTGATGAAGTAAGGTAGCTGCCGCAAAAGCTGCTGCTGTTGGTAAGGCACATATGTCCAAAGAAAAACGGGCCTTTTCATCTAGAATCCAAAGCCGGTAGGCTGGGGCGCAAATCCGTTCGTCTGGCCATACGGCGCGGGAGAGCCACCACCCATGCCGCCGGGGCCGGCAGTAATCATAAGACGGTTTCCGCCAAGGATCGGGGTGTTGTCCTCGTCCTTCTCCTTCTCCTTCTCCTTGCTCTTGCGGGCCTCGTTGTCGGCCTTCAGAGTCGCCAACTCCTTGGTCTGCTGGCACAGCATGTTGATCATGTACGGCATGGTGAAGTCGTTGAGACCGTGGCGCCATGAGATTTCCAGAACCAAGTCGGGGCGGATGAGGTCGTAGCAAGAGTAGAGCATACCAACGTAGCACTCGCGGCTACCGATATCGACGAACTATTTGTCTGGTCAGTGGGATGTAACTTGACGTGCAAATTCAGGGTACTTACGTATCGGAGCAGGTCCTCCACAATATCGGTCTTACCCGAGATGGCGGCGGTCTCAATAGCATCCTTGAAGAGCTTGTCCTGCTTGGAGAGGGCTATGGACTTCTCCCATCTCTTGTTCTTGCGGTAGATGCTGGCAGCAATCTGGCGGAAAAAGATCAAGTCGTGCTTCTCCAGACGAGCGGCCAGCTCAACGGGGTCGTAGTTGTCGTAGTTCTCTACTGAGTCACGCAGCGTCTTGTAGTCCTCCTCCTCAATCAACAAGTCGTTGATTGCGTTGTTGACCGTGCGCTTGTTCTGGGTCTGAACGTTAACGAGGAAGGGCTTGATCAGAGGCAGGTTGTCGCTCTTCTCAAACATCTTGACGACACGGTTGACATCGATGCGAGGAGTAAGTGCCTGCAGGAGGTCGGTGAGCAGAGAGGGGTGCTGCTCGAGGTAGAAGTTGATGGCGCGGTAGTAGATCTCCAGGTTGGCAACCTTGACGACGATCTCCTTGAACTGCTGGTGCTCCCAGGAGTTCTCGGGGCGCTCAATGACAGCCAGGGCGGCGTTGTCAAATTCATCGTAGTGGTAGTAGCAGAAAACGAGCTCGGGCCACAGGTTTGCCTCCTCGCAAGCACGGATGATCTTGGGCAGGTTCATTCTGCTCCAGAAAAGCTTCAGGTGCTCCATGAGACGCTCGGGGTGGTACTTGGAGAGGGCAATGCCAAGCTCCGTGAACATTCCCATGTGGGCACGCTCCAGACCCAAGCCAGCCTCCAAGAGACTGATGAGCTCATCGAAGTATCCGTTGCGCTCATATTGCTTGACGAGTGCCTGGAGCTGCTCGGCATCAACGATCAGGTTGAGACCGCAGATCTGGGCCAGACGGAACTCCTTCTTCTCCACACAGGCCTCGTGCACCTGCTTCCAGACCTTGATGTTGTTGGCCTTGCGAGCGCACTCGACGGCGGCCTGGTACTCCTCAAGGTGGACGAGGGTAGTCGCCAGCTTAGCCCAGTTGGAGATGCTGGTGAAGAAAATCTTGGCAGCCTGGTAGAGACCGTCCTCATAAGCCTTGTCTCCGGACTCCTCAATGTTGGCAACGTTAGTGCCACGCAGGAAGTCCTCCAGCTCGCCAAGTTCGTCCAGACGAGCGTAGCAGAAGGCGAGGGCCGTGTCAATGGCGGGCTCACGCATGGTCTTTCTAGCCATGCGCAAGAACTTGATGAGATCCTCATCCTTGCCAGCACGAGCGGCGGTCTCAATGACCTCCTCGTAGTTCTTGGGGTCCTCGGCCTTGATGTAGGACTCAATAGAGTCGCTGACACGGAGGCCGTCGAGCTGGGCCTTGGCAACCTTGCTCCAGACTTCGGGCAAATCAACCTCCTCGGCGTAGGCCTGCGCACGGTCGATGCTGACGACATTCTCGACGAGGACGTTGACAGCGGCGGTCTTGTCGCCGGTCTTCTTAAAGATCTCGAAGGCCTCCTCGTGGAGACCAACGTCGATACAGGCTGAGGCAATGTCGGGAGCGCTGAAGTTGTCCAGGCGATGGATGTAGTCCATAACCTTACCCTTGTCAGCCTTGGCAGCGGTGAACAGCAGCAGGTTTTGCAGGTTGGCATTGTCGCTGAATGGCGAGGGCTCGAGGACAATCTTCTCGAGCAGCTCAATGAGCTCAAGAGGAAGATCGCAAGCCAAGAAAGCGGCGACGGCCTCGGAGACCTTGGAGGGGTCGGTAGACTCGGGAACGGCGGTGGCGTTCACTTGGTCAATGACCGAGCGGCGGTGAATGTTGTTCTCGCTGAGCACGAAGGTCCAGAGCTCGCGGTCCGCACGCTCGAGCAAGTAGCGCGCCTGGTTACGGTACATGCCGTTCTCGTTCGTAATGTTGACGAGCTCGAGGTCGTTCTGACCCTTGGAGTAGGCGATGAAAGCCAAGTTGGGGTCACGCTTCTCGCAGTACTTACCAACGACGAGGGTGTCGTACTGGTCGTTCTCCTTCAGGAACTTCTCGGGGTTGTTGTTGGAGTCGATGTAGATCTTGGCGAGAGCGTTGTACACAGCTTGTTGCTGGTTACCAGCGGCCAGAGTGGCCTCCAGGAAAGGCAGGAGAAGCTTGAGACGGTTGCGAGTCTCGACCTCAGACACAAGTTCGTCGATGGGAATCGATGCAGGGTTGACGGTGGAGAGCAAGTTCTTGATGATACTCTCGTCGCAGTCGACATCCAACAGACCGCCGATGACGGCGGGCGTTCTGCTAGGGTTGACACGCTGGACGTAGGTCTCGATGGACTTGAACTGCTGCTGTTGGTAGAGATACAAGACCAAATCGTGAACAAAGTTGAAGCGGTCGCACACGATGATGAGAGGAAGTTGCTCCTGGAGCTTGGCCTCCTTGAGGAAGTTCTTGACCTTCTCGGCGTTGTAGTAGTTGCTGTCTCTGCAGATACGCTCGACCTCGTTGAACTGTCCCATCTTGGTGGCAGCCTCAATGTACTTGAAGTGAACGTCGGGGTCCTCGGACAGGTTGACAATGCTGCCGAGGTAGTAGAAGAGACCCTCGGCAGTCTTGTACTTCTCGAAAAGGTCGATCAAGTGAACGGGGCCGAGAAGATCAGAGTACTTGGTAGCGACCTGAACGACAGACTGCAGGTTCTGGCGGATGTTGTGCTTCATCATGGCGTCCAAGCAGTCCAGAGACTGCTCGACGGACAGCTTGCCGAAGAAACCAGTCAACCAGTCGAGGTTAAAGTTGGGAGTAGCCGCAATGTTGACAACAACACGCTTGACGGCCGCGGGGTCCTCGTAGAGCTCCAGGGCCTTCTGAGCCAAGCCGGCCTGCTCGCAGAGAGTTGCGATCCTCGTCTTGTCGAAGTGAGAGAACATGTCGTTTCCAAGGATGGCGTCGGCAACCTGAGGAGCGTTCATGAGGTTCATCTCCAAAAGGCGGGTCTGGAGATGGCCCTGGTCAGGCCTGTTGTCCTTCAGAGCGTCCAGCAGGAACGCGGTTGCTTGCTGGATCATGCCCTGGGACTGGAAAATGTCGACGACTCTCTCGATATCGACCAGAGAACCGCCCTCGTGGTTCGCCAGGGCAGTGGCGAACTCTGCACCCTTCTCAGGGTTTACACGAACGATGTGCTGGAGGAGTTGCACGTAGTCTGGCTGGTAGCCAACCTGGGCGGCGTAGGGCAGGATCTTCTCGAATTGACCGGTCTCAGCGAAGCCAGCGACCACCTTGTGGGGAACGTTGGCCTTGAGGTACATGGTGAGGGCCATGTTCAGGTCGTGAGGGCGAACAAGGTCACCGAGTCTCTCGGACGCAGTGAGCTTGCCCTCCTTTTGCCACTTCTCCAACAAGTTAAGACGGTTCTGCGCCAGAACGGGCTGAGCGAGCTCAATAGACTCGTGCTCGTTGAGCGCGCCCTTGTCGAGCAGGAGGCCAAAGTATTGCAGAACAAAAGACATCTGGCCGGGCTGCTGGGGCAGGGACTTGAATCTCTCGATCGTCTCGGCGGTTCGGAGGAATTGGCGGGGAGAGTTGGCCGCAACCTTGGCCGCCTCCATGTACGAGCCGCTGTTGAAGAGCTGCTCGAACTGGCGGGCGTACAGATTATCAGCACCAGGGAGGCCAGCTCTTGATGCCATCTTGATTGCCATGTCGGTGTTGGCCGGGTTCTGGAGAAGGTAGGGGATGACATTGGCGTCGTCGATCGAGACGAAGAGCACTTGACCCTTTCGGTTGATGCCAACGATGCCGCGGGACTCGGTGTCGGGGCAGGTGGTGAAGATGGTGTCGCTGGAGATGCGGTTCATGAAAATGCAGGCGGCGGTCTCGAGGTCGTAAACATGGATGAATCCATACTTGGTGACCATGAAAATGACACCGTACTTTTGCGACACCTGCATGGCCACGGGGAAATCGCTGACGGCTTCGGGAGGGAAGAAGATGTCGACGGCTTTCTTTTGGAAAACGGGGTTCGATTCGGCGTGGTCGACCTCGACGATGTGGAGCTTCGCACCGGTTGCTGTCCTCACGGCGAAGGTGAAGAGCTTGGTGTCGGCAGGAGCACCCTCCAAGCGCAGCGAACCGAAGGCAGCAGCGTGACCCTCGATGGCCTGGCTGATGCCGCGGTCCCTAGAGTACAGCTGCATCGAGCCGACAACGCGGCCCTGTTGTTGGGAAATACCGACAACAACCATCCACTTTCCTTCGGCGTTGGTTCGGTAGTTGATGATTTGGCAGCCCTGCGAGTGACATGGTTAGCTTGCGTCCCGACGAATTACCAACTGCGGCAGTCTGTACGCACGTTCAGGTTGGCGTTGCGCTTGAAGACCTCGACAGGCGCGGCCTGGGTGGCATCGTAGACGTCCCAATGGTAGACGGCGGAATCTGTGACGAGGCCCAATGAGGTCTCGCTAATCCACTTCCAGTATTGGACGTCCTCGTTCATCGTGGTGGACTTGAGTTTGGCCTTCTTCTCGAGGTCGAAGATCTGGAGTGTTCTCGATTGCGCCTTGAGAGCGATGACTTGCTTGGTCCAGTGCATGATGGCACTGTCGGCCTTGATAGGGCGTCGTGTCACATTGTTGCCGTTCTTCAGGTCGACGATGACGACCTCGGGCTGAGCAGCTTCGTTTTTCTTTTCCCGGATACACACGTAGGAATCTGACTCGAGTGTCTGGAGGAGCGAGTGTCAGTGGAACTGATGCCATTGGGAGATACGGATGTGCCGGAGCGTGGTGATGGTGGTGGTGACTTACGCAGGAGTTGAAGCCGATCGAAGAATCCTCAACGCCGGCAGTCTGGAGCTGGATAAGCTCCTGGAACTTGATGGGTAGAGGCGCCATGATGGCGGTATCTGTCGCAGAGATGCAAAATCGAGCCTCTCAAGCTAGATGTCGTCTGGTTTCGGTGATTGATTAGGCTGGTTGTCGGGCGTCGCGGGAAATCGTGACGGTGTTCGTTTGAGAGAAAGGAGAAGGTGGGAAGGAGCTGTGGGGTTGTAGCTACCGTGCCGCCCGGATGAATGCGCAAGAGGCAATTAATACAGGGAAACAAAGAGCGAAAAAAGGAGCAGATGTTGACGCGGGATACGATGCACCTCTCAGCGATGGCAATCTGGAGGGCAAACGGTGATGATGGTTTGTTTGGGGGTGGGAATGGGAAAGATGGATACGGGATACGTAGTGCGTGAGAGAGTAGAAGGTCGGACCAGATATTTTGGGTAGCGTACCTGTACAACTGGCCTGGCTTGCCTTGCTGGCCTGCTTCTTCCAGGTTCACTTGTTACGCACTGAGCCTGGCTTCGCGACAGCCAATCGAATGTGGTGTTTGACGTTTGCTGTCCACTACTGCTGCCAGCTGCTGCTGCTGCTGCTGCTACGTACTGCCATTGCTCCTGCCGCTCCTTGCTGTCTTCAGCCATGTGGCCCGTGCTTGCCTGCCTGTTGACGAAGACGCCTGTCACGTGGCATTCCTGCTGAGGTGGCCGTTCCCGCTCTCAGCAGGTAACGGAATGATTTTTGACCGGAAGCGGGATGACATAAGCATCCAGAGCTCTCCCCACATCTCAATGCAGGCCAATTCAGGGGAGCACCGGGGCTGGCTGGGATCATTCTCCAGAACAATTTGCTTGGAAATGGCAGCCAGTAGAAAAATCCCAGCAAGTCTCCCGAAGCGAGCATGAAGTTGAGCCGGAACAGCACGAAGAATGGAAGGCTGTTTGAACCCACATCAGCAGTGAGACAATCTGCGCAAAAGGGGAAGGGAAGACGGCTGAAACCTCAGGGAAACTTCGACATCAAGCATTCAGTAGCATGATTTCGAGGTTACAACAACTCTAAGACTGCTCTGTTATCGCCTACCGACAGGCAGCTTTCCGCCATGGTATCACACCCGTAACTATTAACACAAACACTGTCCATCCCAAAAAGGTGGCTCAACCGATAGACAAATAAAGCCAACCCTTCTTTCCGCGGCCTGACGTCTGCTCCGAACATTCCTGCGCACGACATTCATCACACCCGAGCGTCCTGAATCGATTCCCGGTTGTCTTCAGATAGTGAATGTCTGTTCCTTGCCCACGGGGAGAGGATCGCGGTAGGTCACACAGTCGGCGTGGACCGGCAGAGTGTGGATCTTCTTGTTCGGTCCATCTTGAGCTGTAGCAAGGTCAGCAGAGCTCAATTGATCCCGGATCTAGCTTGCTTACCAATCGCGACCTTATTGATTCTTTTGGCACCCTGCATGGTCTTCTGAGTTTGCCGCATAACGTCTGCCGCGAACCCCTTACTGTTCCCGATCAGATCGAGGTAATGATTGACGATCGTAGCCCAAGCCTTAGGATCTTTGCCGCAAGTTTCGTCAAAAGCCATGGAGCAAGAGATGGTTGAGGCTGAAGTTCTAGTATCCTGGGCCGACTTTCCCATCCAGCTCTGCATCCAAGGCTTCACAGCTGCCTGCGCAACAACAGTTCTGAGGTCCTTGTAGTTGTTATCAACTTGGCGACCTTCGACAAAGTTGTAAAGCTGGCCGATGTTTGCCTTAGAAAGCACCTGGCGGTCGGCGAGAAGAATCTGTCTCAAACGTAGGCACACGGCATAGTTGAAGCGCTCTCTGCAGCGAAGGTCCAAGTAGCTCGCCACACGGTATGCGGTGATGAAATCACCAATCAGCTGCGCCATCGGTTGAACCTCTGCCATGTGATGCTGCGGAAAAGTGCCCGTCATGAGGAAGCTGATGATGAGACCCATGGCGGCGGCTTCAGTATCAGGGAAACAGAACTCTCGCAGGGCGCTCTCTCGCAACCCTTCAGCACCATATCTGAGACTGCTAGAGAAGTAGCCGAAGTTTTTGACGAGAATAGCTTCGGGAATAGAGAAGCGGCGCTGGACACCCTTCATATCGTATTTCAATGTAATGTGCTGTGGGTCATGAGGAAACCATGACCTTAGACATATCAGCTTAGTTGTTCTCGCGGGTGAGGTTATCTTACTCAAGCCAGTCGAAATGACCAACGTATGTCTGTTCCAAATGTCCGGGAGCCGTCTAAGCAGAATGTCAGTTATAGAGTCAGAGGTGAGGGTGAAGGCAGAAAGAAGAAGCAAGGGTATTACTACCTTGACACCAAAAACAGGATCGCTAATGACGACGTCCTCCTTGCGAAGTGTGAGTCTTTCGAAACTGAAAGGGGCGAGAACAACGCCACCGGTCTCTATATCGCTGCTCGAGTCGCCGCTGCTCTGTTGTGGACTGAATGGATTGGTATTGGTACGGGGCTGAGAAGCATCGTCGGTAGCAGGCGCAGTGGCAGACATCTTGGATATGGATGGTTCTGAGTGCGTGCTGTTGGGTATGAAGTGACTTGGAGAAGAATGCGTCGTTGTTTCGGAGAGGTTGGAAAAATCAAGTTTGGAATTCTTGCCTGGATTAGGTGGACAGATGTCTATGTGAGGTGGTAGTATCCAAGGAAAGAAAATTGGTCTGCCGTAGGTCGGTCGGTGCGAGGAAGACGCTCTCACTTGAGAGCGCCGGGATAGAAAACCTATCAGAGGAAGGTGCGTGGGATTCTTCCGCACTCGCCCGGGTGGTGCCTACCCTCTCCCTTATCGTCTATGAATCTGGATCTCTAACACAGGCACTGCATTCTGAATGTCATTTTACCATTCAGAAGCAATTATCTCAAGCCCAGAATAACGCCCCGGGGAGGCGATGAGTAGACACACGGTTTTCTCTATGACAAAAGCCGACACCACCCTATTGCGCCGTAACTTATCTTTCACAAACATTTTCGCAACCACAGACTCCGTCTACATGAGCAATCTCCAAGCACCAAGCAGCAGGGCAGCAAAACCAGTGCAGACACCCATCAGCCACTGCAGCGTCTGGAATTTGACCTGCTCCAGCTTCTCCCTCAAAGCCGCGACCTCCTGCTCGATCTTGGTCTCGGTCTCCTTGATCTTGAGCTCCTGGCCGACGGCCTCCTCGCGGATGCGACCCTTCTCCAGGTTGAGGTCGAGGCGCACGCTGGCCTGGGTCCGGCCGATCTCGTCGCGCAACCGCGAGCTCAGCTTCGCGATGTCGTTGGCCAGGCGCTCGTGGGATGCGCGCGTCGTATTCGACTCGGTGCTATCGGCCGACAGGAGCTCGGAACGCAGCTTCGCGAAGTCGACTTTCTGGGTGTATGTTGCTTTGGCGGCGTCTTCGCGGAGGACCATCGTGCGGGTGAGGTTCTGTATGCTGGTAGACGTTAGCGGGTGGTACTCCGAGGCGGACGGGGGGTATCTACGTACCTTTCCTGGATTACGTCGTTGAGGACCTTCATCATGGCCTCGGCCTGCTCCTCGGTAAAGCCATCCGACTTGAGACGCTGTACGAACTTCAGAGTGTCGAAGTGGTGATCCCGTTGCCTCGCGGGAGTCGCATGGAATGACCTCCTCAGCGCCGGGTTCTCCAGCATTGAAGGGGTTTTGCAACTAGAGCTCCGTCGCGGGGACTGGTTTGCGCCGTGGAAGGCATTAGTCTGGTGGTGCATCCGCCGGCGCGAGCTCGGATGGGAAGCCGAGAGGGGCCGCAGGGCTCGGGAGGCTGTTGAAGGACCAGTCCAGCTGAGTCTGGGGAGCAAAAATCTTGGGAGGGCGTCGGCCGCCATGGCTGCTGGTTTGGCCATCTCGGGCTATTTTTTGGTGTTGTTTGTTGCGGGAGAAAGCATCAAGGGGTCGGAGGGAGATTGAGACTCATCTGGGACCGCCGCGGGAAATGGAGATGCTCGCCAGCAGCGAGTGACGGCATGTCGTTGCGGACGACCCACTTCAAAGCGCAGCTTGCCGAAGACCGGCCGCGGGTGTCAGCGACGGAAAGCGCAGGGGCAATTGGACCCTTCCTCGGTACGTACCCCAAGACCGCCCGCCCACCTGGTCGGCCCTCTGGCTGCCTGAGGCATTACCAAAAAAAAAAAAAAAATCTACTGCGGCTACAAAAGTCGACGTCTGCTGCCAATTTTCTACTGTTTCTTCTTCTTTTCTTCATTATTGAACAACGCAAATATCACATTCTTGTTCTCGTGATTCTTTCTGGTGAGAGGTTCTCTCTGAGGACCCAAGACCATCGGATACCGAGTTCGAAATGGAGAAGGAATCGAGCAATCTTGGGTGCGGTGCTCCTGTGCCTTCGGGCAAGTGAGGAGGAGCGCAATGATTGAACGTACATACTTTCGACCATCGTAGTAATTTTCTGTGTCCCTATGTGAGATGTGTTCTGGCTCATGAGACTCGTAGACCGTTGCATCGCTCTACCGTACCATGATCCTATCGTAATGCCGCTCTTGCCATAATCTGCCGCACTGATTGATCCGGCTAGAAAAGCGTGAACGATCTGCTTGCCATCATCCTGGTGGCTTGCGGCTCGTCGATTTGGGTTTTCTGCTGCCTGGACAGCATGAATGTCATAGCTTCGCCGCATCGTCCTGGCTGCCCGAATTTCCTACATGCTTCGGCACCATACCTGGTCACGTCACGTCACGTTAATGGAACCACAAGCTTGATGGAATCATCAATATTCCTATAATACAAGAGAGGAACAAGCGTCCTCAGCAGGTTGCCTCCTACCGCTCACCTCGCGGCGAACACGGCTTGAGGTGAAAAACCCGACCACTAGAATACACGAAGGAAAAGAGCAGATCATCCCATCAAAAGGATTTCACTGCCGTCTATGAAAAAATTAGCCGCAACCGCCGGCATCCACCAGCAGCAGGCGACCACGGAAAGAAGAAGAAGAATGTTGTATGTGGTGGTCGTGTATGATTTTTTCCGAGCTCTTTTTTTCTTCCAGACGCCTCCACATGACTGACGCCCAGACCTCAAATATCGCACAAGAAGTGAAGAGTCGAAGTCGATACACGTCGACACAGTTTTCTCTCGCCCACTTGTCGCGGACAGTCGCGTGCCGATCTAAGCAGCCTCCGCGGCCTGGGGGAGGGCCTCGCGTTTCCAGCAGGGCTGGCCGGGCTTGGTGCACCACGGCGCACGAGCAGCTACGACGGGCGAAGGCTTCTCGGCAACGACGGCGGCGGGCATGGGGATGAAGTCAGTCTCGGGTGCGACTTCGCGTTTCCAGCAGGGCTGTCCGGGCTTCGTGCACCAGGGTTCGCGGGCAGCCAGGACAGGTGTCGGCTTCTCGGCGGCGGCGGGAGCGGGAACAGGGATGGATTCGATGTCGAAGTCGGAGTCGTCGACCTCGGAATCAGGAACAACTTCGAAGGAGTCAACCTCGGCGAGCTCGGCATCGCGCTTCCAGCAGGGCTGTCCGGGCTTCGTGCACCAGGGCTCGCGGGCGGCCAGGACGGGGGTCGGCTTCTCGACGGAAGCGGCGGCAGGGACGGGGAAAGTGTCGAGCTCGGAATCAGATTCGTCGACCTCGGATTCAGGGACGACTTCAACGGGCTCGACTTCGCGCTTCCAGCAGGGCTGACCAGGCTTCGTGCACCACGGCTCACGGGCGGCCAGGACAGGAGTAGGCTTCTCTACAACGGCGGGCTCGGGAACGGCCACGCGGCGAACCTCTCGCTTCCAGCAAGGCTGGCCCGGTTTGGTGCACCAGGGCTTACGAGCAGCCAGGACCGGGGAGGGCTCGTCGATGGCAGCGGCGGCTGGTACGGGGAAGGTGTCGACCTCTGCGTCGGGGTCGACTTCGCGCTTCCAGCACGGTTGACCGGGCTTCGTGCACCACGGCTCCCGAGCGGCGAGAACCGGGGTCGGCTTGTCGAGGACGGCGGGGGCGGCTTCGCGTTTCCAGCATGGCTGGCCGGGCTTGGTGCACCAGGGTTCCCTCGCGGCCAGCACCGGTGTTGCCTCACGCTTCTCGGTGGGCTGGGGGACGGCGAGCGCGTGGACGGTGACGGCCGCCAGGAGGAGGGTGGCGAAGAACTTCATGTTGCGGGTTGAGTGATGAAGTGGATTAAGAAGAGGCTCTGGAAGGGAAGGAAGAGGTGAAACGATTGACGATGGTCGGGAGGCTCGTTGAGATCAAGTGATGCACTTGTCTACTCGTTGAAGGTGAGTTGGGACGAGTGAAGAGCTGGGGCAAGGTAGACTTGGGGCCGGAGCTGCATGTTGTCTTTATAGATCGACGAGAGAAGTCTCTCCCAGCGGAATGCCCTTGGGTAAACATAACCATCGGACCAACGATTCCGTTGCTACTAAGCATTGGTCGAGTACTCGGTCAAGGGACCGTTCTCGAGTCCTCAAGGAGGCAAGTCTCCAGACTGTACCGAACAAACATAATATCAGACACCAGCAAGGCTCTCTCAAAGAGAGCAGAGTTCTGGGCCTGGGATCATTACTGGTCAATGGCAAAGGCCAAGGTCAGCGATAGAGATCCCTGCACATTGAATGGAGGGAGACCAATGAGATAGCAATCATCGGACAACGCAAGTGCCTCCTCGTGGCCGCGGCTCTTCCTGAATGGTTGCACAATGACAAAGGCATGCCAGAGAGGGCGAAATCGAGATGCGTCGTCTTGATTGATGGAGCTGGTGATCTCTCGCCCTTCCCTGTATCCTGTCACTGCAGGCTGTCACTGCAGGGACTAACTGACCCCGTTTGCGGTGATCCAGATGGAAGATGGAAGCGCAGCATGGTTATTCAGATGATTTACGGGGTAATAAGGGGCGATTCATATTGGTCTCTTTGCCTGTTGGTCGTCAGAGCAAACACCACTCCTAGAAGTGCGGACGAGGCTCTCATCGAAGCCCCACCGACAACTTGATGTACCTAGTGTTGAAGCTTACAAGTAGCATCTAGTATTTGGATACGCTGGTACGATGTGTCTTTGTCAATATGGACGCTGGTGTTGCTGATTTCAAAATATCCAAGACGCCGACTCTTCGTGACGATGAGGCGACTGAAGCAGATGCGAGTCCTTGCCATCTACGTTCATGTGCGAAGACACAACATGCCACTAAAAACCACCCGCTGCTCTTGGGTGAGGTAAGTTGTCGGGTTCTTAGGTCTACATAACAGTCCAACGCCTGAATGATTCCGGATGGCCCCGGAGCCACGAGTGGTGGGCGTGGTAGTCCCCTTGCGGAGGCAAAGTCGGCCGGGATTGAAGCCAAATAACAACGTGATTTCAGTAGCAATCCAAACTGATATTCTCTTGGATGAAACGCTCTGCCATGGCTGCACAACATTGTCGCCCAGGCCATGGCCTATTCAAGCAAGCCACACAACAGGGGTGCTCGGATGGCGAGCAACGAGCTTGTTTGCAGCCAAGGATCTTCTCATTCTTGGCAACCGTTCCCTTGGATCTTACGATACTTCTATGCAGGGTTGCCACGTTTGTTTGCTTGGAACCTTGGATGCATCTTCGCTCATTTCCGGGAACAGCACGACTTTCCACGTCGATGATCCGGAGGCAAATCGCCCAAGTCTGCGGTCTCTAACTCGAAGGTCCCGAAACCTGCTCAAGAAAGCTTTCGCTCTTACTACTGACTGAATGCCCAGAGATGACACTGGAAATATGTGACGATGGTGCTGGACTCTCAAGGTCACCTGCTGGCTGAATAATAAAACGCAAATGAGTACGCGGAGGATGACGGCGAACGACGATGACGGAGGAGGATGATGAATGATGATAACGACAACGAGGACGACAACAACGAAGATGATAACAGCGACGACGGCAATAATTGAGACAGAAACTAACAAAGATACAAATCAAGACCATCTATGTTAAGATTAAATCGTTCCAGGACATCTCCTTGAAATAACACCTCTGCGCTCCATATGCATCTTTTGGCGCTTGATTCAATAAAATGTCCCTGGCCTTCATACTCGCGATCCGCTGATTTCCTATCCCGAAATGTTTCGCCATCCGATCCATCCTCTGCGTCGCAGCCACCACACGCACAGGATCCCGGGACTCGCAAGCGATGATGAAGAGAAGCGGCAGGAGGCCGGCCTCGACTTGCCCTTGAGAAGGAACCGCGTCCGTGTTTTCGATGCAAGTCTGCAGTGCCGACGTCTTCGTGGCGGGCAGTGCCTGGCGGACGGTTTCCCAATCAGAGAGCTCGTCTAGGGTTGTTGTGAATGGCATGGATATGACCTCGTCTAGTACGGAGTGGATCGTTAAGATTATGCTACTTTCGAAAGCGTAGCAGATGTGCTGGAGGCTTGTGATGGTCGTAAGAGACATGCCTTGGGGAACTACAAAATCAGGTGGATCTTGCTTGTGTTGCTCGAGGAGAGTGAGACTATTGAGTTAGCGAGGCAACTAGAAAATAGTTCAAGGCTTCTTCGTACATCGTCAGAATTTCTGCTTTTAGAAGGTTTGTGTCGCAAGTTTGTGGACTATAAATCCTTCGCAGGGCTGTTGCGCGGCGGATAAGGGGAAACAAGTTACGGGACATTCCCATATACAAGTCTATAGAGCATGGTGGTTCCAAGGTCATGTCTGGTGCATCGTACTCATCGATCCACGACTCTACTGAGTCTTGACCCAGGTCAGCTGTGAGACTGCCGATACACTTGTGGTACATGATACTGGAGCGCTGTCAGTTGCCGTCTTAGGCACAAAAGCATCATACTCATGGTGAGAGGGCCTACAAGCTACGAGCGAAGCTGATGCTTTCGTCCATCATTCCTTTATGTTTTGATCCCAAGATGCGACAGAGGGATTCTATGCCACTGAGATGTTGCCGCCAAACTGACACGCCATCCTTGATGATTTCGAATTTGCACAGATAGATGGCTGTAAGAAGGACGCTTTCGTCTCTTACCAAGTCAGAGGCTTGATCATCGCTGTTGACTGTCTGCAGCAGCCCCGGTATGATATCCTTCAGTGACGAAAGTGTACGAACATAGCGCTGACTGGCCATCAGCCCGTACAAGCCCCGATTTATTGAATCTTCATTGGAGTTCATGCCGTCTGAGGACCACGCGCGGTGCTGCGCGGCGCAAGCGCACACAGCGTCGTATAAGAGGCTTGAGGAGATCATTCGTGGGATTATGAGAAGTCTCAAGAGATTGTCTGGACCGTCGACATTGACGAGGAGAGATGATAAGTTGTCCACGTAGTATTGGAAAAGCTCCAAGGACGATGGTGGAAGGGCCGAGAATAGGCTTACGGGGCTCTTGGAAGGAGCTTCGAGCCGTGACTTTAGAATCAATTCGGAAGATCCTTCAGGGGCTTCAGGAAGTGTTGAGGGTTGTTTGCTGCTACTTGTGGCCGAGTGTGGCTGGCGGTCGCGTTTGTATGGCGCCGATCCTGTGAAATCCGCTGTCCGCCGCAGCCATGGCCTCGAGAGAGAGTTATCTTCCGTTGCTCTTTGGGAACTCCCCGGGGTCTTGGAGACGTCAACCGGGCAAAAGGCGTCGAACAGCTCGCATTCGAGATTAAGACGCTTACATGCACCACATCTGAGAGACGTATGAGTCGAAGAGACTTAGGGAAGAGAGCGGGGCCTCATCTTGCTTACACAGGCTTTGAACCGTCGCCTAGATGTGGAAGAACTAGTTAGTAAAGCATCCATAATCAATTACCAACTCCAGCCTAGGTGAACAAGCAACGGACGACGATGGAAGATGGCGATAAGGATGACAACAGCAAGGACAACAAGGATGAGAATAACAACAATGAGCATAGCAATAATATGCCGATGCTGAAAATTGACGGAGAAGGGTAGTGAATAAGAGCTTTGGCGAATCTGTCCGGTCCACTCAAGCAAAAGAAAGAGAGCACATATCCATTCAGGCTGGGGGAACCTAAACCACTGGCGTGGACGTGTGAACTGACATTTTTTGTGCCGCTGCTTGCACGTACGACATCCCATTCGGGACCACGGCGTGGTTCTGATTCGGCGAGAGGCCATGATCCAAATCAAAGGGCCTGGACCGTACGGGAAATGTTGTAAGGATGTCTCTACGGGAGCAAGCTCAGCTGGGATACCAAGTCTGGTGTTGCGAGAGTAGCGTGGCCGGAGAGAGAAAAGGTGGAACGATGTGAATGATCTCGAGCTGCCTCATGGTAGGTGACAATTCCCCTCGTCTTCCTTCAAGAAAGCTATCGTATCGTATCTTTCTCCAACTGAGGAGCCACTTACGCGCCATGGTGAGGGGTTACAGGCCGGCGTATCTTTTGCCATAAGAGGGAAGGCTTCGGTGGAGATCATGTATGCAGACAGATCGGAGCAGGCCCCCTGGCCTTGCATCGTCACATTTACCCCGCAAAACTTGAGAGTTGTAGCACAGTTGGTGTTCAAACTGTGTGATTCTTTAGTTCGAGATGCGGAGGGTTTTGTCAATCTCAGGCGATGTCAGATCAATCTAGATGGGCTTGAACGGATCAATGGAAGTGACCCCCATAGTCTGAGATCTGCGATGGGGCCAAGATGGTTTCGGTTTCCCCTCATCCTTCCCAACAGGAAAATAGTGATGGCAAAACAAAACCAGCAGAAGGCGTAAGACTTACCAAATTCAACCACTTGAACTGACGTTGTCGAATTCAATGAGTCAAAGATCTCGGGGTCCGGACATCAAAAAGTTCCCGATACTTATACGTTGATATTCGTCTTACCCAGCTTTTGATATCCCCTACCATTCCACCATTCACGCCTTTACACTCTGGTTTCCATACACAAGAAGTTTCCGCCTTTCCTCCCGTGAAATCAGACTTGAATCATTATCAAAATCCTTTGCCCTCTTTCTATTCACGACAATGTCATTCCCACAGCCTCACCCATTCGATCCCTTGAGGCCCGAGGAGATCCTTCTCACAACGAAGATCCTCAAGGCCGCGCTACCCGGCATCCCTCTTCGCTTCAAAGCTCTCGATATCCAGGAACCGCGCAAGGCCGACGTCATTCCTTTTATCGAGGCTGAACGTACTGGCGCCCCCTTTCCCCGCTACCCCGATCGCGTGGTTTCTGTCTTGTTTCACCGGCTGGATACCCGAGCCTTCCTCAAGGCTCTGGTTCACGTGGGGAACAAGAGCATCCTCTCTCTGAAGGAGCTTCCGGCAGACCTCCAAGGCCCTGCGGACCTCGATGAACTGATCGAAATTGAGGAAGTGTGCTTGAAGCATCCCGAAGTACTCAAAGAGGTCGAGAAGCTCAAGCTGCCAAAGGGGGTGACGGTCTGCAACGATCCGTGGGGCTACAGCACTGATGACGTCAAAGAGACTCGTCGTCTTTTCCAGTGTTACATGTACATTGTCCCCCTGGATCATCCGCAGACGAACCACTACTCTCTTCCGTGCCCGTTCTCCCCAGTCTTCGATGCCTTGACCAAGGAGCTTGTCCGTATTGACCAGCTCGCTCTTGGCCCTGATCACAAGACCCACGAGACCGCCCAACCCTGGAAGCCCGTCAAAGCCGTAGAGTACGCTCACGACTTGCTTGACACACCGGTCCGGAACGATCTCAAGCCGTACATCGTTCAACAGCCAGAGGGACCATCGTTTTCAATCAATTCTGGGCAGCAGGTTGACTGGCAAAAGTGGAAGTTCCGCGTCGGTTTCAACACTCGCGATGGTTTAGTTCTATACAACGTCACTTATGACAACCGCAATGTCTTCTACCGGCTTTCCATGTCGGAGATGACTGTCCCCTATGGCGACCCGCGCAAGCCCTACCACCGAAAACAGGCGTTCGACGTTGGAGACGTCGGCTTGGGCGTCACTTGCAACCAGCTCAGCTTAGGCTGCGACTGTCTTGGCCACATCAAGTATTTCAACGGCTATCGGAGCGACTCCAAGGGCAACCCCGTCGAGTTGAAGAACGTGATATGCCTTCATGAGCAGGATGCTGGCATCCTGCACAAGCATACCAACTACCGTAACAACCAGGCCACTGTTGTCCGCAACCGCCAGCTGGTGGTTCAGATGATATGTACAGTATCTAACTACGAGTACGTCTTCGCTTGGATCTTTGACCAGGCCGGTGGCATCGAGTTCGAGGTACGCGCCACGGGAATCCTTTCCACAACTCCCATCGAGAACGCCAACGGCGAGACCGTCCCCTGGGCCACCAATGTCGGCCCCGGTGTCGCCGCGCCATATCACCAGCACATCTTCTCGCTTCGCATTGATCCGGCTATTGATGGCTTCAACAACACCGTCGTCTACGAAGACAGCGTTCCGATTCCCCTCGACACGGGCGTAGAGGATCCCTACTCCGTTGGCTATGTGTCGCAGACCACAGTCCTTGAGAGAGCCGGTCATGCCGAAGTTGACGTGGACAAGGCGCGTGTCTTCAAGATCCGCAACGACAGCATCATCAACAAGGTCAGTAATAGACCTGTTGCCTACAAGATCCAGACGCTGCCGAGCCAACGGATGTTGGCTGGCCCGCAGAGCTTCAACGCCCGCCGCGCCCAGTTCGCCGAACACCCTGTCTGGGTCACTCGCTACCGTGATGACGAGCTGTACGCCGCGGGCGAGTTTACCTGGCAAAGCCAGGAGAGCCAGGGGGTGGAGAAATGGGCTGCTCGTGAAGACAACGTCAAAGACAGTGACCTGGTCTTCTGGCACACGTTCAGCCTGACGCATAATCCTCGCCCTGAGGATTTCCCGGTCATGCCGATCGAGAAGATCAGTGTTCATATGAAGCCGTCAGGCTTCTTTGAGAAGAACCCTGCTCTTGATGTTCCCCCTTCTAGCCAGAGCGCCAACAAGTCGACGTTGCATGCGGATAAGGGAGATGACTGCTGCGGATCCAGACTCTGAGGCATCGGGGACTTCGTTAAGATCTGGTAGATCATAGATGGAAGAGGGAGATGAAAGCATACTTTATGTCATGTAAACCAAGTCTTCACCAGGCAGCTCTTAAAAGGTTCATCGATTTCGTTGTATGATTTGGTCTGTTATGTGTTATCTTGCGATGCCCTCGCTGTTGTCTTCAGAAATCATCGATATCGCTGTTTCCCTCTGTTTGGTTTATTGCGTGGGATACAGTTCTTTCAGCTATTGCATCTACCTAGTATAGAAAGCAGTAAATACACTATTTCTTCTGTTATTGCTGGTATTCTTCTTGTTACGCTTGTTGCTGCCATTGTCGTCGCCCGTGTCATCGCCTTTGTTGTCGCTGTTGTCGTTGGCGTCCCTTGTCGTCGGTTGAGTATTCCACATCCCTCGCCTATTCGCAGCTCATGCTGCTGATGAACTTCGGTCTTACCACGCCCACTAGTAAGACTGCTGGATAATTCTTGGAAGCTGCTGCCAAGTTTAAGCCAGATTGCCGGTCATCAAGGCGACTGGAGGATCCCTGTCGAATGCGATGCTGTGTTGGTGCGACATTGTGCTGAGGCCAAGGGGGAGGATAGCGTGGCAGGAGTGCAATCGAGTTGCTTCTCCACTTACCCATTTGAGAGAAAGATACGCCGTACTACGTAGCTCCGAGATTTGACCTGAGGAATAGCCTTAGCCGTCACGTCACGTACAACGGCCACAGCCTGGAATGATCGAAAAGAAGGCAAAGCGGCTGTAATGTGATGTCGCCTCCGCTTGTCCGGCTTCATGAATTCTCCCTAAGACCGTGCTGGTTGGCATCGACGGTCAAGAGTCTCATAATAAAGCCGACCTTGCTCGCGGCATTGGCAAGCTCAAGTAGTCCAAAGTTTGTAGCTTGTTAAGCAATTCCTACCTCTTAAACATCAAACATCGAAGCCCGTACTCTCTTTGCTATCAAAGTTGACCATCATGACACAAGACACACGCAGCGACGACACCGTCCTCAACGAAACTCAACACTTATCAAAATGGCGCATCAGCTCGTAGGTTCTCTTGGCTCATTGCTGAAGAGCGAAGCAACGCACTAACGAAAGACAACCATCCAGTCCGTACTTCCAAACCGTTCTCGTCGGGATCGTTCTGTTCCTCAACCCAGGAACCTACCTCGCCATCACTGGTCTTGGTGCCGGTGGGAAGAAGCCCGAGCTGATTGGGATCGTTAACAATGCGAACGTCATACTGTATACACTCTTTGGAGCTTCAGCAGTCGTTGGCGGCAGTGTCATCAACAAAATTGGTCCTCGCTATTCCCTCATGCTTGGTGTTACTGGGTACCCAATGTACTGCGGTTCTCTCTGGTAGGATAAAATGCTTCGCAATCGTTGATGTTGACTAACATGAAGATATTCAAGGTGGATAGATAAGGGCCAAGGAACGTGGTTCGTCCTGTTTGGCGGCGCATGGCTCGGAATGTCTGCCGGTATTCTTTGGGCGACACAAGGTTTGTTACCGGCCTGAAAGACAAGTATAACTTCGAACCACACTCATGGCAAGTTTCAGGTTACATCTGCACATGCTATCCGATGGAGTCGGAAAAGGGGCGATACATCGCAACAACGTGGGTTCTCAACGCTTCAGGCTCTGTCGTTGGATCAGGTATACACAGGCCCACAGCTCTTTGCTCTATATATGGCAATGGTGACTGACGAGGCGCAGCTGTCGTTCTCGCAATCACGATTTCCAACACATCATCTTCGGGGGTCCCGCCGGCTGTTTACTTGACCTTCATCTGCCTCGAGTGTGCGGGTCTTTTTGTCGCCGCTCTGCTGATGGACCCCAGCAAGATCCGACGAAACGATGGCCGCCCGATTGCTTCCTTTGGCGATACCATATTCTGGTATCAAGAGCTAAAAAGCCTACTCGCCACTCTCATGGAGCCGAGGATGAGGCTGATTACTTTGGCCATCTTCAGCAGCGAGATGTATCTTTCCATGACAGGATCCTTCAACTCGTTCTACTTCAACTCCAGGACAAGATCTTTGGCAAACGTAAGCTGTGTCGTCTTTGATCCTCCCAGAAATCAAAACTGACGGTTCGAATGCAGCTTTGCTACTGGATATTCCAAGTATTGGGAGCGCTCGCCATTGCTTGGAGCTGCGACGCCAGCATTCTTGGATCCCGACGTCGCCGCGCATTCGTTTCGGGCGGTTTTGTTGCTGTCGTCTTGGGCGGAACTTGGATTGCAATGCTGGCATTCTTATCCTCTAAGAACCTTGATCGCTTTGGCTCTGGACCGATCACAGGCGTAGATTTTACCGACGGGTCCAAATTTGTTGGCCCTTTCGTCATCTACATGTTCTTTGGAGCCTGCTATCCCATCTACCAGAACTTTCATCACTGGGTGTACAGCACTTTCACCAACGAACCTCGTACGCTCGGCCGGTACAGCGGATATTTCAAGGGAATCCAAGCATGGGGTTCCGCCGTCGCTTTCGGTATCGATTCCCATTACGTTCCATTTCTTCATCAGGCGATTGTTTACACTTGCCTTATGCTAGTAGGACTGGTGTTGTCTATGATTAGTGTTTATGGAAACACAACCAACACTCGATACGGCCAGGAGAAAGGAGTTGTTGTTCCAGAAGCATTTGACAGAGTCATTGAGGGGGTTCCAGAAGAGACCATTGGCGACAATAGGAGTTCTAACATGAAAGTGTTGGGCATGGCTCCTGAGGAAAATCCAAAAGTTTCAGGCCATCACGGTCACGATCAGAAGTAGTCAGTTTGAGATGAACTCAAAATCAGCGCCCTAGTAGACAAGATGAAGCAGCGTTGCAAATAGATGGACGCATTGCCTGGGGTTTCAAGAGACCATGAATAAGAAGTGGCGATTCTTACTCGATTGCATAGAAGAATCAAGTTAATTCAACACAACGCCACTACCGGGTCAAGTAAACACAAGTTTGTAAACGGAATACTGTAATGAAAGGCGTCACATAAACTAGAAGACATGGACATACGAATACACCAGAAATAGCAGAGACAAGATGGACGACGACAAGATGGACGACGACAAGATGGACGACGACAAGATGGACGACGACAAGATGGACAACGACAAGAGGGATAAGGTCGAGAAGATCAAGAATATTGAGAACAGATCGAAGAACATCGAAGGCTAGAAAATTGAAGTTACGTAACTCCGCAGCATGTGTACTGCAAGCCAAGGAAGCCGTGATGATTGAATCCAACTTGGACATGCACTGTGTACATTCCCCGCCCCTAACCCGCCGAATACGCCCTTGATGCGGGATCCATCCCAACGGGCCAAGACCAGGACCTGCATCTTAGTCCAGCCCTTGTTAACAGAATGACCCCTCGCGGGTGAGAGATAAGGGTGGTGGATGGTGGGGTAAAAGGATGGAATCAAGTCGTGGACCCGCTGTCGGACACGCAGAACCAAAAGAGCCTGCTTTTGCTTGAATATGCTTATCCGTCTGTACATCACTCAACTTCAGAATCTCCGTCCCCGAGTCTCGGTCGAAAGGAGATAACGTTCAGAAGATAGCACTCCAATGGGACTCATCGATGGGAAACTTGAGTGATTGGCTGGCCTGCCAATGCTTGCATCCTGTCCGGACCTTGATCGGAGTGACTTGAACATGTGCTTAAATCTTTAAGACTTGGTCCGCAGTCTACAAAGTTCAAAGCAAACCCCATCCACTTGTATTTTTCACGCACCTCGAAAGAATCTTGTCGCTAGTGAACATGGCTACACTGCAAGAGCGTATCCAACCAGCCTTGGACGTCAGAGACGCCTCTCTTGAACCGACAGCCATTCTCTCGAAGTCAAAGCGACTGCCCCTAAATGTCATCTCCATCCCGAGAGCATGTGGTCTTCTCTCAAAGTTGGAGCTTGATTTGACAGAAAGCTACGACGCCACCGCCTTACTTCAGAAGTTGGCTTTAGGAGAAGTCAGCTCAGTGACTCTTTTGACGGCGTTCAGAAAGAGGGCAACCATTGCCCAACAATGCGTATGGGATGTGTCACTGTACTAGAGTCTCACACATCGCTGACCTTGAGACCACAGACGAACTGCCTGACGGAACTAATACCCGAAGCCCTGAACGATGCCAGAGCCTGTGACGACTACTTCAGCAAGACAGGCAAGCTCATCGGGCCTTTGCATGGCCTTCCCGTTTCTGTGAAGGAACAAATTGCGGTCCGGGGTCTACGCACCAACGCGGGCTTCGTTGCCTGGGTGAACAATGTCGTCGATGAGGACTCCGACATTGTTAGGAGCTTGAAAAAGCTCGGAGCCGTTGTATTCGCCCGCACGAATCAGCCGCAGTCACTGATGCATCTTGAAACGTCCAACAACATCTATGGTGCCACTGTCCACCCTGAGAATCGGAACCTCACCGCAGGCGGCAGCACGGGGGGAGAGGCGGCCTTGATGGCTATGGGAGGCACTCCACTCGGTATCGGCGGCGACATTGGCGGCTCGATCCGGGTTCCGGCGGCTTATAACGGCGTGAGTGTAACTTAACCAAGTCTAAAAAATGACACTGACAGAAACTAGATCTATGGCTTTCTTCCTACTCCCGGAAGGATCAGTGGAGAAGGAGTCGTCATCCCTACGCCGGGATCAGACGCAATCTCAGGCACGCTGGGCCCCTTTGCCAGATCTCTACGTGATATCGAGCTGTTCTGCACAGCTTACTCGTCCGCTTTTCCGTGGGTGGAAGATCGATCTCTCATTCCCGGCGACATCCTGAGCCCGAGTCTTGGTAGACAGCTCAGCCAAGACCGACGTCTTCGCGTTGGCTTCATGTTCGACAACGGCGTCGTCTCGCCGCTTCCGCCTGTCCATCGTGTTCTGAGTAGTGTGAGCCAGCGTCTCATGAACAGCGCAGACATTGAGCTCGTACCATTCGTACCATGGGACCACGCCAAGGCATGGTCCATCATAGCGGCCAATTATTTCGAAGACACCGGCGAGGACATCCGCAAGAAATGTGCAGAAGGTGACGAGCCCCTCGAACCATTGACTGAATGGATTCTTGAGCAATGCGAACACAGCACGCTTGCCGTTGGGAAGACCCTGCAAGAACGCAAAGCCGCGAGAGACGCCTATCGAAGGGCCTACGCAACCCACTGGAATAAGTCTGGTATCGATGTTTTGGTGTCCCCAGTCACTCCTGGAACGGCACCGCCACTTGGGACGAGCAAGTACTGGGCCTACACTGCGGTATGGAATCTGCTTTCATACCCCGCCATCGCCATACCTGCGAGCAAGCTTGTAGGCGAGGCAAACCACGCCAAAGACTTGGAAGCAGAGACATATGTCCCCAAAAACGACATCGAGACACATCTATTGAAAGGCTATTCCGCTGAAACGTCGGCGGGTATGCCTGTTGGAGTTCAGGTGGTGGCTCCGAGGCTGCATGAGAGCATGTTGATTAAGGCTTCTTACATCATCGAGGAGGCTTTGAAGGCCAGCGAATTGTCTGAAATCTTGAAGAGCAAGATGTGAATCATTCAGTTTCCAGTAAAGTTCTTAATATAAATATGTGCCAATTCTTTTTTAAAAAGAAATCAGCCCTCATTTCCTCAAGTACGGGACCATGCTAGGGAGTTATTGTAGATTCTCTAAGACAATTCTAGGTGAGAATAAAAGCTTAGTCTATTGCTTTCACTTGTTTTTACTTTTGCCCTCACTGATGTTCTTGTTATCTCTCTTGCTATTGCTCTTGCTATCGCTGTTGCTCTTGCTGTTGTCGTCCAGTCCTGTTGCTGCCTTATTCGTACAGATGTATAATAAAATGATCCCGAATAAACTCAATTTAACTCAGAAGAGCATTCTCATGCATGCTTACCCCCGAAGTCTTTCACAGCCTGTTGGTTGGCTTTGTCACGAGGAAAAGCATCAGGCTGCAGGAGAATTACCGACATCACATTGGCTATATAAGCGCCGGGAAGACACGTAAGCCTCCACTTACAAACCCATTCGTAACGTAGGTGGAGTAGATAAGTGCGAGCGATTTAAAAATCGAGTAAGTCTGACAGATCACATCCCCCAGACGAAGCGGATGTTAATATCGGGGTAGCCACGAATTTACGCTGCTTCTAAGTTTATCGCAGCTCTTCAACAAAGGAACTTTCGACAAGATGATATGCGAAACATGCCTGAGTTGCCTCAGAGCCTACGATCTTACTTCCCTCGACCAAGAGACGCGGCGAACGCATCACTGGCACAGCGCCGGCTTGAAGAAGGCTGTTGACTCTGGGTGCTATATTTGCCGTCAGTTTTGGTCCAGACTGGACTATAGCGGACAACGCCTGATCACTCAGTTCGCCCAGGAGGACGACGGACCGACTCCGATAACCATATACCGACTCGATGACGGCACTGAACTTCAAGCTCTCGACAGCCTGCCTGGAGCTTATTCTCTGCACATCTATTTCCATCAAAAGTTCAAGAAAAAAGAAGGACCGAATTTGGGGCATCGAAAGTACAATGTTGAAGTCCGGCTAAAACCAAACCAAGGTAGGTAGGTGCGCTGCAGAAGTCGTAGAAAGACGTAAAAAGACGGCCAGGATACTCACGCTCTAGGGTTCAGTTATCGACTGGCCGTTGCCTCGGTCATTCAGCACCAAGTCGGAAGAAACCATGAGTCTTGCGAAGATGTGGATCAAGAGATGTACGACAAACCATGAGAAGTGCAGAATCCTGCCGCCCGCAAGTCCACGAATTGAACAGCAGTGGTATCCCACCAGGCTGCTCGAAGTCGGACCTCTGACGGAAGAAAGCCCCTGGTGTCGCTTGATTCTACCTCAAGACACGCCAATCCAAGGACCATACATGACACTTAGTCACTGCTGGGGCCTGGCTCACTGCATGAGTCTGACTACCGACAACTACGCTCAACTACTAAAAGGCATACCTCTCGAAGACCTGCCGCAACTCTACAAAGATGCCTTGTACGTAGCTGCGCAGATTGGTATCCGTTACATGTGGATCGACTCTCTATGTATTATCCAGAAAGGGGACGACCTTGCAGATTGGAGGCAAGAAGCCGGTCTCATGAACCAGGTCTATTCCAAGTCCTTTTGCACGGTGTCTGCCGCATGTGCCCGCGATTCAACGGAGTCCATGTTCAACAATCTGAATCCAGACCTCATTCATCCGCAGATTGTTCAGCTTCGTGTAGCTGGCAAAGATGTACCACACCTGGTCTCGGAGCCTAAGTTCTGGAACATGGAAGTCAACCGTGCGTTGATCAACACTAGAGCCTGGGTGTTCCAGGAAAGGATTCTCTCTTCCCGAGTGCTGTACTTCGGCAAAGATCAGATTTTTTGGGAATGCCAGCAGCAAGACGCTGCTGAGATCTACCCGGACGGGACATCTGCCTATGTCGTTACAGGCACACCCAGGTTCCGCGGTGCCTGGCCCGACTACCTATCCCACAGGTCTGCAGACGAAGACGAGGAGCTTCGGAAGCATGTGCAGTGGGTCAATCTGGTCACCGAGTATTCCAGCAACAACATAACCTTCGCCAAAGATAAGCTCATTGCTCTTTCCGCCATCGCCAAAACCCACATGGCCTGGAATGGAGACCAGTATCTTGCTGGTCTGTGGAGGAAATGGCTGGAATGGGAACTCTCATGGTCGGTAACGAGGCCCTTGGACGACTTCAACGCGATGGCTGTCTGTAGGTGCAACCCACTTCCCAAAAAAGCAGAATACCGCGCGCCAAGCTGGTCTTGGGCTTCGGCCGACAGACCTGTGAACCCTGGGCTGGAGAGCAGTCAAAGCCACGATTTGTTGATCGAGGTGGAAGACGTCCACCTGGACTACGTGACTGCCGATATCACTGGACTGGTTAGTGGTGGATGGGTGGATGTCTGGGGCGTGCTCAAGAAGTTGGAACTCATACCACACGCGCTCAAAGGTGTATTGTTTTGGGAGCTGGTCGTCAATGGGATCTCCATCGAGGTGCCAACGTTCGCCGAAACTCAGATGGAAATCAGATTTGACGACACGGAGAGAAATTTCCAAGAGATGGAAAACCCCTCGGAGCTCTACTGCCTGCCAGCTGCGGTGGAAAGGGACGGGGGAATTTACGGTGAACAGACGGACGCCTTGGTGCTGGAACCGCATGATGCTGCACGGGGCATTTTTCGTCGTATTGGGGTCGCTTATTCAGAGGTGTGTCCCGAGAAGATTCTTGTACGCAACGCCAATGAGGGAACTCTGCCTTGCGTCAGATACGAGAACGGTCGACATCTCATAAGGATTATCTAGCACCAGGGAGCGTACCAGTCAACCATTGTAGTAGGTGCTCTATGGCGACGTTGATGTTAGATTCGTGGCAGTCTTTGACTCTTGGACAACCTGCTATTGCTGCTATTGCTGCTGGTGTTTCTGTCGTCTCTTTTTTCGTCTCTATTATCTTCTTCGTCGTTGTCTCTGTGGTCATCTCGAGTATGGTCTTAATTATTCTGCTATGATGTGTTTGGGAGCAACAGCAATTACAATTATAGTTATTTCTTCGTAGTAAATGCCATCATGTCATTAAAACTTATACCCGGTGATCCCTATCCTTATCTGCTTCGTCTCTATCTGACCACCCGTCTTGTGTTGAGACCTGGATCTCCGTACTCTTCACGATGCCCTGTGGCTCTAGGATGTTCTCCGTGCTATCATCCGGTTTCGTCGTCCGACTAGCACTGACCGAGGTGTGATGGTCGACCCCAGTACCGAGCGGCTGCATCCCGCTGCGTCCAGTCCTCCATGTCTGCAGTGCATACCTCGAGCTCTTCGGCCCTGACGCGCCGGCAGTGCTGCTGCGACTCCTTTCGGCAAAGTAGTTGACCAGCGGCGCGAGAGTCGGCACGCAGGCAATGATGATGCCGATGTTGTTCTCGATGATGGACCATTCGATGCTTTTGGCTGAGTCGAGGTAGTTGACCAGGTTCTTGATCGTTTGGATTCGGATCGCTTGGATGATGGTGACGAAGACGCCGAGCACAAACAGACCGAGGAGGACGACCTTCTTTCGGCCTTGGATCTGGGATTTGAGGATGACGGGGAAGGGGAGCAGCATGCTGTTGTGAACGGTGTTAGCGGCTTCAGATGCAGATTCTCAAAGACAACTTACATGACAACATCGAATACAATGGTCAATGATGAGAATGTTAGGTAGAAGGTCACTCCATCTGCGCAGTGTCCTACGTTGGCAGGGATATTCGGGTCATACTGTTTCTCAATCTGTGGCAGCAAGTTAGTCCCCTGAAGATCACCATTGCTTTGTCATACTACTGACCGGCGTGCAAAGGAACAGAAACACGCAGATGAATGCGATGTGTCCCATAGTGCATGCTATCGCGACGATGATGGTTGTCACGCGATAAGCTCCCGCCGGGAAGAATCGAAGATAGGAGAATAGCAAGCTCATCTTGAAACCCCAGATGCCAAGAACATAGCTGAAAGTTAATCGTTAGAACCTCGCATGTTCTTGGGAATGGCATCAGTCTTTTGACTTACAAAGGGCCGCCCATGTATTGCAACTGTTCTTGTCAGCGACTGCTGGTAGCTTGAAATCTCTGGGTGTTTACCTTTCCGAACTGTAGGACATTCTGTGGCGGCATGTCCTTGATAACGTGAATACCCAGACCCCATTTCGTTTCTGGCGACGTTAGAATCAGGGGTTGAAGAAGTAGAGCGAGAACCACATACGAATCACGCTGCAGACGGTGTAACCACAGGCTCCGAGCTGTAATGAGGAGGTCAACATAGAGTCTCAGAAAAAAGTAAACTCTGAAGTCGAACATACCCAAGACACGATGATGACCCAATCATCTAGTTAACATGGGCGTCAGTCAACCATGCTCACGCGTGCTGCCCCTGCTCCGCAGATCCCGATAAACTTACCGTAACCAACAGCTTTGACCACAGTTGTCCTGACATACCACCTCAAGCAAACAAGCAGGAGGGAAATCGACGTAAAGGTTATCGTAATCGCCGCGATCCGTGGTCCATCGGTGGGCGTATCGTCGGGAGTGCCGTACGTCCAGCCCATTTCGAGAGTTGGCAGGGAGGACTGAGAGAAGTCGGGAGGGCCTTCCAAAGACTCTGGATCAGGAGATCCCAGGACAGCCAACACATTAAGTAGAACGCCTCGGTTTCTTCAACCCCCGCGTCTCGAAACCCGTCTTCGATGCGGAGGTGTGGTAGACCCTTGCTGCTACGTGCTTGGAAGGCGGCACTGCAAGCGCGTGGCGTCGAAATTGTCCCGGGGGTGGCTACTAATATTAAGTTGTGGCCGGTGAAGAAGGGAGGCCCACAAGCCGTCTCTAGAGACTCGCCTTATTTTGGCGCGCATAGACTATGGAATGCAGATCGAAAAACCGGCGGGATGGGTTGCCGCAAGTAGGCACTGCGTTGTCAGGCTTTTCCATGTGGATGTGGGCTGAACTGTAGATCTCTCCCCCTTTGCGCAACTGCACTGCATGAGCACAACGCACAGGGGTTGTTGCAGCTTCCATCTTCGTTTGTATCGTGTGATACCATCGTGTTTGATGTGTGCTGTGTCGGTACCATTGTTCGCATTGTATGGAACCTGTTTTACGGTTACATCTTATCAAGTCACAAAGGCATCAAAGCTCACAGCAGGAAACAGCGCACAACAATACGACCGGCCTGTTGTCACCAAACGTTGCTTCCACGGTTACCACGGACTTACGGAAAACTTGACTCCGTTTCACAGAAGTCTAGAATCTTGTACACGAACATCTGTGATATCGATCGCAGAGCCTGGTCATCGGGTTTTCGCAAGACCATACAAATGCGGGCATATCCTCCTTGCCGTGTGTCGTTACTTGCGACTCTGCCATTCACTGGAACGCTCCTTCATATCTCCAAGATATGACGGGTAAGAAGCTATCATTTATCAAAAATTCTGCAAAACATCTCGTCAAGAAATCCCTCCCACAAACCGTGATAAGTGTGCACCCAAGCCGGGCGTGAGTAAGATGAAGCAACCAGGATTCTGACCGAGGTCCAACATCTTCAAGGCATTCCAGCCTGTCAGACCTCTCGAAGCCCTCGTGTATCCATGATTAAGGTTCACGGCTGCTGGTCCGGCCCGCAGGGTTTACGAGTCAAGACCCTGGATCGGCCGACAGCCCAACGGCGAAGTCCGGGCCTTTGTGTCGGGGCACGGAGGAACCAACCTCTTCTTGAACCCCGGGATGCGGGTCTCCCGCGCCGCAACCTTGCAAATGCTACCCCCGCGCATGTATTGTTCCACCGCCAAGATGAATAGTCTCTGATTTCCAGCTGCTGTTGGTTCAAGGGCTGAACAGAAGAAGCAGGGTTACTCGTACATGTTTTATGCGAAGGAAGACAAGCACAATTGGGCTGTTGGCTTCTCTTTGCTCAGTAATAATTGTCCGTACGAACACAAAGCACCAACAAACAGCCGTCCTTGCATATGCAGGAACGACTGCCGGCCGGAAAACTCGGCGAGGCGGCGGTGTCATTGTTTTATTATCCCGCTTACGGAGATCATACCCTGAAATGCGCAAACAAAGTACACATGCGCGCAAACCGCCGCTTACCACTCTGTCTCTGTGTACCTATGCCGAATGTCTTACCGGAAGGATATGTTGCCACTTTTTCTCCATTGAAGATGTCCCAGGACCAATGACGGGGACGAATTGAGGGGAACCTCGAGATTCGAAGAACCACCTCGGGCAGCGTCGCATACGATATTAGAACGCTGACACCCTCCACGGTTTCCGCGCGGAAGGCCCCCTTTTCCCTCCAGTCCTTCGTGTCTCTCTTGCGTCTTTGCACTCGCGGCGGACTTGCGAAAGAGCACGTTCCAGATTCTGTCCCTACACCCTCATCGCCAAGCAAGAGAATCACGATGCGTTCCTCGATTCTCAATCTAGCCTCCTTGGTGCTGACCGGCGGCGGCATCGCTTCCGCTGCCGCGACGGGCTGCAGGAACTCTACGACGTCCTCGTGTAAGTATTTCCCCGGAGACGAGGGATGGCCGTCCGCGGACGTGTGGGCGAAGTTCAACGAGACCGTTGGCGGGCGTCTCGTCGCCACGGTTCCCTTGGGCACGCCCTGCCACGGGGACAGCTACAACGAGACCGAGTGCGCGCGCCTGCAGGACGCATGGCTTTACTCCGAAGTTCAGTAAGTCCATGTTTTTTTTGTTGAGTCTTTTCCCCTTCTTCACCGCGAGTCTGGCGCATTCCACCGGGCTTTTCTCCTCTGGGTGGTGATCATCTCGAAGATGAGATGAACTGCTGCTGACCATGACTCGCGCTTTCGCAGTATGGAGTCCTCCTCCTCGGTCATGGCCCCCCTGTTCGCCAACGCCAGCTGCGATCCCTTCCTGCCCAAGGACTCGCCCTGCACCTTGGGCAACTATGTCAGCTTCGCCGTCAACGCCTCCGGCCCTGCAGACATCGTGGCGGCGTTGAAGTTCGCCGATGAGAAGAATGTAAGGTTCGTCATCCGCAACACCGGCCACGACTACAACGGCCGGTCCACGGGCGCCGGAGCCCTCGCCGTCTGGACCCACTACCTCAAGGGCACCGAGGTGATCGACTGGGAGGACGAGCAGTACGTCGGCAAGGCCCTCAAGGCCGGCTCCGGTGTCCAGGGTTTCGAGGCTATTGCTGCCGCTAAGGAAGCCGGCTTGGCCGTTGTCACCGGAGAGTGCCCTACCGTCGGTCTCGCTGGAGGATATATCCAGGGTGGCGGACACAGTGCTTTGTCGAGTGAGTAGCCTTTCGAAATGGTTGGGTTGTGTGAAACTAACAAGTCTCAGCCGTCTATGGATTGGCTGCTGACAACACTCTGTCTTTCGATGTTGTCACACCCACCGGCGAGCTGGTCACGGCTTCGAGAAACGAGAACCAGGACCTGTACTGGGCTCTCAGCGGAGGCGGCGGCGGAAACTACGGCGTCGTGACCTCCATCACCGTCCGCGCCCACCCGGACGCCCCCGTCAGTGGTGCTAAGTTCGCCGTCACCGTCCCCACGAACAACACGGCGCTGCTGAACTCCGTCATCGACACCTTCCACGCCGCCCTTCCGGACATCGTCGACTCAGGCGTCATGATCATCTACTTCTTCGGCCCCGGCTTCCTGCAATCCCCCGCCATGACGGCCTACAACAAGACCCAGGCCGAGACCGCGGCCATCCTCAAGCCCCTTATCGACTCCCTCGCGACCCTCGGCATCACCTTGGAGCCGACCTACACCGAGTTCGAGAGCTACCGGGACCACTATGACCACTACTGGGGTCCTCTGCCCTCCGGAAACATCCAGGTCGGAACCCAGCTGTTTGGTGGCCGCCTGCTTCCGCGCGCCAAGTTGCCGGACTTCGGCCCGACTGCGCACAAGCTTGTCGAGCTCGGCGTAACCTACATCGGCGTCGGCCTCAACGTGTCTCACTTTGGCGGCGACAACGCCGTCCTGCCGCAGTGGCGCGACTCCATCGTCCAGGTCTCTCTCACGTTGCCGTGGAGCTTCGAGGTTCCCTTCGCCGACATGGTCGCCGAGCAGAACCGCATGACCGAGGTCGTCCAGCCCGTTATCGAGGCTGCTACCCCGGGTGCTGGTGCGTACATCAACGAGGCCGATTTCCAGCAGAAGGACTGGCAGGAGACCTTCTTTGGTGTGAACTACCCCAAGCTTCTGGAGGTCAAGCAGAAGTACGATCCCAAGGGTCTGCTGTACAACGTTGCTGCTGTCGGTAGTGACGCCTGGACTGTTGACGACCACGGCCGTATGTGCCGGAGCTGACTAGCCGAGCCGTGTTCAACCGAACAGGTCGCTCAAGGTCATCTTGAACTGTAAAGAAACTGTAGATAGTGTACATATTAGTGTAACTTAATGACATGTGTACGAAAGCACGTCATCGGAGTAACCTGACCGGTCTGCCTATCTTGTGTAAGTGTATCATATGGTGACTTCAAGGGCCGTCCTTGCTTAAACGCACAATGCTCCTTCCTAGGCGATGATCACGCCTTCCCTAGCCTCAAGTAAAGAATACTATGAAACCCATCTGCTATTAAACATTTGGGACTTATCAGCCACTTCAGTATACTTACGCTGAATAAACAACGAGAGATACCGAGTGATGATAAACACCAACAATGACGACAAGGGCGACGACAACAACAATAAGGACAATAACGACAATAACAACGATAACAACAATAATAGCAATAATGGCGCTGAAGCCATTGCGCAGGTCTAGTAGGGTGTAAAAATGTTTTTATATAAACCTGTTAGACCCATGTATTAAGATCCATGCATATCAAACTGCAGCGCGTCCGTCATTCCATGAATCAAACCATGACCAAATCAAACATGAATCAACTCCCGTGTATGCCCCCTTGATTACAATAGCATCGAAGAACGTCCATCGCATACCAGTGAGCTTCGGAAAAAAACCAATAACGAGAAACCCCTCGAACGCCGTTCGTTATATGTTGCTTATCCTTAAGCCCGGCCGCGATCGTCGTCTCCTCTCTGCGAGCTGTTCGTGATCTGCTTGGTCAACGCGTTGTCGACCTCCACGTGGTCGACGTGGATATGCTTCCTCGGGACCCAAATGACCTGCAAAACTCCGAGGAGGGCAAAGCCGGAGCAACTCCACCAGGCCGCTGCAGAGCCTGCGAAACCGTAGATGATACCGACGAGGGGCGGCGACACCGTTCTGGCGAGGCAGGCGCCGGACATGGCCAGTCCGTTGACCTTTCCGAGGGCCTGGGGCGTCGGCGTCGCATCCTTCAACAAGATCAAAGTTACGGGACCGACGATAATACCGTAGAAACTCTGCATGATCAAGGAGAAGTAGATTCCTGCCTGGGTGAGAGGCTCAGGGAGCGCTGACAGGAACGGCAGGAGGAGGTAGGCGGTGGGGTAAAGGACGATCATCCAGATGAACGAGCCCCAGACGCCCACGCGCTCGACGAAGATCGGAAAAATGAGGCCCTGAATGAGAAGTCCCAGGACACCGTTGACGGCCAAGAACTTCCCGACGTCGTGAACATCGTACCCAAGCCCACCGCGGAGATCGAGGTGTCCACGAGGCGCTGCCGGGTCGTCGAGGAGATGGGTTGGGAGAAGAGATCCAGCAGCCATTTGGTGGTACGAGAAGATGATGAGCGTGGTGATGAGCATGACAACGGTAAAGTTGAAGGTCTTCACCTTGGGCTTCTTGTTCTGCTGAGCACGGCCATTCTGGCGGCCGTTATGACCGTTATGACCATTCTGGCGCAACAACTCCGTTCGCAATTCATCGGGGACAACCTTAATCGAGTGAACGGTTCCAAATGATGAGCGTCGGAGGTCGAAGTCGTGCTCGATCGGCAGAGGCAAACTGGACTCGGCGAAGCGCGGTCTTGAGTGACTCGTCGAGATGGAGCGGCCGCGTCCACGTCCGCGGTCCACGCTTCCTCGCGCGCCTCTTCTCAGCGGCGTTGTTTCGTCGGCGAAGTCATCCTCCTCGACGGCTTCGGTGTTGTTGTCGTCGGTGTACAGGTACTCGTTGGTCTCCTCCAAGAAAATGATGCCCTGGATTACTGCAAAAATAATTGCAACGACGGAAACCACATTAGGCAGCAAGTAGGGGTATCGTCCGAAAACTCCATCCTCCGGGAAAATCGAAGGGTAGAACTTGGCCGGCTGGGCCAGGAATCCTCCCATGGCAGAGCCAATGATGCCACCAAGAGTCCAAACAAATGGTTGTACGGCATACGCCTTCGCTGAGAGATTATTAGCCATGTTACACAGAGCACGGACCAGCCGGTCGCCACTGGGCTGAATTCTCGGGGAAACCTACGCTCATGATCGGGATTCTTGACCATCTCGGCCACCCTGCGAGATATTAGAATGTGAAGAACAATGATATTTAATGAAAAGGGAAGTACTCAAATTGTTTGCATCACGCTTACGTTGCCATTTAATGCACCACCGATAAAACGTGCTAAAAGTGCAACCCAGTATGTCTTCGCGATGCCGAAAATGAGACTGGAGATGGCGACACCAACGAGGCCGAAGAGCACCACAGGCTTGCGACCAACGCGGTCTGATAAGGCGCCCCATCCCATGGAGGTGATGGCTTCGGCAACTGCGTAGGCGGAAACGAGGAGTCCGGCGTAGAACCCTCTATCTTTCTCCTCGACACCAAAGTCCTTCACCATCGCATAGGTGTAGGCGAGGATCGAGTTGAAGGCGATGGGTTCCGAGAAGCGACATATTGCTAATCATGACGTTAGCGGCGTGAAACGTAAAAGATAAGCTCACGTTGGAGTAAGATGGATGAGATCAGGGTGTGATTTACCAAGAACGGCCAGCTGGCGGGTCGGAAAAGCATTGGGGTCCCTGTCTCTTCTTTGAGGCATGATTCGATCTCACGATTCCAGGTTATCTCTCTCCCGTCTTCTTCCTCACTCTCAGGCTGAACGAAGTTTTGGGGAGTGAAAAATGTGATGAGAGTGAGAAAAAAAGAGTAAGACGGAGTGGTTTCTGATAGAGGACGCACCGCTGCGGGGTACGGAGGTTGGGGCAGAGGCAAGTAATAAACGGCATTGACGGCCCGCCGACCGACCCACCGGCCATGCAAAGTCCACTTCACCGCCCTGCTAGTCATCGAGCGATCTGCAGTAGTTCAGTGGCCACATACGTCAGTCGCTTGCACCAGGTTCATCCTGTTACTCGGGTCTTTGAGTTGGCAGTGTCAGGTGAGACGTTGGTGGGTTGAAATGAGGAAGAAAAAAGCTTTGCGGCTCAGTTTTTCGAAAGTCAGAACTCACAAATCGTGAGTTGAGACCGTTGGAGTTGTTGAGTCTTGAGACAAAATCTGTGCTCGGTTCTGAGCAGCAACAGCTCCAGCACTGAACTTCGATCCTTGTCGGTGTCTCACTGTAAAGGCAATTGCAACCGCCGCCAACTCGGGTTACAGTAGCACACGCATCAACTCAATCTCCGAAGTTATTCCGCCTTGGTTGTTGGTTGGTCTCACTCTGCGGGCTGCAAATTTGTGTTCGGTGCGCATCCAACTCACCCAGCCTTTCATTTTTCGTGAAGCAATTCAAATTGTTCTCCTAGCCTTGATCATAGCTCGAGGGGCTGATTCTGAGGGGTTAGTCTGAGGCTACGGAATTAGCTAGCATCTAACGCTTGTAAGAACAATGACGAATCCTTGCGGGACTTACCTAGTGGTTTTGGGATTGAAGCTAACGTAGTCGCTGGCAAGCTTTCCGAGCTAATCAACAGGCGACAAAGACCATGGTATCTGAGTTGTTTTCTGTCACTCAGCTTATCCTCATTCGAGCTGATTCACGAGAACTGCTAGCTCGCAAGCTGACAGCGCTTACTCCTCTGAACGCTAACTTGAAGTGAGAGAGGCTGTGGGTAGTTCATCTCGGCGGCCCGCAACGCATCAATGGTCTTTCGTGGAGTTATCGCGACATTCCGATTTCGCCAACCCCAATCCAATGAATCCACCCGATTGAATGCATGTCTGACATTTTCATTCGGGCGGCCGACAACGCCGCCGCCAATCACCCACCAGCAAGCGCGAACTACCTTGCCCGGATTGGCCAGTGAAAACACCAGAATGCCGGGTTTAAATTGAGTTCTCGCATAATTCTCCGGCTCAGACCCCAGCGAGCATCTGCCTCACTCCATCTTTCCGATGTGATCGAGAGGGTCCCGGCACACCGCGAATCGGCCTTGCAACGTGGGATGACCCCACTGATCCCGCTTCAACACGAACTCATCTGATCACAGAAGCGGGTTAGTCTACGACTTTCTAATGGAGCCTGCCTTTGGTCATAGATCGCGGCGCTTAGATACCTTCTTATGCTCTCAGTCATAGAACTTCTATGTCTATTGTTCGTCAACCCTACATGTCATCTCATATTCTTTTCAATCGAGCACACGCAGGAATACTCTAGGGACGACGATGACGGATAATGACAATGGCAATGGCAACAACAGCAACAACAGCAACAACGACAACAGCGAAGACGGCAGCAATAAAGCAAACGAGGACAACAGTAACGAGGTTGGCGCAGATACAATTCAAATTCAAGTCATTGATATTAATACATTGCGAGCAGTCGCACATAAAGAAACTAAAATTACGAGATACACGCTCCCGAACAGACAAATGAGAATATCCTTCATGTTGCTCAACAACGATTCAGTTCGCCCCCTTGACAAAGCCCAGCCCCGTTACCTCCTTTACATCAGCTTCTCGAACCTGAACCACAACCATACCCGGCTTTTGCGGTCCAAGTTCGACATCGGACTCATCAACATCATGCCCCGACTTCCACTCATCAACCAAGCCACGGAAGTCAGCCGGCAGATAAGGAGACGTGAGTTCCTGAAAGTAACTCGACTTGCGGTGCGTGTCCAACCCGAGATCCTTCATGAGCATATTGCAATACGGCAAGCCCTCGAACACAAAGTCGGGCAGGTCGGCACCGTATCCGCAGGGATATCTCCATTTCCCCCACTGGGTATGAAGCATGATCTCGTCCTCGATCTCCTGCTCGGAAGCCGGAGTACGGTCCAGCTTGCCGCCCAGGAACGCCGCGATCCAGTGTCCCTGGATCGTCGCGCAGGTCGCCGTGCTTACGGTCGAGATCATGCCGGCGAAGGCGAGATTGCGGCAGGATACCATCGTCGAGGGGACCATGAAACGGTAGTAGCGTAGTGGGTTTGCCTCTTTGGGCTGGAATCGGAGCTTCGGTTGCTCTGCTAGGCGTGGGTATAGGGAGAGAACTTTGGCGTCGGCACTTTGGTCGAGAGATCGCTTTTCTGTTGCGGTAATGGGCAGACCGAGTTTCTCCTCGCCCAGCCCGGCGAACTTGATGGTTGACTCCTTCTTCCATCCCGTTGAGCAAACGATAGCCTCGGCGTCAATCTCGACTCCAGATGCAAGAATCACACGATGGGGCTCTAGACGGCTGATATTATCGATGTGTACCCGGATCTTCCCTTCCTTGACGAGGTCGAACAGACTGCTGTCGTAGTTCAAGATACTGAGACCGCTGCCGATCCAGAAAGCAGAGTGCCACGGCTTAAGCTTCTGAAGCTCCGGATGCGAGTCGTACGCGTTCGCGGAGAGAACATCGCCGCTCAATACCTTCCAGAAGGAGTCCACAATAAACCGCCCGACAGCAGTACCGTGAAGAAAGTTCCGGATACCGGGGTACCCGTCTTCTTCGCCCCAAGGGCAGGGGCTGAACCAGGACATCCAGCGGATGTTGAGGAGCTGGTCCATCCTCTTCTTGAAGGGCGTCACGAACGGAGGCGCGATCCAGACGGGGCCGTGGCCGTTCGGGCGGACGATCAAGTCGACTTCCGCCCCGTCTTGGACCAGGGCGTAGGCGACGTCGAAGGCGGACTTGGCACCACCCACGACGACGGCGTTCTTGACGCCCTTGAGGGTGGATGCTTCTCTGCAGAAGTCCTTGGCGTGGAAGAGCGGTCCGCCGAAGTTCTCCTCGTTTTCGTACGTCGGCAAGTTCGGGGTGGATGTCAGCCCCGTCGCCAAGATCAGCTTCTCAGTATCGACGGTACGGGTTCCCGCGGGTGAAGTCACAGAAAGGCGCCACCCCTTCTCACCCAGACGCTCCACGAGATCCACGGAGGTGTTGAACTGGATACGGTCGAAGAAGGCGAAGTGCTTGGCGAAGTCGGTGAGGTAGCGGTGCAAGACGGCCCCGGGGATGTGGTTGTCGGGCTTGACGCCGTAGACGGCCTCCGCCATGGGGAAGTCTGGGTACTCGTAGGTGCCGACCATGTTGTTGGACTTGAGGCCCGGGTAGAGTCTGTTCTGGGACCACGTTCCGCCGCAGGACTCGGCGGTCTCGAGGACGGCGAGGTTCGCGGTCGGGTGGAGTTGGGTGTAGGCCTTTGCGGCGGCGAGGCCGAACCAGCCTTGGGAGTTTGGTGTTAGTGCGCGGGTTTTGCTTTTCGTCTGAGGTTCCGAAGGGGATTCTGCTCACCGGCGCCTACGACCACGGCGTCGTAGGATTCTGTCATGATTCTCGATGAAGCTTGGATTTCAGAGTTGCCTCAAGAGATGTGTCTTGTGAGTTGTGGCTCAAGGAGTGTGAGAAGAAAGCTGTGATGCAAGTAGTGACGACTGAAGAGCTAGTTGCAAGACGGTATTAATGACCATGTATCGTGATACGGTGTGAGGAGATACGAATGAGATAGCGATCGTATGTTTCTACACCGACGATGCTATCAAGCTTCCACAGCGAATGTCACCGCGATAAGGAGAGTATCGCGGTATGAACGGGTCTTCCGAAAGTGCAATTCCCCTTCATGGCAAATGGGTCTCTTTCCGTATACTTAATTACGCCGTTCATGGTGATTGAGGTTCACGGTGAGAGTACCAGCAGTCATGTTCCTAGTATTGCATGAATCGCGCAAGTTCGAACGGTAGTCGTCCGGACGGTGCTTATCACGGAACTTCCGGTCGGAACGGAAGGTTTGGTTTCAGGGAGAGCTGCGGTATTGGATGAACCACTCTAAAGAACCTTATGCCCTGCTAGACATTTCAAATAGAAGATACCGACCGAGAATTTGGATGCATTTATTAAGGGCATTTCCAATGATGAAGGGATAGTGAGAGTGGTTCGTTCGTTGAAAGAACAATGATACTACGACATCAAGATCGTCGGCTGCAAAAGAGGGAGCTACAATACAACTCAAACTTTCCTATTAACTCCTTTCCAATGACAATAATTTACATTTTACAATAGCACCGCGCTCCTTACAAGTTGAGTCGTAGACACACCGGAACGGTGTCATGTCTGACACCGAGTCTCATGACTTGGTGCCAAGCTTGGACACGACGATACCCGGCTTCAAGCCTATCCATCTTCCGCCTGCTGTGTCTTCTCCGCGATCTCTTCCTCGAAAGCCAACACATCCGGGTCTAGCTGGAGCTTCGTCCTCATCACCTGCCTGGCCCGAAACCCTCCTGCAATCTTGAGACCTTCAAGAGACCGGGCCCGACTAAGCGCCACGTAAATCTGCCGGCCGTCCCAGGCGGATGCCAGATCGACAATGAGACGTTCCAAAGACATGCTCTGGCTCTTGTGGATGGTGATCGCCCAGCCTGCCACCAGGGGGATCTGCGTCCGCGACTTGTACCTGAGGGACCACCTCCCCGTATTTTCGTCTAGTACCTTTTCAATCTCCGAAATGGTGCAATCTGGGCCGATGACCCTACGTTCGCCATTATTGAACTCGACTTCGGGAACTAGGCAGAAGATCAGTACCTTTGGAACGAATTCATTGCGATGGAACTACTCACATAGTGCCCCTCTGTTCTGTTCCACGAAAGATCTCACGTGCTGACACCTTGCTTTCGCCACGAGAAAGCCTTCCTCGTCGTCGCCATAACTATTTCTACTTGGGCCATCAGGCAGCGTAACTTTGTCGGATGTTACGAAACTTCGAATGGTTCCCTGGCTGCCGTTGCAAAGGCCATTCTCAATGTCGATCTGTGACAAGGTCAGCGATCTCTTTGGCCACTACTTTGGGTCCCTAGCAGCTCACGTTTGCAAGTAATACGACGGGCATATTGAGCTTGAGGTCCACGCGGTCGGCGTAGCGCTGTTTCTTGTCATCCGCATCGGACATTTGCGGATAATCAAAACACCAAAACCAGACTGGTTTACCGGGAAGTTGTGAGAACATCTGGGTGTTGTGATCGGCGACGGCATCGTTTCTGCCGATTAGACGAATTCCGTCCTCGACTTTGCGGTCTGCCATTAAAATGTCCAGGTCGCGTTCGTCCACATGACCCAAGCGGCACCTCTGAAGAATCCTCACGAACTCTTCATCCTGTTGTCGATGGATCTGGGTCAAGTGCACGTATCTGTCAGGTGGGAGTGAGTGCCACATCTTGTGAAGACCGAAACGAGTAGTGCATACCTAAAATTGCATTCCCGCCAACTGGAAGATTTGAATACCCACTTGCTCCGGTGGTGGAAAACATCGTGACTTGTGTCGCGAGGGCAGTAGTGGAAGATATTGCCCTTGATGGTCTTCTGCGCCATCTTGCCACACGGAGCTGGTTTCCCCTCCCAGTCTTTGACTTCCGCTGTACAGAATCGAAATACCTCCCACGGGACCAACTGACACATATCCCCGACGGCGATAATCTGAACGCCACCAAAGGGGCCCGCAGCTTCCGCCATGGTCAAGCCATTATAGCCACGTCGGGCTGCGTCCTGCCGGACCGCGGTGAGAACGTAATTGACTCGGTCAAAGAACTGGCTATCAACCAAGCTGATCTCATCAATAATCAGGACTTGAGTTTGCCGCAACCGATCATAAACGCGCTTGCGACTTGCACCCTGAAGAAGCATGTTATTTGTTTTCTTCAAGTCTTCGGGCGTCCAGCCCATATAGGAAAAGGTCGTGTAACCGCCAATGTTAACAGCAGCGATTCCTGTAGGTGCAATGAGATGGACCTCTTTATTGGCAGCCTGGAGAGTCCTGTGGATGGTCTTCACCAAGACTGACTTGCCACATCCTCCCGACCTACGGGGCCGAGGTCAGCCGTCAGTTGACAAGAGTACGCTAACGCGACGAGTACATACCCGGTGATGAAGAGATTGTGGCCTGTAACAGCAAGATCAAGAGCTTTTTGTTGTTCTTCACAGAGCGGGGGCAGAGGCTCCTCGGTTGGTTGCTGGCCTGCCAGCTCCTGCTCTTCCGCATCCGAGGCGTCGCCAGTCAGGTCGATAACTTCTACCTCGTCGTCGTCACTGACCTGAACGTCGCTTGCGTCGTTCGGATGAGTCTCGTCATCTGCGTGATCGGCGATAGCCGTTGAGGGCACGACTGACGTTGCCGGGGATAGGCCGGCGGCTGCCAGATACTCCTCGAGCCTGTTGGAAGCAGATAGCCCGGACTCGAGGGACTTCAGCTGCTTATCGTCAACAGTGGTCATCAGGTTTCGTCATCCGGAGCTTCACTCACAGCCTGGTCGTATGACTTGAACATCTTATGCCACATGTCTGCATGAGTGTCGTCAGTCGTGAAGCACATGCATTAGTATGGCTTGCGGGACCTACGGCTTCCTTTTGCATTTGTTCCTTGTACCAGAGGTACCAGAGGTCTGCATACATCCCAGTCCGTGTACATGCCAGGATGATCTCCTCCCCAAACAGCGTAGTATTTCGGTAGTCCGGAAGGTATGCCTCGCATGTATATTTGCACGAGGGCCTTCACCTTCGGGTCGATGGCCCTTTCGGCCGATGCAGTCTCGGTGTGAGACATGTTGTAGCGGTGCCTGTGAGAGGAACCGCTTGAAGACCACGAGTTTCGGGGCCGCTTCGACGACGATCCGTATCCGTATGACGGTCTGTCATACGGCCCGGGTCGATTGCGCTTAGAAGGCATGCTTGTGGTTATGGGTGTATCCGATGATGTTGGTGCAAGTGGATTTTGAGTTCTAGCTAAGGTTAGGAATTGGTCCAACGCGATGAGGCTCGCCGATGTCACGTGCTTAGGTAAGCTAGCCTGATTGCATCAACATTCCCCCTCCCCCATCTATATATTGCTTTTTCCTTAAAGTTTTCGCCGTGTCCGTACTCGAAAAGCTCAGCCGGTCGCATCCGGATGAAGACTCAACGTCATATCACGTGCTGTTGGAAGTGAAAACGCAGCCGCCCGAGCGAGCAGATTCTAGAAGAACCCCGCTTTATCCGAGATGTTTACCCCTGAATTAGCGCCCACTTGCTAATTACCTTATTGGGCTTTGTTTACATTTTTCAACGACGCGCGAATTGACATCGCAGTCAGACCGGCTCATATCTGATCAAGGTAGCCTCCATCGTCAGATTTCGGATTAGTTTATATACACAGCGATCATAGCAGATGAATAAGAGTATGAAAATTGTCTCGTAATCATAAAAATAGTGGGTGTACTTGGGCTTCCATAGGATCCAAACACTATATCGACGATGTCCTTTGCAGTTCACATGCTCTCTAAACTGTCATTCTGGGAGCTCACGAGAAATCCGAATAGCTCAAAAGCTTGCAACAAGCTGAGTGAGAACTACTGTACACACCTACCGACCCTCATTCTTTGCCTGTGCCTCTAGCATATCCATGAACTTATGTACCTCCTCATCAGCACGGAACTTGCCCTTCAGCGTTCTTCTCAAGTTGTTCCCTTCCAACTCGAGTCCTTCAAGAGACCGTGCTCGGCTCAGAGCCACATACGCTTGTCCGCCCTCCCAAATGTTCGTGATGTCGGCCACAACACGGTCCAGAGACATGCCCTGGCTTTTGTGGATAGTCATAGCCCAGTTTGGCGTCAGCGGTATCTGCACTTGAGACCAATAGCTGTAGGGTTCTGTGCCGAGTCGGCTGATAGTACAGTCTGGGCCGATAACACGTCGTGCACCATTGGAAAATTCAACTTCAGGGTCTGAGACGGAAGTTAGTGTGAATCAACGTTTCACTTGCATGCAGACTACTCACATATCATGTCTTGTTTGTCCTTCATAAACCTTCGAATCTGGTTGTACCTCCTCAGAGCAATTTCGAACGCATCTGTATCTCCATTGTAGTTCTCACTATTTGGCTTCTTTGGTTCCTCATGAAGACGCGATGCAAAATCACGGATAACACCCCGACTGCCGTTGCAGAAACCATTCTCGACATCTATCTGCAGTGAAATACTATTAGCTTGTGGTCATGAGCTAGTGACGCGGCCTATCTCACGTTTGCAAGCAGCATGACAGGCATTCCGATCTTCAGCGTGATAGATGTGGCGTGTCGAGCTTCAGGGAGCGATTCCTCGTCGTCCATGTTATGTTGTTGTTCCTCTAAGTGATCGAGGCTCTTGTACACCGCTGCTCTACCGGATAGTTTCCTGGATTCCTCATCGTTGCACGCCTTGACGTCATCCTTTTTGCTGAACAACCGAACCCCATTTTCAACTCCGTGATTCTTTAGAAGGGTGTTCACATCACCGACGTTGTCAAGTTTGCCCAATCGACACTTCTGGAGGATCCTGACGAATTTCTCATCTTGCTGGCGGTGTATTTTTGTAAGATGTACGTAACTATTCGCGAGTATGTCAGTGTGTTTCCGTTTCAATTTAAAAATACTGCCTTCACAGATTTCAACATGAAAACAGTTCATTCTGCCATCGCCTAGCCCCAAGTTCGAAATCTGGAGTCAGAGACAAGTTACAACCACATACCTGAAATTGCACCTCTCCCATTCAGCAGACTTGAATGCCCACTTGTCAGTGTCCTCCAAGTGGTCACACTTTGGGACTCTTGCGTTTTTCTTCCAGTTTGCGTCGCACAATTCGCAACATAAGAGCGGTAGCACCGGGGGCAACTGATAGAAGTCCCCAACAACGATGACCTGAATGCCCCCAAATGGACCCAGTGTTGCGACAGGATCTAGACTCGAATATTCCTCTTGAGCGGCTTCGTGTCGGACCTTACTCATAGTCTGGCTGAGTCGAGTGAAGAGATGGTTGTCGACCATGCTGATCTCGTCGATGATGAGAACATGAGTCCGCGTCACATTATTGTAAACGCGTTTGTTTTTCTTTGCTTTAGAAGAAAGGAAATCAAGTGCGTGTCTCTCGGTGCCCCAACCCATAAAATGGTGGACTGTTGCGCCTTCAATGTTGACAGCGGCCTGGCCGGTGGGTGCGAGGAGGTGAACTCTCTTTTTGGCACTCAGCTTCCGGAAGAGAGCCCTCACCAGCACCGATTTACCGCAGCCACCCGATCTTCAGAGTCAGAATCCAGCTTTTGGGTGTTTCTATGGATTACTTACCCAGTTATGAAGAGATTTCGCCCTTCAAGTGCAAGGTCCAAGGCATCTTGCTGTTCCTTGCAGAGACGAGGCTCCACGGGTTTCTCTTCACTTATGGCCGCTGCGAAGGGAGAGGTATGCCGAGGCGAGCCAGGCGACGAATGATATTCTGGAGACAGGAGAGGCTCAGGTGAAACCTCTTCATCGTCCAACATCTCCTCATCGGCGATGGAAGATGCGGTAGACGTTTCTGTGGGAGTCTGGGATGGCGAGGCTATGCCGGACATTTCATCGTTGGTCGACTCATCCGTAGCGGGAGTTCCATTGGCCGCCGGTGTCTGCGGAGCCAATGAAACAGGGACCTCTAGGTCGCCCACTGTCATTTCTGCTTGAAGTCCCTCGAGAAGAAGTTCCACCTGCCGTACATTAGCCATTTCCCCCAAATTACCGATGCATGCTGTTTACTTACAGCTTCATCAAAAGTGTCTGCATGTCCATCTGCGACAATAAATATTAGCCAGAAAAGTTGAAGGCAAACGAGACCGGACAGCAACACACGCTTGTTACGCCTGAAGCCATTCACCTGTCTCATGGCACCATCATCCCCTTCCCACTCTGTAAATATGCCGCGTCGCCTGCCGTGCCAGACGACATGGTACATGATCAGTTGACGATTGGTATTACCTATAAGAAATTGCCAGTTGTTGTGAAGATATCGTTCTGCTGGTGCCTTGGTCCAGGCGTCGATATTTACATCGTCGCTCGGTCTTTTACTGGGCTTGCGTTTGCGATTTCGGGGCATTCTTGCGGCTGCACGTTGATGCTGTGCGGAATACGTTTGTGACATGAAGTTGAGAAAGCGTCCAACTACGTTGACATACATGCATCGGTTCTCTCCCTTGGAATGACGACATAGAGAGTTATGTAATCGGCTTCAAAGTCCATGTCGATCCTGTCCGCCATCAAACTGTATGTCCCCACAAATCTTTGGTTCACCCCTTTATCCCAGTATGTTTGACCATGACGTTGCTAGATTCATTAGCATGGCCAGAAACGATTGAAGGGCGTTGTTCGCCTGGGGCCTTGGCTGAAGCGGACTTAATGAAAGCGAACGGTCGGGAAATAGTCCCGAGCACCAGCCAGTTACTGTGAAGCGATGACATTAAGATACCAGTAAAGAGACTGTATTAGAGATGCTTCTATCCGACGACAACCTATTCGAAGTCAATTCAACGGCTGCTCAAATTCTCCTCGATCAATTCATAATAAGCCGAAAAGATCATGAGGACATCTTTAAAACAAGGCATAATGCGACCGCCATCGCAATGGCCATGCGACAATTGAAGAGTGAATTCTCAGTATCTGTGATAAGCTGAAGGAGGGTGTCGGATAGCGCACCATTCGCTGCAAAAACATCAGCCGAACTATGATTATGACCTCGACATGCAGAAACCTACCCCGTATTATTGCAGTTGCCAGGATGATAAGGGCGATCAATCAGGATAACGAGGCAAACCTCACCCGAATCCTTATCTGCACCCCGGGAAAGGAGACCCCGGTCTCCAATTCAGTGTGGGGGAACCTCCAGCTGTTCAGTAGATAACGAAACATGAATCGCCGTCGACGCGACACTTCTCGCGATCCGATTGAGCCCTGACATCTCCCAAAACGTGGATGAATTTCGCCTCTAGCCGTAACGAACTGTCGCGGCCCCCTTTTTCGATCGCATCCGGGTCGCCCTCAGACGAGAGACAACGGCTTTAATCACCCAGGAGAGACGGAGAGGGCATCATGGCGCAGGTGAGGGACGCCCGCGTGGCGAAGAGGCCCGGAAACCAGACCGCCGAAGCGGGCAAACGCCGAGCGCCGTACGCGTTGCGTGCTTGCGATGCCTGCCGCCGGCGCAAGGGGAAATGCGATGGGCGACAGCCGTGCAGGTATTGCACAGGCCGCGAGCAGGCTTGCAGTTACGATAGCTTCTTCGGGGGCGACGAGTGGTCTCAACCGCCGCCGCCTAGCGTAGGCCGAGCCGAAGATCGCCGCCCCGCGAAAGCAACAAACCCGTCGCCATCGGCATCAAGGTATGTCATTGTAAGGGTGCTTGAGTCTCAGTCTTGCTTACTTGCGACGTAGTCGCAGCAGTCAAGAGGCCATCATGGACATGCTGTCCAGTCTCCAGGGCCAGTTGAATAGCCTGGCGTCGCGGGTTCAAAGCACCAGCGAAAGCCCGCCAGAGCCGACTTTTTCGGTTGATGAACAGCATGACGACGATTTTCTATCAAATCTGATCAACGACGCAATCGGTAATGATGATTATTTCGATTCAATTCTACCGCCCTCATCTCAACCATTGGGCGCATTGCCAAGTCCAGAGCAGAGCATGCACTCAAATCAGTCCGAATCGCAACGGCACAATTTGTCTATCTCACAGTCATTACAACGTTACAATGACGCTCATTCGGACGCTGAAGATATGGGCCTCTCTTCAAAGAACTATCGTCGGGCCCGGTCTCCGATGTTAACTCACAGAGAGCCGCCGTCACGACTCCTCAGGTTCCGGTCACTCATGAGCTTGCAAGAAGCTTTGCAACTATTGAGTGTTTACCAAGAAACAATCGGAACTCTCCATCCCATAATCGATCTGGACGAAGTCAAGGAGACAGCTCGCTGCGCTTTTGCTGATGCAGAGTCAACATCCCATGACGGAAATGCCGGGTCAATACCTAAAGACGACCTCCTGATACTGTGCTCAGCCCTGTTGATCGGTCTACATGCCGACTTGAGCCCGACGAGCCCTACCAAAGAATCTATTATTCTGGATAGCATTCAACTAGCCGTCACCACCAAGCTTGTCGCTCCTGTCTCCAACATCAAGGATGTCATTGTTGTCTTGCTCAAGGTCAGGCAATACGTACACTAATGTTTCCAATGGACGCATCATTGCTAACGTACCGATGATAGGGCTCTTATGACTTCTTCAACGACACACCTCAGTCGGCCTGGCGCATGTGCGGACTCGCAGGGCGCATGCTGATGGAGCTTGGTTTTCACAATGGCGCCATGTCGACTCACATGTTGGAGTCACGAGCCCAACGCACTCAGGTCTGGGCCCTCATGTCCAGTATCGTCATCCTTGATCGACAATGGAGCGCCGCAGCTGGTCTCCCGACAAACTTCCAGGAGTCCGCTTTTGGACCCATCCAAACGTCTTCGGTAAGCCGACACGTTGCCCCCCTTTCCGCCATGAACATTGGAGAACGCCTAACACAGTGAACTTAGATCAAGACTCCTTACCTCGAAGCTATGCTATCCTTCATCATGCTCAGCGACAAGATCAGCGATCCCCTTGCACAGGCTGTCAGAGCACAAGGATACAGCGATCAGGAGGCCTTCGAAGTAATGAACTTCCGCATCGAGCGGTGGAGGAAGAGAGCCGCTCTAGAACCCTCACTGAAATCATGGCACAGCAGTCCTCTAAGCCAACCTCCAACGTGGAAAGTCTTGCTCAGCCTCCGGGCAGAATCGGTCCGAAGTCTCTTGTTCAAGCCACACTTCTTCGCCAAGTCAGATGTTCAGACGAGCAAGCAGTACCTTCAGCCTGCGATCGAGGTCCTTTTCGATGTATGCAACATTATGTACAACTTAAACACCACCACCGACATATATCGCAAACAGCAGCCTTTCTATCAGCCTCTGTTGGCGTCCGCCTCCGGACTGGGGTTCGTCTTGACGGCTTTCCTTGAACAGAATAGGTCGGCTGTGTTGGCAAGTGTACCTTCAGAGGTAGCTGTTGCTATGGGTCGAAGTTACGAAATGGCCGTGGCCTTGGCGACTGGATACTCGAACACGTCGAAAGCCGCCAAGGGATTGTCGGAGAAGTTGGCACCGGTTCGAGCAAGTCTGCTGGAACTGGGTATGCTTCAACGGTCCCAAGCCGGAGCGAGAAATGCCGGTACTGGATTCAGAGGAGATTCAGACAGGAGACGCTCTACGAATGGCGGCGGGGAGCTTGTCCAGAGGTCATACATGTCCGAGTCGGATGCGGCAATGTCTACACCACATATTGACTACTCGGCACTGATGGGGTCTGATGCGGCGGGGTTTGATGCGCATCGGAGCTCAGAGCCGACTCAAGACGCTGAGTGGGAAGACTTGTTAGGGGTCGGCTGGGCAACTGATAATGCGTCGCACATGAATGGCGTTTTCTAGGCTATCGCGAGTTTATCGGATGCAGCATGTGTGGAGAAGTAACTTCAATATTGATACCCAATTACATTCTTTTTGAGCTTATCATCATTCGACCACTGGAACCGTGAGGCCCTAAAGGAGTTATGGCAATAAGAGAGAAGTCTACCAGGGTACACATATTGGGAACTACGGCAAGCCCAGGTCAACTTCGGTCTACCTAGTACGGCCTAGATTGCTAGATAAAAGCCTATAATGTTTCATTTCGATAGCACTTGGACTATTGCTAGTTTCATAGTCTCACTCAGGTCCCAGGTACCGATCAAACCAGGCTATCGCTTGGTGGAAAGCCTGCTCCTTCGCAAACCGTTGCCTTTCATCCTTCAAGTCACCGCGAACAGCAAAGCCATGTGCGACCCCAGAAAACATATTGATCTGATAGTCTTGTCCAGAGACTGTTAGTATCCTCTCACTTTCATGTCTCTTTTCGGCAGGGAAGATGTCGTCGAGTTCAGCAGCAGCAATCGCCAACGGCCCAGTGATCGCAGATAGCTCCTCGGACTCAACGAATGACGGGTGAGCTGCGAAGCCGCATTGTACTCCGCTTTTGTAATGACGAACGACGTACTACAGCTTGCTGTGAGCTATTCATTTCTGGTTTCCACCTAGGTGTCGAGAAAGTCCGCTTACCTTAGCACCGAGGCAATACCCAGCCGCCGCGATCTTCTCAATACCCATGCCTTTTAGATACCGTATTCCGGAAAGTACTATTGGGTCGATCGCATCCGGGGTGTGTGGGTTACTTCCGTTCGATCCTTCATTGAGCCACTTCATGATATCGAAGTCTTTGGGCATATTCAACGGTGCCGGGTCACCGTTGAATATGTCAAGTACTAGGCACACATATCCTCTTTGAGAAAATGCATCGGCCATCAACTTGCTATTTTGCCAAATACCAATGATATCCGGGATATACAGTACAGCTCGTTTCGGCTTTTCTCCAGTCGTTGGAATGGCTAAGTACGCGTCTGTGTTGCCATCGATCTGGATCAGATTTCCTTGGTGAGTTCCCCTAAAGCAGATTAGAATCAAATCTGAGGTGCAAATGAAGGCTTAGTTGAAGCCATCGACACTCACTCATGAAGACTGCCGATGGTGCAGCATGTAGAGGGCGCATGAGACGCCATTATGCGCTATTCTTAGATGTGTGACGAACCAATCAAAACGGCCCAAGATACGGGTGTTAAAAGACTCGTACACGTATTTCGAGACTTATCATATCTTATCTAACATTGATGAGGCACCGGAGACCAGTCTTGTGTGAGATACGCATTGAGACGGGCTCGGGCCGCTGGTTTCGGAGCTTCCGTGGCCCGGAAGACAGCCGGGGGACCCACCTTCCGACCCTCGGAACCGATTCCTGAACCTTAATTCCAAGCCGCACGATAAGAAAGATCAGAAGCTTAGGCGAAGCTTCTTGTATGCCACGATCTTTATCATATTGTATCCCTCCAATCACCAACATCTGCTCTTCCTGTGAGACACCCCTGTTCGTCGACTCAAGATGCCTCCCTCCGACCCCTTAGACGATGTCCGGCCGATGTTCGAGCTGCGAGGGCGCAACTACGTCGTAACAGGCGGCGCCCAAGGCATCGGTTTCGCTTGCACCCGCGCAATATGCGAGATGGGAGGTAATGTCGCTGTGCTCGACATTCAAGAAAAGCCCGTGGATGAATTCAGCACTTTGCCGGCCAAGTTTTCCACAAAAGCGATCTACATCAAAACCGACGTCACGTCTGAAGACAGCATCAAATCTGCTTTTGCGAAAATTTTGGAGGAGTTCGGATCCATTGATGGATGTGTGCCGGCCGCGGGTATCGCTATCGATAAGCCGTTTCTGGACCAGACCTGGGACGAGTTCAACCGCATCCAGGAGATCAATGTAAGTTGAACGCTCTCATCTTACGTATGCTCGACTCTTATACATTTCAGGTCCGTGGAACCTTCTTCGTTGCCCAGCTTGCGGCGAAGCAAATGTTGAAGCAAGGATCCGGAGGCAGCATGGTACTTCTCGCCTCGCAGTCAGCTCACATCGCATTGCCGGGATATCGCATGGCGGCTTACAACGCCTCAAAGGGAGCGGTATTTATGCTTTCCAAAGCGTTGGCTGTTGAGCTTGCGCCGCACAACATTCGCGTCAACACCATCTCACCCGGTTTTGTTGACTCTGAGATGACAAGAAAGGTGCGAGAACTGAAGAGCAAGAGGGAAGGAGAGCAGATGTGGCTGGCGCCGCCGAACCAGCGCTTAAGTACGCAGAATGATCTCACCGGTGCTGTTATTTACCTGCTCAGTGATGCTGCAAGGCATACGACAGCCACTGATATTGCCATCACTGGTGGATTACATGCGGGGACGATGGATGGCTTGATTAGTTATGAAAAGTAGTGAATACACTCGTCATCAAGTTCAAATTCAGATCAAATGTTATTTCAAAACAAAAAACGCCACAAACGAACGGAAGACAAATTCCGACACCCTCGGAAACGTCTACAGTGCTGAAAACTATGTGCGCAACTGCTTTGCTCGATGTTCGTGCTCGATGTTGGCTACAGCGTTCCCAGGTTCGCATTATCGCAAATTCACAAGCTACAGAAAGACGCTCGAATTTGAGTACGGTTCTTGGTCTGAATTGCGTATACGCCATAGGAATGGACATCGCTCAAGGGTTTTT